CGCCGCCCGCCGCCACCGCGCCGGCGGCCCCGGCCACCACGGCCATTTTGCCCCACGCCGACCAGCCTCCGCCGCCGCCCTGCTGCGGTTTCTGCTTCTGCGGCGCGCCGACGGCCCGCGACGACGACGCCTGGTTGGCCCCCCAGAGGCTCGCGCCCAGCCCGCTCAGCTGCGTCAGCGTCGCCGACGCCGCCTGGTAGTGGCCCTCGGCGCCGTGCGCCACGACGCCTGGCGAGATGCCGAGAAAGGGCGTGTCAAACGCCAGCACCCCCTGCACGTAGGGAAAGAGCAGGCTGCTAAAGTCGAGTGTCGACTCCGACTTCTTATCGATGCCGTCTTCGGAGTAGATGGGCTGCTCCGCCGCGATGCCCAGCACCGACTCGACGGCCATGATGCCCCCCATCGAATGCCCAACGAGCACCGTCCGCACCGACGGGTCAATGGTCGGCGACGGCGTGCCCGCCGCGACTTCCAGGTCAATGACTTTCTCCTCCAGCCTAGTCACAAAAGGAAAAAAATCACCCCCAAGGTTAATGTTGACTCGTTTTGGTCATTTGTCGCACAAGGAAAACTCACCATGTGCGGAAGCGCATTACGCACTCGCCTAGGTCGCCGCGCGTTTCATACTTGGGGTAGACCAGCACTTGGACGTTGATTTTCGGCAGCTCCTTGGCGATCATGTCCCGCAGGTGCTCTGTAAACCGATAATTGTCTCCGAATGTAAAGTTGCCGCCCTAGGTGGTGGGTGAGTTTCCGTTAGCATGCAACCGGCTCGCCGCCATCCCCAGCCTGTTAGCGAAGCTTGTCAAACACATACTCGGAAACCGTGGATGAAGCACAGCAGAAGCGTCTTTCTCGCCATTATACAGCGTGGCCTTGCTTCCGGCGGAGGCTAGTCTCACAAGTTGTTGCGCAAGCTGAAGTTGTAAACGCCAGGTTGCCGCAGTGGCTTAGCGGTTCCAGAGTCACATGTGCGAAGCTTCCACCGTCATCGGTTCCACAATCCACAATGGCTCGTAGAGTCTGTCTGGTATGTATTAACATCCCAACTTACAACATGGGCTTCACTCTTCATCACAAGCACAACACCAAAAATGACTTTAGAGCGTCTATTACAGTACAGCTGTCCCTTAATCTAAACAAAACCCGCAAAGGCAGCCCCGCAAACCCCGTTGGTATAGATCCGCGATTGCAAGGCCCCTCCCTGCATTTTACTCCCATCTGCAATTTCCCATTTCACAACCTCTCCTCGCCTCTGCTGCCTCGCACCCTGTAATACATTTATGCCTGTATCACGCACAAAAAAGTAACATCTTGACTCCCTAAACGCCGAAAACACGCATATGAACAAATGCAGTCGTGCGACGTTCCTGTCGACGTAGCCAAAATCCAGGTCATCCTCGCCAGTATTGCGCCGCCGAGGGAGACAAAATCCCTCCATTTTTCATTGGCTCGCATCCAGTAATACACCACGCAGTTTTTCCATCTCCTTTCCTCAATTGACATCACTCCTCGTCGCTCTGGGCTGCGGATCGCGCTCCATTGGCCTCTCGCGCGCCGCTCGTGATGATCTTGATACGAGTGCCGCTGGGCTGTGGTGTGCTCTCAGCAACCGATGGCGCAACAGAACTCGCTTTGCCGCCCTCTTCAAGTGCCTGTAGTCCAATGTTGGAATTTAATTGCTCTTGCAACTTTGCCGTGAAGAAGTCGTTCATTGTCTTGGCATCCTGGTACAGAATGCTACCGTCCTCATTGTACGTTTGGCAGTTGCGGATCATCAGGTCAAAATCCTTTTTCAAGTCACTCAGAGCATTATACTCTTCCTTCTTGATGCGCGTCTGGATCTGGTTCATGCAAATGGGGTTGGTGATGATGAGGTAGTAGTCGGCATAGTCGCGCTTAGGCGGCAGCTTGATGAAGGGTCCAATAATGAGGCGTTTGCCAGCGTCAGACTCGTCGTCCTCGGCAGGCGGTTCAATGTCGTCAACCTCGAGAGTCATCAAGGCGTCATACAGAGATCGTAGACTTCTTTGCAGGAGCTCACGTTGCTGAGGGTTCAGACGAGACTCGTTCGCGCCACCCTTGCTAGGCCGCCCTTGAGGGCCACGGCGTTTCTTAGTAGGCGGTTCATCATCCCCATCTTCGGCCTTGCGTTTCTCATTTTTGCTACCAGGCTTGCGGCCACGCTTCTTGGGGGTCTCGATCTCAATCTCTTCCGTGCTGGCGCGACTAGCAGTAGGTGAATCGTCCATACTGCCCGGGACCCCTGACTTTCTCTTCGTTTCACGCCTATCTTTGCGAGCTTGCTTGCGTTGTGCTGCTGCTTCTGGCGAATCTTCGTCATCGTCCACAGCCATCAGCCACTGCTCTTCGGTGAGACCGTCATCATACTTGACCTTAGTACGCTCGCGAGCACCACGTCCAAGAACAAGGTCCTCTGTCTCCTCGGGGACAGGGTTGTCCTCGTTGAGGTAAATGTCTGGCAACTCGTCGTCACCCATCAGTCTAGGCTTGCCCTTGGTGCCGCCGTATGGGGAAGTCCTTGCACGTTCCTCATCAAGCGCCTGGAACACGAGAATCTCCTCATCGCTTCGTGCCAACAGCATATTCAACTCGTCATCCTCCATCTCTTCATGCTCGCCAGACTCAGTCATCTCGGCCGTCTCCAACAAGGTTCGAAGCATGGCATCTCGGTCGGTTTCTGAAGACTTGTTATCGAAACGACCGGCCTGAATGACCTTGCCGTCCATATCCAACTTGAAACGAGCACGTTCCAGAATCTTTTCTTCAACAGAGTTGGAACTAATGAGACGCAGAATTCTGACTTCGTTCTTCTGACCGATACGATGAGCACGATCTTGGGCCTGCAAATCTTGATGAGGGTTCCAATCCGAGTCGTAGATAATGACAGTATCGGCTGTCTGCAGGTTCAGACCGAGACCACCGGCACGGGTGGAGAGCAGGAATATGAAATACTTGGAATCAGGTGCATTGAATTCGTGCAGCAGATCCGAACGCTCATCAGACTTGGTGGTACCGTCGAGACGGAGATACTCCATACGACGATAGCGGAGATAGTCTTCCATGATGTCCATAATGGCTGTCATCTGGAAGAACATGAGTACACGATGGCCAGTTGCCTGGTACTTGGGCAAGACTCGGTCAAGAAGCTCGAACTTGCCTGCCGTTCGCCACAGAATGTCGTTGCTAATGCTCATGGGATTCATAACATTCTCAACTTCGCCAAAAACAAAGGGATGGTTGCATAGCTTACGCAGCTGCATGATCATGTTGCTGAGGCCACGAGCACCGGCCTTGCCACCTTTGCCGTCACTAACAGCAATCTTGTTGTGGGTGACCATTTGTTTGTACAGCTTGGATTGAAGGGCCGAGAACTGGCATTTGATGACCTTTTCGGTCTTGTCAGGAAGATCTTTTTCGACATCCTTCTTGAGACGGCGCAGAAGGAATGGCCGCAGAACTTTGTGCAGGCGGCGAATGACCAAAATCTGTTCTTCTTCCGTAAGCTCGATCTTGTCTTGTCCTCCAGTATTAGCAAATGGTGTATTGAACCATTCATCGAACGTCGTAGCAGATTTGAAGATGTTGGGCAGAACAAAGTTGAGCATAGCCCAGAGTTCGGACAAGTTGTTCTGCAGCGGGGTACCAGTAAGGATAAGGCGGAATCGGGTGTTGTAGTATTGCTGAATAGTCGCGCTCAGCTTGGAGTTGCTGTTCTTCATACGATGACCTTCGTCAATGATCATGTGGAACCACTTGATCTTGCTAAGGATTGGTCTATCCTTGATGATGTATTCGTAAGTAGTCAGAAGCACCTGGAAACGACCTTGTCGGATCTTCTCCTGATGCTGTTTACGGGTATTGGGAGGACCCTTGTAGACGATGCGGTTGATGCTAGGCGCCCACTTCTCGAACTCGAGGTTCCAGTTGGTGAGAGTACTCAGGGGGACAATGACGAGATATGGTCCGGTCTGCTGTTTGCGCTCAATGAGGTATGTAATCAGACTGATAGTCTGGATAGTCTTTCCGAGACCCATCTCGTCTGCAAGAATACCATTCAAGTTGTTGTTGTACAGCGAAATCATCCATTGAAGACCCTTGACCTGGTACTCCTTGAGCTTGCCACCAACCAGCATATTGGCTTGCTCGGTAACTTCTTCACGAATTCTATGAGCAACAGCATAGTAGTCGATCTTCTTGCCACCAGTCTCTTCATCCTCCTCATCAGGCTCGGATTCGGATTCTTCGGCCGCAAACGTATCGAGGTCGTCGCCGTAACGCTCGGCAGCCTGCCTCTGCTGTGCCTTAACAGACGAGGCGAGTTGGTGCAAGAAACCGTCGGTCTGGCGGAGCAAATGGGTGATACGTGTATCTTTGGCCTGGTCGAGCAGTTTGAGATAGGCCTCTTCGTCGTTGGCTTTGAGCGCTTGTAGACGCTGCTTGGCGGTGCGTTCAACGCGCTTCTGCTCTTCCTTCTCAATGTTGAAATGTTGAGAGTACATGAGACGGCTGAGCTTGTGGAACTTGGCACGCTGGGAGTTGGCGGTCTCGTGAATTTCGGCGCGATGGTTATAGATAGCACGCAAGAAGTCGGTGTGCTTCTTCTTCTCGCGGTTTTCTCGGGCATCACGCTGCTGCTTCTCCAGCTTCTCGGTAATGCGAGCCTCGCGAACGTTCTGCTTCTTCATACGGCGGTAGTTCGAACGGTTTGTCGTCATTGCTAGATTGTCATAGTGCAGCATCTGACGGCCAACCTTTTCACGGAGAGCGCGCTGCTTAGAATACAGCGCGAGTTTCTTCATCTCAATGATGGCCCGTCTCTTAAGATCATCGTGGACCTCGAGGTTGTCATCAGTGGCATCAACGTGAGCAATGTTGGCAGGCATGTTTTTCAACTCTGCGTACCGTTGGCTCATGCGGTTGAATACGACAACCTCATTCTCATATCGCAGGTGCTCGGCATCAATGCCAGTGGGGAAGATACCGGGAATAAACCAGCGATTCTTGCGCTGCGTATGATCGAAATAGTTGATGGTAGGGCGAACCATGTTGGTGCCGTACGGGGACTTAATCGCCTTGTAAACATGCTGCTTGGGCAATTGGTTCGCTTCGTCCTGGACAGCAAGGTTACCTCCATTGGGAGCATCCTTGGTGTCAGTAGAAGGGCCTTTCGTTGGAGTAGACACTGGAGAATCGACCATGGTAGCCTGTCGGCGCAAGCGCTGGTTGAATATGGCCTGTTGAAGCTGCATAGAAACGCCTGCATTCTTGCCGAGAAGCTTGAACGCGTGGATTTGCTGCCTGAGGAGGGCAAGCTGCTGCTGACTGAAAAGGTTCGAGGTGCCTACAGCCGGTGACACACCAGCCGTCGGCGTAGACACTGAATTGTGCGCAGACGCGGCAGCAGCGCCTTGGGTATTAATAACGGGTTGTCCAGGCTGCGGTGTCCCTTGCTGAGAGCGCTGAGCCTGCGCACCATTGGGGGTACCATTCGGCATGCCTTGCATCTGCTGCTGTTGTTGTTGCATCATCTGCTGCTGGGTGCGACGCATGTTGTGTTGTTGTTGGAAGCTGGCAAGGAACTGGTGTGCTTTGATATATTCGGGGTCGGTGGCGGGAACACCCTGTTCCTTCATCTGCTTGAGTTTCTGCGAACATGGTCAGCTACGAGTCAATTAGGGGCGTGGTAGCATTCCGCGCAGTGGGTACGGCGAATAACGGGTTGGGAAGCATACCCGAAAGACTTCTTCGGCCTGCTGCTTTGTTGCGCCGGTAGGCATAGGCCCCCCTGGGTGTTGGACACCAGGAGGTGCTTGCACTGACGCCATGGTTGTGGGGAGAGCCAAGACGCGCGTTTGTTATGACCTGTAGCGGAAGCTGATAAATAGCACCTCTATATCCGCTGCATATCGAGATGGGCAGAGGTGTCGTGGTTCGTGTTGCCAAGGGCAGAGTCGCGAGGCCGGGTTGGGTGGGCGTCACGGTAACGAGCGGGCGCGGCAGCGGGCGAGAAAAAAACCAAGGGAAGGGCAAACTGCGCGTCGGCGCCAATGGCAATGCGCTGGGCGTGGCGATGAGGGAATTTATGCAGGTGAATGGCACGTTGCAGAGGATGCGTGGATGGGATGGTGAAGAGTTGGGCGCGACAGGGATACTGGAGCTCTAGCTTTTGATGCTGAGCTACCGCGCGTGGCGTGTCCGACGAAAACGTCGAGCAAAGGGGGATTGCAAGAGTAAGGGAAGGAAGAAAAGTGTGAAAAGCGCGATGCGGCGCGTCGGGGACGGTGCCACGAGTGCGGGCGGCGTGTAAATCGCGTGAAACACGACGGAGCCGAGATTTTTGAGATGGACGCCGATGGTTTGCGACGGACCTGGCGATTTTTTGGATGCGCGCGCTCGCTGGTTGATGATGGGGAGGTGGTGAAGACACAGGACACAGAGTTGGGGCGTGATGGCTGGTGCCCTCGCCCAGCCACTAGCCACAGTATTTTTCAGCACGGGCCCCTGCGCAGGTCGAATCCTGCTCGAGCCTGCGCCACGGTTTGCCGGAGCCGGGCGCGCTCAAGAAAAAAAATTATTAGCTAAGCTGGTGTATCTACTGGCACGTGATCCACTCTGGAAGGCGCGCCTGTACTGATGTACTTTGGTATTACCTGCCATCTAAGCCGATGATGTGCGTCGCCGTCTGTCAGCTGGAAGCCGCGACGGGCGTCGATACGCTGCGGTGGTGTGCATGATCATGTCACATCGCGTTGTTACACATACTTGGCGCTACATGGCAGATCGAGCTTCTCTGAAATGCGCCAGTCGGCAGGCCATGTCACCGCCACGGTTGAAATATACCTGATTGAAGCTTCCTTTTCATCTTTTGGTCCTCTTTTTATTCGGGCCATCATCCTCGTCATCGCTGATGTTCGCATACTGCGTCTCCGGCTGTGTCTTGCTCCAGGCCTTGGTAAACATCGGATCACTCTTTGCCTTGTCAGCATACTTTAGTAGAGCTTCGCGCGGGTCTTCGTAAAGCATTCGAGAAAGTGGGATGCTCTCTGCCACGTGCTTCTCGTCCGGCTGGCTGCGCTGAAAAGGCGTCTGCTGCGGGACGTGTGGACGGCGTCGGTCCTTTAAGCCGCCGCCAGTGCCGGTCTTCTTGGGCATCGCGCCTGGCGTAACAATAGAATCGCCAGACATGCCCATCGACTGGTCAGTAGTCAATGCTGAGTTGTCATCAATATGTCGCTTCTTCGGCGCCCGTGACATGACCTCCACTGCTCCTCTTGTCGACTTATCTGGGTTATACAGTACGCGCGTCTCCGCGTTCGCAGACCCTGTAACAATTTGGTTAATTTTGGGATGCCAATCCACAGTAATAAGAGGTGAGCCAGGTGTAACGGGCGTAACATATTCGGGTCGAAGGTTCCCTGGGTTCAGAATGTGCAAGTGTCCTGTTGCGGAGCCTGTGATGATGCTGGTAGAGTTGGGCGCGTAGCGAATGTTGCTTGTTGGATGGGTATTCGAGGTAGATGGATGAGACACTGTTACCAGAGGCTTGGTGAATTTTCTAGTATCCCATAATTTGATCAAATCGTCTCCTCCTCGCGTGACAACCATGCGTCCATCACCAGAGATATCGATGCCGCTGGTCCACGTCTGTGGTTTGTGCGCTTCCAGAATTTGTCCAGCAGGTCTTGAAAATGGCCCGTTGCCGCCGTACATTACCAGGGTTCCGTCCAAGGCAGCTCCAATGATGACATTGTTGCCTCCTTGTGCCGGCGTTCCCCATGCAACGGCCGTCATCTTCGACCGGCCGGCCGAGCCCGCCGCCTTCGATTTGAATACGATGACTTCCTTCTGGGATCGCTTGTTGGTAAGATCCCAAATTCGTAGGGTACTGTCTGTACCGGCTGTGATGAATTGATTCTTGTCCGTAGGGTGCCAAGTACCGCCCGTGATTTCCGAAATGTGACCTTTGGTGTTGTGCATATCTCGAAGATACATGTCTCCCTTGATGAATGTTGTCAGAACATCGCCATCGCGAGACAATAATTTGGCCTGTGGGTGCGCAGAAATGCAAAGTAAAACACTGCCAGCTTGTGGGTTGAATTCGACATGGTGAATCGGATGCTGTTCTGCATTTTCGGAGGCTTTTGCTTCAAACGGGTCTGTCGCTCGAAAAGCACGGATTGTTGTGGGTGTCATGGAGGAAAAGTCGTGGAGCTTCACTGTACAGTCGGTCGAGCCCGTCGCAAGTCGGCCGCCAGATGGGTCGAGAGATACGGTGGTAACAGCGCGGCTGGCTGTTGGAATGACCATTTCGTGGGAGACTGGGTATTCATCGCCATCGTCTGAATCATTTTCGCTGTCGCTGTCGTTGTCATCTGAGCTAGAATCGCCGCCCCTTTTTGCCTGCTGTTGCAATATTGAGGTATTCCCGTCCACTACCCTGCGACTCTTGTCGATTTGGGCCGCAGTGTTCGTCGTTTTATCCTTTTTTCCGAAAGCCGTTGGCAGAAATGCCCGCATGGGATTGTCTGCTGCCAATTCCGGGACTTCGACCTCGAAATCATCGTCGCTGGACATCGTGAAGGCGGCGACTTGTCCCGTGGCGAGGAAAAGTTGAGCGGGTATTTGTAAAGGAGAGAGAAGAAAGGGAAGCTACCCGTGGGGAAGAAATTGTGAGAAAGAGAAAGTGGCCGGATGTGTCGTGCTACTGACCTAGATCAGGCACCTTATTAGGGTGGAACCCGGGAACAGGTACCTGAGCTGGAGGCTGGAGTGCAACCAAAACCTCACAACTTGTGCACGACACGCGACCAAACAGTATATTGTAACCTTGCGCCAGAAAACATACGTGTGGAAACACTTGTTCCACTCAGAATGGCTACCGATGCCCTCACGGACGAGGATGAGCAGTATGATTCGACCAACGACTCGGACTTTGCGCCTGGTGTCGAGCCCGATATAGTTTCCGATGACGACACGGGCGATGAAGGGCGCAAAAGAAAGATATCAGACAAGGAGACTCCCAATTCTGGCGACACGGCTGAGGATGATGTTGTCTACGAGAACTCGGGCGATGAAGCCATCATCACCAAGGGCAAAAAGAAGCTGAAAAAGGCCAAGGACGCCGATGACGAAGGCGGTGACGGCGGATTGATCAAGACAAGGGCGCAGCGAGCAGCTGAGTAAGGACTTGCCTAAATTCCATGAAGGATACCGGCTTAAACATGACCACAGGAAAGAAGAGCGACGATATGCCACAAACACTGGTCCGGTGACAGTCGATGTCGATGCCATTTGGAAGCGAATGCTTTCCGGCCAGCCCATTGTCGCAGAAACGACCAAGGAATCCAACGACAGCGCGACAAAAGCAGTCGAACCCAAAAAGAAACTCGAAACGCAACCCGTCGACCCGGCCGACACGATCAAAATCAAGCGCACCTACAACTTTGCCGGCAAGGTCCACACCGAAGAGAAGACGGTAGCGCGCGACTCGGCCGAGGCCAAGCTGTACCTCGCCTCCGAGGAAGGCCAGGCTACTTCAGCCACGGCCGACGGCTCGCCGCCGAAGCGCGCGACGCGCAAGGCCTTTCGCTCGGCGTTTGAGCCACTCGTCGTCGGCGTCGGCGACGCGCGCCGCCTCGACCTCAACCTGGGCTTGACGGCACGGGCGCAGGCGGCGCGGGAGCTGCAGGCCAAGAAGCTCACGACGGTCGAAAAGAGCCGCATGGACTGGGCCGGCTACGTGGACAAGGAGGGCATCCAGGACGAGCTGGCGCTGGCGGGCCGCTCCAAGGACTCGTACGCGGGGCGGCAGGACTTTTTGGCGCGCAGCCAGGCGATCCGCGACGAGGACTCGCGGCGAGCGCGCATGGCCGGGCGGACGTGAATGGGGGCTATTTGGAGGCGCTCTTTTCAGAGCATCTCGTCAGCATCACTTCCTCCTACGGTCAGGTATGGGCCGTGTCGCCCGTGAGATACCGTTTGCAGTACCGCAGCCATGCCGAATGCCGCAGCTGGCAGAAGCGCGCGGAAAGTACTCAAAGGGCCGACACATCCAGTGTTTGAGCGCCATTATTGCGCTCCGCTGAGTTCTCGCTGCACTTGAGAACTCTCATACTCGCCGAATAGAGAGCAGGCATCGCCGTGAAAACAAGGGCATCCCGTGTAGCAGCTACCAGCCCACCATCCCTATATTACAAAAGCCAGGTAATGTGGAAATGAACACAATTGGCAATGCATTAAATTAGGCAATTAGAAATTATAACCCCGAAATTGATGATTACAATCGAACTATAGCATTAATGATATTTAAGTAGACAGATAGACCTCTTGGTGGGGTTGTCAATAGTGTCAACGGCCAACGTTATCGATAGAGCGCCCAGAAAAAAAAAAGGTTTCCGCTTGTCGCAACAACAAGCAAGCAACAAATCGCAACAACCTACCTGTTCTCCTTGTCCCACACCCATACCTACAATCTCTATAACCCGCCGACCTCTTCTCCGCCATGCCCACTCTCGGCAAGCGCAAATCACGGGGCGACGCAGAAGCGCCCGCGAGCGGCGTCTCGGAGCTCGACGCCGAGGCCATCTTCCGGCGCCACTTTGAGGCCCAGTTTGAGCCGCTCGACGAGGCGGCGGCGCAGCGCGAGCAGGACGACGACGACGCGGTCGACTCGGACTTCAACGCCGACGAGGTGGAAGAGGAGCAGGATAGTGACGGCGACGAATGGGGGGGCTTCTCTGGAGGGGAGGAAGACGCTGATGACGACGAGGAAGAGGACGCGCCGGCTGTCCAGGTCATAGACCATTCGAAACCACAAGTCTCCAAAGAGCCCAAGATGAGCAAAAAGGAACTCAAAGCATTCATGGTATTTATTACCCCCCCTCGAAAAACCCTCGCTCCCCAGCCTCCAATCTTCTAACCTCTTTTTTTTTTCCGTCGTTGCAGTCCTCCAAAGTCATCGACCACACCGCGCCAGCAACCACCAGCACCGCGCCTCCCTCGTCCAAGGCCAGCAAGGCCATGCCTGAGGACGCGCCGTCTCTGCTGGCGCAAGATTTCGAGCTGCGGCGGCTCCTCGCCGAGTCGCACCTCTTCACGCCCGCGGCCCACCACAGCAGCAGCAACAACGGCTCGCAGGAGGGTGAGGCGTTCGCCGCCGGCCGCACGCGGCTAAAGGCGACGGACCTGCGGCTGCAGGCGCTCGGGTCCAAGACGTCGCTGCTCACGCAGGTCAAGATGCCCATGAATATGCGCAAGGGCATCGTCGCCGCGCGCGAGGCCCGCGAGGACAAGCGCCGCCGCGAGGCCAAGGAGAATGGCATCATCTTGGAGAGGAGCAGCGCCCAGCGAGGCGGCAAGAAGACTGGGAGGGTCAGGAAGGAGAGGGGCGTGCATGGGCCGGGCATTGGACGGATGAGGGGCTCCGAGCTGCGTATTAGTGAAGGCGACGTGAGGAAGATTGAGGGCAGTAGAGATACGTTTGGCAGACGAGGGCGGCGGTAGACGGAGAGAGGCAAGACGGAGTGCAGAGGTTGGGTAAGATTTGGTTCAACGCATATTATACAGCAGGCGCAAGGGTTGTCTCGTTTTACAGACTGGGACAAACATCATCATTATCACATTGAGTGCTTCACGAGGCAAGTAAAAGTAGTTACAATATTTTTTTACATTTTTCAATTATAGCCGTGCAAGGCATCCTGTAGCAAAAGAGCCGTCCCCAAAGACCCTCCTCGCTTGAAAATAAATTGAAGAGCAGACAAAACATATATGTACAATGCGCCTTAATGGTCTTGCTGCGACCAACATCCAAATGCGCCTCTCCCTCCATCGAGGGCATACTATACAGATGGTAGTTGTTTCCCAGGCAAGGTCTCGTCTATTCAGCCGCCGACATGTTCCAATTTCTCAAAAAAGGAAGAAAAGAAGAATTCATTTGAACATGAAAAAAAACCAGCGCAGATTGAAGCATAATAAATAGAAAATAAAATAAGATAAGGAAAATGTGCAAATGGCGTGGAAGCGAGCGGACGAAGGTGAGTCGTTACTTCATAGCTGCTTGAAAAGATGAAAATGGAACGGATTCAACTGAAAAGACAGCGAGAGCGTATTAAATAATTGATGGCTGGCTGATTGTCATAGGCAGCCTCAAGGCGTCTAGGCTGTTGCTGTACTGCGTATTGGACATGGAAGGACGAGCCATGCCGTTTTGGTTGATCTCACCATTCAGGGAACCGGTGATGTAAGCCATCTCTGATGAGGGAGAAGCCTCTTCAAGGGAGCCCAAGGGCTCCTCGCCGGAGTATTCCTCTTCCTCTTCCGCAGAAAGGTTGAGAGAGCCCTCGGCGCCATCTTCGCGGCTGTGCGTGCGCTTGTGCTGCGCCAGATTGTCTGAGCGGGAAAAGGCTTTGTTGCACTGGGGGCAGACATAGGGCTTTTCCTGTGTGTGTGTACGAACATGGCGCTTGAGGTGTTCTAAACGCTTGAAGAGGCGACCGCAGGTGGGAATTGGGCAAGAGTGCGACTTGTGGGGGTACGGCCCAAGCTCCATGACAGTGGCAGAGCGAGCGCGACGAATGACACCAGCGGGGTTGGAGAGGGCTCTGCGATGCTCGTGGAAAGAACCGTTGCCAGACATGTCATCACTTCCAAAGCTTTGCTGAAGAGCAAGAGGGTTGAGGCCTGAGTGGGACTCGACGTTCGAGAGTGGGGTGCCATGTCTCGACATGTCGTCATGAGGCTTTGACTTGTGCATGGACATACCGTTGCTAAACGAAAGACCGGGGGGGGAGTGATCATCGGACTCGTCGCCTTCGGCAACGGGGCCCACGGAGACGGAGACGGATCGACGAAGGTCAGAAGGTCTGTGAGGGACATTGGGGTTTGACGAAGGAGGGGCGGCAATAGCTGACATGCCGGGAGGAATGGAAGAGCGGCGCCGTCTTTGCTTGTACGTGGGTGAGCCTTCAATGACTGAGTAAACATTGTTGCTCCCGTAGGGGCGGTTGTACTGGTGGCCAGCCATGGTCGAAGGAGGGAGCTGGACCATGCCGTTCATACCGTTCATGCCAGAGAGGTGATGGTCAGACATGGAGGGGTAGAGGCCAGTCTCTTCGTTGGCGATATAAGCAGGTTCGGCAGAGACTCCAAGAGCCTGCTGGGGAGGGGTGATGGGCTCAAAAGACAGTCCACGGTTGCCGTAGTCGTCATACTGGGAAGAGACAAAAGAGGGAGCAGGCGAGTACTCGAGGCCATAGGCCGGCATGGAAGCGTGACGCTGGTGACCATGGACGGGAATACCGTTCTGATTGTACTGGACTCGAGTAAAGTCGGGCTCGCGCTTGACAGCAGCGACCTGGGGAGGAGGAACGGGGGCCATGCTGACAGTGTCGTAGGCGCCCATTGGGTCCATGGTATCGGGCATGTGGCCCATGGTCTGGGGCATCATGTTGGGAGGAGGCATAGCCTCCATGGCCTTGATGATGGGGGAAGCCGACTGGGTTTGGGGAAACGAAGAGTGCTGGGCGTTGAAAGACGAGGAGTTGACTTGCTGAGTCTTGGTCAACTGCTCGTAGAGAGACTGGGACGAGTCGTACTGGAAAGACAAGGCAGGCTCGCTAACAGCGACAGTGGTAGCTTCTTGGCCCATCTTTTCTCTCTTAAGATCGCGCTCGAGAGCATCGAGGAACAGGCGATCGTGAGGGACGCTATACCAGTAAAAGACTTTTTGCTTCTTTTGGGTGCGGATACAGTTGTTCTTGTAGAGAAAGTCGAGAAACTGGCTCTTGGGCTCTTCAAGGGAGGCGTCGGTGCCGGACTTGAGGTTTCGCAGGTCAGAAAAGATGCCCTCTTCGAACTTTTTGGAGTTCTTTACGGGACGGCCAAAAGCCTGGAATCTGAAGGACAGGCAGCGAACAATGTCGGTACCCGAGATGTGAAAGAGAGTGTTCCAGAGGACACAAGAGACGTATTCGCCGGTAGGGAGCAGAAAGCGGCGAATATACTGGTCTTGTTGCCAGTCGACGGGGGCAGAGATGAGGAAGTATTTGACTAGAGTACATGTCAGCGGTGAGGAGACTGGTGTTGGGTGTGGCCGAACATACGGTTGTCAACCTGCTGGAGGGCGACTTGCGCATCGTGGGGAAGCGCCTGCTGAGCCTCCGTGCTCAGCATGAAGGTCTCGGGTTTTTGAGGCGCGGCCATTGCGGGGTGTTGTGAGTACATTTCGGCGCAAGGAATCCGGGTGGAGTGTGTTGTGGCCGTTGCGCCGGGGCCGAACACGAGGCGAAGAGGGTGCGAGGGGTGCGAAAAACGATTGAAATTGGCGTCGCAATCTTGACAATCGGTTCGAGTAGGAAAAATCTAGTGTTTTCGAGAAAATGGCGGACACAGTCCAGTTCTTGATGGCGTTGGCGGTTAAGCGCGCGAGGGTTGGGCTGCAAAGGGGGCTCTTCCGGAGGCGAAATGATTTGGCATAGGCGTAAATGCAAAAAGGGTGTGAGTTTCGAGACCAGCCCGAAAAAAAAAAGAGTGATGCAGAGCGAGATGCAGCAAGCAACACAAGCAAGAGCCCAACAACTGCTTCAAGCAAACTGTTGGGAGGCGGCCGGGTGGTGATTCCGTGAGCGGCGAGTTAGGGGGCAACGGCGCGCGCAACGGCGGAATCGATAGAAGGCAGAACCGGGTGGCTGAGTGAAGCGTGAAATAGAAGTCGAGGTGAAACGAATTGGAAAAAGGGACTGAAGCGGTCAACCAGGCCGAAAAATCGTCTGTGGCGCGACGGTTGGAGAGCCGTTGAAAAAAAACGTAGTCTAGTTGGTATCGAACGGAACTAGAAACAGGCGGGCGAGGAGAGGACGACGTTAGTAGTAAAAAAAGGCCGAGGATGGCAGGCGACAGAGACAGGGAATAAGAAAGAAGAAGAAGTAAAAGAAGGGGGACAACCGGGCCCTGAGGTGAAGATGCGAAGAGAAGATGCGAGAGCAACAAACGAGGCCCGTGAAGAAACAAGATGGAGGAACAAGAGCAAGAGGGGGGTGGGGGGGAGGGAGGTGAGATATAGGCGAAAGGAAGGGAGAAGGAAGGGAAGGGCAAGGCGGGTACAGCAGTAGCCAGCGGTAGCGGTATTACTGGAACCCAACGATGCCGTGCGTTCTCACTGACTGGTGCCAAACTGCCCACCGAGCAAAATACATTACTTATTAAAAAAAAAAGCCAGAGCGGGTGCCAGTGGGCAGACGCCAGACAGCCAGGAGATTGCGCCGCCCAGTCCGAGCCAGGGGGCGTGCAGGCCCACGGTCCAGGATCCAGGGGGGGGGGACGAGAGGGGGGGCGGTGTTGAGTGGAAAAACGAAGAGGAGTAAATATAAAAATAAAATGGGCAAAAGAAGAACGAAGAAAAACACCAAGCAACACACACACACACACACACACATACACCAGTCAGTCACTGTCGCCCACGGCGCGCAGCACAAGTGGTCCATCGCTAGCCGCCGGGGGGGCTCCTAACAGCGCCCACTCAACTTGCTACCAACACTTGCTGGCCAGTCGAAGCGCCGGACCTCTGATGCCAGCCGTCACTTGCATATTGACGGGGGGTGATTTTGCTCTTTTCCTGTAGATTTGATGGTCTCTTTTCTGTCGGGTCCCGCCCCAACTCTGCCTCTCTTCCCCGGCATTACCATCCTATGCAATGGTGGCGCGCGTCGACGATGCTTCTTTTCCCGTTGAACCAACTAACACCACAACAACCAACCAACCAACTACTTATTTACCTACTAGTTAACCTTGGAGAACAAACCCGCCTTTGCCGGCCACTAGACCGCTCAACGGCAAGCAAACCCACCACAAGGCGGGTAAAAAACAGGGCAACAAGCAGACAAGAACAACAATAGAAGAATGGAGCACAAGAGACTCACCTCTCTTTCAAACTTCTTCTTTTCCTCAAACGTCGTCCAGCATAAGCACCTGACTCTTGCCATTCCGGAGGTCCTTTGTCGGCGGGCCCCGGCTATTCCTCTTGGCTATCCGGATAACTAACTAGCAAAGGACAAGAAGGTTGTAACTAGCAACGGGGACAACAACTCAAGGCTATCAAGAACTGTGCACGTGGGCACGATGCCGCTTGGCTTTTCTTCTCTTGGCACAATGATGAACAAGTCGATTGCAGCGAGTCAACCGACTCTGCGCTTCTCTTCTTGAAGAGTTGTGTTGAACTTTGGGGGAAAAAATATAGAAGAAACAAGAGTATCGAATATAGTGCAGGGTCAGGTAGCCAAAAAAGGAAAAAGAATAAGAAAAAAAAAGAAACGTTGCAATGTCGTGCTTTCCTTTTTTTTTTTTATTTTTTATGGTCTGTCTTCGTCCTTTCCCCAAGATCGATCATGCAAGTCAGCCAAACCTGAGGCAAGACACCTGCATCTTAAATACGCATGCCTAAATATATCCCAAGCCTGACAGCCTGCTTCCCAGCAGCCAGCCTCGTTCCTGCTTCTCCTCTGCGCCTTTCTACTAAATAGGAAATGGGATGAATAGTTAAATCATGACCGTCCCCCAGAAAAAGGACGCCGTCTTGCCATCAGCTGCCCAGCAGCTGCAGGTCCGCGCCGGCCACAGCACCCACTTTGCTGGCCGGGCTCTCTCGGCCCCTCGTGGTAGTTTATTAGGTATTAGTTAGTTATTTAATGATCCTTCAGAGATGGCCAGATTGCCAGATGTTCCAAGCTCCCTTGTTTCCCCCTCTCCAATTGATCTACTGATTTCGAGTAATGACTAGTGTCGTCGTACTTGCCAGGATTTACCGTGTCAAAATGCTCGGCGCCGATAACTAGTGCCTCGACCCTAAATACCTAATAACTTACCCGTCGTGACGGTGATGCAAATGTCCAGCCTCTCCGCCACTCTGTTCTCTCCCTCTATACGCAGAGAAGAAACATTATCCGCACAAAAATACACCATACTGAACTTGTGCTTCTCTATTTAGAAATATCCTAGAACAAAGGAACAGCGTCCCATGCATGACGGGCGCGCGTCCAGGGTCAGCCGGTACGCTCAGTCATTCCCAGACGCAGGTCTTGGACGGGGAGGTCTTGGACGGGGAGGGGCCGCAAACACTCGATCACACTATCACACTGTCTCTGCACGAATCGCCTGCTTCCCATCTTTGGGGACCTGCCCAGAGACACAGGGGCAACACAAGAGAAGCACAGGCGCCATGCTGCCCCCGCGAGCCCCATGTCCTGACAGTCCGGCATGATTGGCGAGCCGTGGCAAGCACAGGCTAGCAACAGCATCAGCCAGGGCCAGGCCGGGGTGAGACGTTGGTCCCCAAAAAAAGACATGGACGAGAAGGCGAGGGAGAGAGTTGTGAGACGGGAGAGAGAGAGAGAGAGCGCGACCTACACCGCAGAGACGGGTATTGCCATCTGACCTGTACGACACACGGCTTCGCTGAATGGCGAACGTAACTGGTATGCGCCACACGCAAACGAATATGAGCGCTTGCTGTGCAACTGTGCCACACCCAACGAGAATGACGCGCTGCTGTAGATTGATAATACACGCCCACAACTCGGTACACAGCTAGTTACTATAAACCCGTCCACGGCGCGCCTCAACAAGTTGCTACACAAGCACCGTCAGCCGATACGACAACCATCTCCCTCTCTCTGTTCCCTCTATCTCCCTTGTCCTTCTTTCCGTGGTATTACTCTGGGGTAAAGAAACCGAACGTGCTCTGCATCTCTGCAGCTTGCTCGCCAGCACTGCCACGCCGCTGTTCCCATCAGGCACCGCCTGCATGGTGCTACCGCTCCGCTTCTGCTTGTTTTTTTTTTTTTTTCTTCCCTTGTTCGCTTTTCTCATTTGTCTGGTAGTACCGGACACAGCTCGCCATGTGGCCTCGTGGAACCTGCAGCTAGAGAACCTGGAAATCTGTAACACGGCCGCATTGCCGCCCCCCGGCGCTACCAACCACCTTCATCCACCACCGCCTCCCACCAAGCGTGATCATGTTCAACATTGTCCTAATCGACGCTGCGAGGTTGTGCACAACCGAACAAGAAAAAAAATCATCTAGTCGACTGCAGCTGAGCTCTCTTTGTGCAACCTGTCTGCATGCAACGATCTCGGCCTCGCGATTATCGGAAAATCAATGCCGACGAATGCGTCGTTATTATGCAGGGTAGTCGCAACAAGCTGCCAACAGGCGGCTGCATTTTCTATCGGTTTGCACGCTGCCTTCACAATGACAAACGCCGACGAGCTTTATCATGGCCAAATGTCGCAAGGCAAACTTTATCCAAGCCACAGAACACTTTTTCCCTCCTCAGCTCATCGTGATGCTTAGCTTTGCATCCTCACGACAAATCCAATTGTCGTCATACATCCTGCTAGCCCATCGCCTTGCTCTCTCCTTACCCCTCCTTCGCAAGGCATCGAAACGGCCGACCTCATGCACGTCGTCTAGGCCCCGGACGTGGCTACCCAACCCCTGCAGAAGGGCAACCGGCGGCGTAGGCACCGGACCCGGACTTGGGAAGCTAGTGCTCGCCGACACAGTTCCAACCCTCCCGGCGCCAGCGCCGTGTTGAAGGATGGACTGCCACTGCACCGACAGAAGTCGGCGGCGCGCCACATGCATACCATAGCTCTCTGTAGCTATAGCTCCGGCTCCGGCTTCAGCTATGCTCGCTTCGGCCTGCCACGCGACGACAATGACGCCTTGGTAGGTACAATGTATGCGGAGGGACTTGCCTAGCTCATTTTCTAGTGCCTTGTCCGCAGAGTACTCTTCTTATTAGTTTGAAACTAGTAAGAGTCGCCCTAACTAACTAGTAGCAGCAATCCGAAAACGAATATCCAGCTCGAGTCAACCTTTCTATAACAAGGAGTTATTGGTGTTGGTCTATATAGAAGGTTGGGACGATACACTGCCACAATTCAAGTTAACAATACCTTCAGCGATATGCACTTGTAGTGGACTACCAATAAGTAATGTAATAATGGCTGTTGTGTGCTATGCGCTCATGCCAGCCTCTCGACCTCCCCGCTACTTTACTAGTACGCTCACACATGCTTCTCCAGTGAGTTGGAGGAAGCGTTGGGGGGGTAATGTGCTTTGACCTCGTCGAGGCTAGTACAGTAGTTAGTGGCAGAGTAATCAAAGTAGGTAAACAAGGGCGACGACGGCTTCATTGTTTGGGAAACGGCCCCTTGGCACTTGATGACTAGGCTTGCTACAAGCCAACCATGAGGTGGCGTCGATAGAGGGAGGATGGAGTACAAGGCGTATCCCAGCTGATGGCACGACAAAGATCGGGCTGGTCTTCGCGGTGAAATTACAGTCACGACGCCTCATCCTGTTCGGACGATGGCTTTTGCCTCGTTACCTGGTAACATACCAAGAAGCTCCGCGAAGAAGCCGAAGTTGGCGAGCGTCTCTAAGCTAGCTACAGTGAATGATTCGCTCCGTTGCGGTAACATACGGGGAAAATATATGTATATACCAAGGATGCCACAATTCCAAGGCTGGTGAATAATGGTCGGAGCTTTAAATTCGCACAGACCTGCTCAAGGTGCAGCCGTGGATTTCGGGCCAGCTGGCGTGGACAGACCAACTCTGGCACGGGGTCGCGATACGTTCTGGTCCATTCATGGGATCCATACTACGCGATCGAGTGATTGTGTAACATTTGTCGACCAGAATCGAGGAGCAGGGGCTTGTTCTGGCCGAGTGTCTAGCTAGTTCTTCGAGTTTGGGGGTTTCGTGTCTGCAACGACGGATTGCCGTTGTGCTTTGCTATACAGCCAGCCACGACTTTAGCGATGATGGAAGAAACAGCCAACCTTGTCTCGATATTAGTAGGGTGCTGATCAGCACCGCCACAGCGAGATAAACGACGGCGTATGCCGTAGCAAACTGCAGGTGCAAGTTAGTTAACTAGCTGGGGGGCACGTTGGTGGTGGTGAGCCCGCAACCAACGGTTTGGCAACAACAACCTGCAAAAAAGCGGACATTTTCATGCTAAAAATAAATGTATTTCATCCAGTAGCAGAGTCGAGAATATTTTTTTTCTGCCGAAATAGATCAGAGTAGCAACGAGGACAAAAAGAGGGGGGGGGGAAGTGGTGGGCTACGACGAGCAGTGACTGGCTGGCGCTGCATGAGACGACCCGGAAACATGAAACACGCCTGGCACTCTGCAGCAGCGCCGTCAGGAAAAACCCACCACCTTTTGATAACTACTACGACGCCGCCGCAACGCACGTTCCTTGGCTTGCTGAAATTCTGTACGGGCGGGCTTCCGAATCCTTGATGCTTCTCTTGTCGTCTCTAGTTATTTTTTTCTCTCTTGCCCACACAGCACTGGGTTACAACTTGCTGGGTGGGTTAGCTATGTAGGTACACTAAAAACCTAGCCACACGCTCTCGGCTTTTTCGTCCTCCCCCTGGCGGCTTGTCCCACAATTCAGCGCTAGCAGAGGCTGCCCACTGCTGATTGGCTCCCTCAGAATTACCGTGCCCCGCCTTGCCCGCATACCCTTTTCTGCACAACCGTCCAACAACAAGAGGGAGGGGGGAAGCTCTATTGTTCAAGAGCGAAAGTTGCACCATGCAGGACAATGGGCAAAATGTGTGCGCTCTTTTGTTAGTGGCCCACCCTCCTCACCTCATCGTCAGCCGTGGACCAGAAAGAGGCTATCCCCGTTATGTATGTACAACAACGTCGTGCTGCTTTTTCTGTACAACGCGACAAGAACATGGAGGCGCGCGCTCGCACGGAAAACCACCCCCCCTGCCATTCGGCAATCTGCTCAGCTTCTACCACCTTGGGAAAGGGAAAAATAAAAAAATCTTTGTACGACTCTCTTGATCATCTGCAGGTCCGGACCCTGGCCAACCTTTGCTTTCCCGCCGAGATGCAAACCAAGTGGGCTGGGCCGGTTGGTAGGCTAGGTACTCCCATGACACCGGGGTTGTCATTCCAGCCGCCGCCACCCAAACTTTTCTACGAATTTTGGCTGGCTGTTATCGTCTTGTCAAAAGCAAAAGCAAGCCCATGCTGCAACACTAATGGCTAGTGTAGCTCATCTGCAAGTTACTTGTTACATCTTCTCTTATGCACCAGTGGGACGCCCGCACATACCCCAAGAGAAGGAGCAAAAAGGGCACCCGGGAAGTGCTGATCTCTTGCGTGCTCGATGTTCTCTTGCCGCCTCATGGTTGACCTGGTTCGATTCATGCAAGGCATCAAAGAGGGTGTGCTGATCTGCCCAACTGCTCATCGCCCATGCCGACGCTCTTCCGGGCCTCAGAGCGCCGTCTATCTATATCCCAAGAAGACGTTGCCGCCAGGAAGACGGAAAGAAATGTCATTTCTTGACACCAAAGCCGTCGATATACGTTCCGAGAGCACATTGCTAGTACAAATTATTGTCCTCAGGAACTACCATGCCAGTAGGACGATGCTCACCCGCAGTGTACCATACCAGTAGGACGATGCCCACCCGCAGTGGCCGATGCTCTCTCTGACCAGCAAAAGCCGATCCCGCCCTATCCCATCCCGATCAGGACGGAGCCTCCGTTGGCCGTGCCAGTCAAACCCCGGCACAAAGCTCTCCATAGTACATAAAACCGTCAATGTCCAAAATGCATTGTTGACAAGTGTGCTTCGTGCCAAGCTGTTTGACTTGGATAATACTACCTAATTGTCAAGCGATGCAGACTGATAGCTTGAGTTGTGACCCAGAACCTGGACATTCACGGGATCCCGGTCAATCGGCGTGTAAAGGCATTGATGGCAGCGGTATCATGGTTTCGCCGCCTAAACACCGTACGACCACTACGCAGCCAAAAGAGAGAGAAAACAAGGTTCATAGCAAGTGCGTGTGCTTGAGACACAGACGCTGGTATGTCAAGCGTACCTACATACCCGGCTTGCGGCAATCACGTTGGTCTTGTGGCCTTTCCCCAGTATGTACAAGCAACCACGAGGGCCCATGCGACAAGCAGAATATCACGCTTTGGTGCGGCCATCAAGATCATCGCTGCATGCGTGCGTTAGGATGCTGATACGAAAAGCGGGCAGAGATGACGCCGTCCATGCTGGCGCAAGGGCCGCCTGAGATGGACATGTAAACAAACCATGTATCGACTATTGGCTGATGAGTCTTGTTTGACAGCTCTTGATACCAGTAGCGGTCTGCATCGACCCTGGGCGAATTTCAGCCATGCATGACATGCATCGCAACCGGGGGGGCTCGAGATGTTGAGTAAGAGAAACTCAATCAACACATTCCCACCTCGGTGCTCCCACGCACGGTCTCCCACGAAGTCTCGGTGTCATATTTTCCCCCTCGTCGTCACTTTTGAGATGTGCTCTCGCACGCATGGTCTTTGCGTACCGGGGGCGGCGACGCCCATTTGACTTTTTTGACTGGAAACGGGAGGCTAACAAGATGCAAAGAAGGAAAAAAAAAAAAAAAAGACCACGAGACAAACACACAGACAAAAGCTCATCTGTCCCGGACAGACGATGGCGCGACCAGAAACATGCGCTAGTCGCCTTTCATTTCATGTTGTTTTATTTATTATTTTTTGCTTCTTCGGATTACAGACGACGAGGCTTCGCCATGACCCAGCAGAAGCCGGGCTCCGGCGAACAGACTTGGATCTAATCTTTTGCTCACCATGATTTGTTTTGGGTTCCGCGTTCGGTGTCTCGCTTCTTTCCAATTCTTCACCATTTTTTTCTTAATAAACGTTGTAAACAAAAATCGGGGGCAAACAATTTCGCAGGGCCTGTTTTAGCCCCGATATCCCTTTTTGCTTTCTTAACAGACTGCGGAAGACCCTCCACTCCGTTAAGGGGAAGAGCGCCAGCTCATCTGTCGGGAAGGGGGTCACTTCTCACTCTCTTTCTTTCCCTGGCCCAGAACGATACCCAACCCGCCGGATTGAAGCCGGTTCATAGGCTATTGATGCTGGTCGATAGCATACATACGTTGTTGCTCTTACACAATGACAGGTCGGCTGGGCCGCGGCCTGCAGCGGGCTTCGAGAAAGAGGCGTTGCCAAATATAGGCTCCCCTGCTGCCTCTGTACCCTGTTACCCCCTCCCAAGGCTGAAACAGACCAATCAGCTCCCCTGGCAGGCTCTCCCTAGGAGATCTCAAACGTGGTGCGGGCAGGGCAGGGGGGGTAGGGCCGTTGCTGATTGGGTCCTGTGGGATGGCGAACCAGTGTCACAAATACAGGCTCTTGGTACGGGCGGGAAGTAGCGGATTACTATAAAAGAAAAGAAAACGAAAGAAAAGCAGAAAAAAAAAAAGAGAAAGAAAAGACACTAAAGTGAATAGAAGAGGCCTTGATGGGTGGTTGTGAAACCTGAGAGAACAGAGCGTACCGTACTCTTGGTACCACCCAAGCTTCGCAGAAGGCTGCTTCTTTTGTCTTGTCATCCTTCTTCGTACCCAATGCTGTGGCACCTGAAAATTAGACATTGTCTGAGACACCAAAAAAATAAAAATAAAGAAGCGCTTTTTCGCTTCTTGAATTCTTTTTTTACTTTTTTTGCCAGCCTTGCGCGGGGGAGGTCTTGCCGTGGGCTCCGTTTACGATCCCAAGACCCAGTAAAAAAGCAGATTACAAACGAAAAGCACGGTTCGAAAAGTGATGGCAACTTTTTTTTTTGAACTTTTTTTTTGCCTTTTCTTCTTTCTTTGCTCGGGCCTCTGTTTCTGGGGGCGGCCTGGGCGGAACTCCCGCCTGCCTCCGATGCCTTTCTGCAGCTCCACCTGGGGCGCAAACGGGCAACCTCCATCCATCCATCGGAAACGACAAGACGAAGAGCAAGCAACCATGGCAAAGCTCGGGATACAGGCGGGAGCCGCTATTCTGCGCTCAAGACGGGTTTGGTTCTCAAACTACAAAGTTACGGATAATAACTAACTGGTAGACAGAGCAACCCGTTGACCAGCCAGGTTCTTGATTCCTCGCCCAGCCACCTGATAGCCCTGTCTTCTCGTGTATCCATCCTCGACGCTACTGTACATCGATGCCGTTTCACCATTTTCTTTTTCTTTTTTCTCTTTTTATTTTCGCTTCTTTGCTTCTAACCCTCCCCGCTCAACTCCCAACTAGGCAATGCATCCGGTCCCTGACAGCAAGCCGGTCACGCCACAACACTTGGCCCGGCCAAGGTCACTACATCCGGCATGGTCCAAGGTCAACGCATTGTATAACGCGTTGTATATAGAACCTGACGCTGCGGCCGGCGCTCCGGAGCGCCCTGGTGCCAAGACGTCAAAAGAGGGCCAAGATGTCAAAGAGGACGCCAACTGGTTATACTCGTGCTCTGGCCTTTGCTCTGTGTGCTTCTTGTTCAGTACAATCCGATGTTGAGACAGATGACTGGCAGCCCTGGCCGCCACAGCGCCGCCACAAACTAGTTATGCATACTGGAACTCCGCGTCCATTTGCCGACTTTGTTCGTCGTGGGAGGCCTTGTTGCTCCCTCTCTGGTTTGGTCGTTTTCTTGATGCTCGAGAAAGTGATACTGCCGCTCTCAACCTGAAACGATAACCTGGATCGACGGGAACTTCTCCATTGACAAGAATGTCTTCGATGGCTCCTCCTTGCCTCTTTGGGATCTTGGACGGGCTTGCTGATGACTCTTGCATTCAATCCCATCATCGGCAGTTACGGCACTGCATCAACAGCACTTGCACAGACGGCTGAAATTATGCCAAAAATGACCAAAAAATCAAGCATGCCAATCCAAAACACGCATCTACATAGTATTGCTTCTTTTATCTCACCATGTTTCACTAAAGGCTCTCTTTAGAGGAATGTCGAGCATATCTCATGCTGTGAATAAGCTTACTCGCAGACGCCCTTGAAAAACTCACTTACTCGATGTCGGCGCTAATCCTAACCAATCCGAGCGCCCGAGAGCATACGATAGAGTCGATACGAAACTGCAATGGCACCCTGAACCAGCCGACGTAAGGAGATCCTATATCGTGATATAGAAGGGCCTATTGGCACAGACATGGGGGGGGGGCATGGGCCATGCCCTCCGTGTTAGTCTAGTCTGTTTGACGGCTTCATCTCGACAGAAGCTGACATCTGAGGGCGGTGAATTAGCTAGAATAGCTACAAGCCAAGATTCAGTTCGGGCTGATCCGTTTCACGTAAAACATGCAATGGCCACGGTCGGTGAATGACCATGTACGTCGAGCCAAAGGCCAGAGCCACGAGCACGAATAGGACGTACGGACGGACACTTGGGGCGGTTTCGAAAAGGCCTCTTTTACTCTCTTCTCCATGAATGCCGTTTCAAGACTCGACAAGCACAGCTGGCGAGAAGGGCCCATTCTTTGTCTCCGTGGGCATCCACACCCAAACGGCGAGGGCACGTTCAAGGCCGCCAAAAGCCGGACAGGCAATTGACACGGCATGAACCATTAGTGACGAGATGCTATCGCTAGGGGATAGTTTGGACGAACGGCGCGGCGAAATACGACGGGCTGGCGGCAAGCTCAGGTATCAGCAATGGGGGGGGGCGGCGCAATCTAGTGTTTCGGATTCCTCGTCGCCAATCGGAGACGCTATGATGCGTCGGCGCCGCGGCCAATGACGCTAATACCATTTTCAGGGAACGAGAGCAACGATTCGAATATGCAAGAGGCAAGTAAAAAAAGGGTAACTAGTAGTAGAGAAGCGGTTTCATGGTAGCCCGCTGGCCCCGGGTCTCTCGCCTCTCTCCTCCACTTGTTGGATAAGTCAGTCGTACGGTCTATCGGCTAGTGATGAAGGGGACCCAGGCTCTTGTTGCGGACAATTACTCGCCGTCTGTTCCATTTGCCGCCAACATGGCCGATACGAAACCCGCCTTGGGGCCAGTCTTGCTGAGGTGTGGCGGGAGGGTGCATTGTCACCATGCTGCCGAGGGAGCTTTTTCTGTTCCGTGTTGGTCCAGGACCGAGTCCAACTCGAGGTATGACGAGTATATTTCCTGCAATCAGAGTTCCGGATAGGAAGCGCACAGTCAGTGTGAGAAGAAACAAACTATAATGTGTTTGTAGAAAGATGTTACAAACTAGCAAAGCGTAAAAGCAGGTACAGAAAGAATGAAAAAACAAACTCTGATAATAGCAGAGAAAGTGCACATGCCACCACGGGCGGCTACGAGATCCATAGTATGCAATGCACAACATACATGCAAAATCGGAGGTGTGACTTGGGTGCATGAAGAAACGTTATTTCGACGACTCGGAGGCTTGCGGGGACCGGCACGACTCGACCGACTCGTTGGCTTTGCTGAACGCGCACGCTCCCTTCCACCGGGGGGTCATGACAATGGCAGATTTCTGTCTTGTGAAAAAGATTCATGCGCCACGGGCGGAGGAATTAGAGAAAAAGCAGGAGAAGAGGGGGACAGGGCCCGGCAAGCCGCAGATTTGCGCCCAGATCCTCACGACGCTCGCATGAGCCCTATCCATGGCGCCCGTGTTTTGGTTTAAAACCCCGCTCTGGCTTGTTCCCAAGCTAGGTAAGCTATCTTGATGGGAAGCAGATGTTCAGGGGGGGGGGCAAAAAGGCGAGAGGCGGGTGGAAGTTGAGAGCAATGTGGAGTTGGCATCTTTTTTGGAAACGAGGAAAAAAGAGGCGAGATGTGGAAAAAAAAAAAAAGTCCTAACTACTTGGCAGAGAGAAATTTCTCAAACACGCAACAAGGCCTACCCAGGCCTCAAACCCAGGCCATTGAGGCCTACCCAGGCCGCGGTTTTAAAAGACGTTCTCGCGGTTTCAAGACAGTTTCCAAAAACCCTCTTCTTCTTCGCTGCAAGTGTCTCCGATACAGTTCAACCCGCCAGGTTTCATACAACCAGACTATGGGTTTTCTTTTCCTTTTTTTTTATGCAGCGAAAAAAAAAAAGAAGCCTGTTGGACGAGTCGACGGATATCCGCGGAGCACGGCTTGCTTGTGAGGGCTGTTCTGGTTGCTTTCTGAGAAGAACAAGGACGGGTAAGCTATGTATCCCGGAGCCCAACCGCAGGCTCAAAGTCGTCGCGTCGAAGAAGAAGCCTGCAGATTTTCAAGCCATGTTCTGCCTCTTCTTCTTTTAGACAAGATGGGCTGCGGAACTCGTCTTGTTCCAGCTGCTTCTTCTCTCCCATGATGATCCGGGCCCCGCGGCTTACACCTGACTTGACCGACGTCTGATAACACGGGACTGATCACCAAAGATTTTATTCTGAAAACATATGCCATGAAGCACTCGTATATCAGCTTGTGACAGAATTGATTCATCTTTTTGCGTTGGTCCACGTCTACCCATGCATTTTCCCTTCTTCAAGCGTCCAGATCGCATGAACAAGCAAAGCGCAGACACAGCAACCCGCCGAGTCATGAACAGCACCACGAACCGCTCTCGCAAAGAAAGGGTTCCATCAGACCAACCCGGCCACCTCCGATTCCGTCATAGCTGAGTGCCGCCCGGAATGGAGAACATCGGGGCGCAGTTGTTACAAGTTCCCGGCAACCATTTTCACCTCCCGCAGGCCCGGTTTGTTCGAGCAGAGGCGCGGCGCGGGCGGCAAGAGGGAGATCCGAGCTTCTCTCTCTAGCTTATCTCTCTCTCTCTCTCTCCATCTTCTATTTTTGGACAAGTGCGACTCCTCATGTCGGTGCGCAACCAAGAAATCCGAAACGATCTGGTCCATCGACAGGTCGGGGGGGGGGTGGGGGGGGAGCCGCCACCACTTCGGAAACGGACTTGTCATGCAAGATGGAATGCTGTTTTTTCCCTCTCTGACTCTTTTTCTTCCCCGCATTTCTAGTTAGCTCTTGCCTGCGTCAGATGTGTTTGTACATTGGAAAGGGCCTTTTTGCCGTCATCACCATGTTCCCGGGATGGGAACGGCTTTTGTTGGCGCGTTTGAGCCAGACCAAGCAAACTTGAACGGGCATATACGCTCGTCTCAAGTTTCTGGCCCGTAGTCATCTGTAACAGCCGCTTTGTCCTCTTTTGTTTTCTGTTATTTGTTTCTTCGTTTGAGCCTACAAAGATCCAATCAAAGAGCGCCGTTCGTCAGTTGGCGAGAACGAAGCCTGCGGTTTCATCGTCCCTTTGCTTGGAAACTGCATGGTGCTCGCCCTTGGCGCTTGTTTCTCTTTTCATCGTTGAACCGGTCGCGGGGGTTTCGTTCTGACCGGCTGCGTAGTTCGTGGAAACGTCCCCTCCAGGTCATGACAACACGAAGCTATAGGGTAGTCAAATATTTGCAGAGAGCAAGACGGCCTCACGTCGTCCAGGCTTGGATTTTGCCTTGTTTATTGGCTTAGTAGTTGCGAGAAGTCCATTGAAAGGGTTTCAGGTTAAAGTTTTGAGTATACGTCGAGTGGAAACCATGGCATCGAGACATGTTGGCTGAATCCCTCGAGCGACTGGCCACGGCATGTCGATAAACTTGGCTGCATACTGAATTGACTTTTTGAACAAATATGACGACATAAATTTAGTAAATGATTCTCCTGTACTGGTTAGGTTGAATGTTCGAGTGATGCTGTTGGTTTCACCCGTTGCGCTCTCCGCCTCGGCAAAGAACTGCTCATCACGCTCGTCTTGATTACCATATCACGGCACTTCTTTTCAAATAGCCTCGCGAATGCATCGACAGCCTTTCCGAAACTTCTAAAATATATCAAATACTCAATTTTGCTTTATTGCCGTCTTGTACGAGTTTTCTGCCCGATTCGTGGCTTCTTGCAACTTTGCCCTGAACACCTCGATGTCGACAGCGTCACGGCAGATACGACGCTGATGCCAGTTTTGACCGCTATAGTGGACCATTAAACAGGAATGGCAGAGTTCAAGTAGCTGAAAGGGGCTCACGGTATTCACTCGGACGACTTGGATAATGGCGGCGAGAATACGGAGCGCGAATAAGCCAGGACCGTTGCGAAAACGACTGTCTGGTACGTGGACATTGAGAATAGTCTCAACAACGGCATTAACACCCATACGGGAGAATTATCTACTCGAGTACGGGCGTATCTACGTGCTGATTCATTATGTAATTACGTAGTGTGATTCGTCGACTCACACTGCTGCGGCAAGATATTGTGAGCGCAAGCATGTTGGTCGACACCTATTGCTACATTTCATCGTGCGCGCATTAACCATTTGAAAACGAAACACCTCTCCGGCACGTGATTGAAGCGTACAATGCCCAGCCTCCATTTCGCTTCTACCTCGTGCGACCAAGATGGCCCGACTTCGACCGAAGACGGATGCTTACAAACAGCCAGTTTGGTTGCACAGCTACAGGGTCCCAGCTAGAGAGCTGGTTCGATAGCCGCGACGTCATATACTGTAATGCTGAGCGTATCCGAAACAAGCCTGATTTTGATCTTGTCGAGCTTGTATGGTACGATATCCAAAACCTCTGACAATGAAAGGTAAGACCATGGAGTCCTGCAAGCATGACGAAGATAGAGACCTCAAAAAGGCTTATTGATACAAATGCAAGCTGTGCGGCGCAAGTTTGGCGTTGCCGTCATCAGTGTTGTACGCCAAGCTATGCTGCACGACTCAGGCAAAGGCAGCAAGGCGAGAACGGTTCGGGAACTGCCTGGAGTCCCGCTTGTTCGATGACTATTTGAATTCAATGGCCAATGCGAGCAAGAATCAAAAGGCAAAAATCAATGACAAATCTATTATCATGTTGATTTGTCCCGAGTGGCTGCTGGGTTCTGCGCGTTAGTCAGGTAACGGCCCTTGAATTGCTCATGCTGGTTGTGCAAGCACGCTTGGACGAGCGTTCGGTGAGCTTTGCTTCTGTCTTTCGGCCCTCGATCAGGTCAAGTATTGCTTTCCCAGTGCACAATGGAGAGAGAATACATGAAACTTGAACCGATACAGGCCTACCCGAAAATGGCATTGCGTTGGAGAAGCTGAAACGGCCATTCCAGAAGCCCAATTGCACGCGCCTTCCAGGTACAGGTGGAGGAGGCCGCCGCCTGGGAGTCTCGGCCCATCCTACCAGCAAGTCTCATTCGTGATCATCGCCTGGGTACCTAGCGGACGTTTGGCCGCTGCTGTCCGTAGAGGTCCACCCGTATTCCAGCCTCCCTGGCCCTTGTAGCCGCGCCGGAAGGCCGGGCTGCCGGCGGCCCGCTGCGGATCGCCTCGCATTCGGCCTTCTGGGGCCGCCCTGTGTGACAGATGGCGGATGCCAGCCCGACAGACAGGGGCAGGTTGTGCGTCTGTAAAATGAATAAGTAAGAAATTATATATTATAGAAAATGGGAGAGACAGCTATGGGTACTACTGTTCGCCCTTTGTAAATTAAGCTGCACCAGCTCATAATCTGGAGCCGCCTTTAGCGAGCGTCTAACGGATTTGGTCCGTGTTTGTGTGACCGCGAGCACTATAGAGGGTAAAAGCAAAGATTTTTGCGTAGTAAAGTGTTTTCGTTGCAAGCAAGTCTCTCACTTCCTACTCACGTAGAGCTGGTGGCTCGTCCATAAGTCCAGAATAGCCTCGCGTGTTCGTTCGGACTCGTTGTAGTTGGGACTCTGGTCGGTACAACGGTCGATACAACTCGCGACATTTAAACCGCCGGCCTCGGTGTCCCAAAGCCACCTCATACACATAAAACAAGGACAATTATCCCTTCAGGTTCGACAAAGCCCGCAACTTCTACGTAGCCAATGTGAGTGCTTGTCTGGCATACGTATTGATTCCCTCTCGCGATAAATCATCGTCATCGACACTGTCCAGCCTCCATTTCTCCGGAAACACAGCCACCAAGCGCAGAGCCACCTTTATCATCAGGTCGACGGTCCACTCCGTCAGCTCATCGGACCACAGCCACGACAGCCACATGCCGGCCGCGGCCAAGGGCAGGGCGACAAAGCAGGGCGCCAGCACGGCCGGGTCCGGCCAGCGGGTGACGATGAAGTAGAGGGCCGTGCCGGCGGCGCCGGCCCAGACGCCGAGATACACGACGGCGAGGAAGACCAGGCCGAGGACGAGGATGGTCGTGTAGATGACGATGATGCATGCAAAGAAGAAGCAAAACTTGGCGACGGCGCGGTTGCCGACCGTGTGGAGGCGGTGCTCGGCGGCGCCGGAGCGCGCCGACGAGAAGCGGTTGATGATGGTGGCGCGGCAGTGCAGGATGCCGACGCGCACCGACGGCGAGCGCACGAGGATGCGCACGAGGTACGTCACCAGGCCGACGACGGCGAGCGCGAGCGCCCACGTCCACAGGCGCGGCGGCGCGGCGAGCACCTCGCGCACCTGCATGGAGAAGATGGACGTGACAAAGGACAGCGGCACAAAGAAAAAGGCCAGCTCCGTCAGCTTGTTGATGCCCGACGTCTGGTCGATGACGAGCGCCGACTGCGACAGGCCCATGGACGAGGCCAGCATGCTGAGCGTTGACTCGGCGCGCCGCTGCAGCGCCTGCACGTCGGCGATGAGCAGCGCGAGCTCCTCACCCTCGACGGCATCGTGCGGCGTCGAGGAGGTGGCGGTGGCGGCGTGCAGGTGCAGCGCCCACTCGCCCAGCGCCTGCAGGGTGCACCGCATCCAACACAGGTTCTGCCGCACCGAGTTGCCAAACGACTCGACGAGCTGCGAGAAGAGCGCGCCGGAAAAGTCCCCGTCGAGGTGGTCCAGCTCCGCCCGCATCTCGGCCAGCAGCCGCCAGAAATCGTCGAGCACGAGGCTGTGCAGCAGCGTGGCCACGAGGGCGTCGCCGTCCCGGGCAGCGTCGGCCGGCGACAGCGTGCGTAAGCGGCCGAGGACCAGCTCCGACGTGGACAGGCTGTATTTCCTGGCAAACGCGCGGTCGCGCGAGTACGGCTTCGGGTTCGCGTACTCTTCCCGTAGCTCCTTCTCGTAGTCCTCGTCATAGTCGTCGTCGCTGGTGTACGAAGATTCCGAATCGCTCTCGTCGCCGCCGCCTGATTCTTCGTGGAGCGAGGGATCCGCGTCGACCTGTTTCCTGCGGAAGCGGTTCCGCAGGGCGTCGCGTTTTTGCTTGAGATTCTGCTTGGTGGCCTCCTTTTTTTGCGCCTTGATCTGCTTGTTGGTAATGGGCGGCGGTGGCGGATCCAGATACGTCTCTTCGGGGCCGGCGCTGCGCCAGAGCTCCTCGTCCGAGTAGCTTTCAATCTCCATGGCCCTGGGCATAAAGGTCAAGGAAGGCGTGTATTCGTTGGTCTGGATATTCTTCATCTTCCGGGCTGGGTCAAAGACGAGGACGACTCCAGGGAAGCATGGGTTGTTAGTTCGGTACAACGTAGTGACGGGACAAGTATCTGTTCTACCCACTGACTCTCTCTCCTGCCTCATCGCAGCCGGTCCAATGGCTGAGACCTTCGGGTGCCAAAACACGTAAATCTCTATTATACCATGAATTCAAGTTCTTGGGCAGGCCTTCAAAGGTGCTGTATGAACGGTAGACATTGCTGGCCTTGACCTTGGACGGCGTCAAGACGGCGTCCGTCGTTGACGAGCTGGCCGCTGGCGGGTAGTGTCCTTTTTGCTTCCTCTGCTTCTTTCTTTGCTTTGCGTCGGCGAGAGCCTTGGCCTTGGCCAGTTTCTGTGCCGTCATGTACCGTCCCCATTTGTCCTGGACAACGTCTCGCTCCGCCAGCCACCGTCCGTCGCTCAGGCGGACCTCAATCTCGGCCTCGTTGAATCCCTTCTTGCCCAGGTAGTGCAGGAGACCCAGCCGCGCCCACTTCATGTGCACCCACGGCCGCGACTTGACGCGGCGCGGAATGTTCCACTCGGTGCGCTGGCCGGTGCCGGGCAGCGGGTGATGGCGGAAGCGCGTTCCTTGTTCGCTCCAGTTCATCCAGATGGCATTGTTGACCTTGAGCTGGCTGTCGCTCGCGGCGTACCCCGAGTTAGCCAGGTGCTCGAACCAGAACTCGGGGTCCATGTTGTACGTCTGCCCAATGGCGCCCATGGTGAAGCGGCTGAGGTCAGTCATCATGATGACCCGGAGGCCGCATGCTTTGGGCCTGTTCTGCAGCAGCTCTGCAAGGTGCTGCTTCGTTGCTGCCGTCACTACCGCAGCATTGTCGTGACCAGAAACGTAGTCAATGACGGTGACTGCGGACGACGACAGACCGCTATAGCGTTCGCGATGGGTGACGTTGAGCCATCGGGGGTCCCATCTGGCGCGGTTGTCGAGGTTGTTCATGTACAGCTCGGATAACGTCTCGAGCCAATGCGACAGGTTGAACAAGTCCTCTGGTGGCTCAGCGTCACTGGCCTTGGGTGGCTCCGAGTCATCGGCTTTGGGTGCCTTGACAGAAGCATCCGAGCTTGCTCCATCATGACCCTGCACGAGGGTGTTTTGGTGGCTCGTGGGAAAAGAAGTCGTGGCGGTGGTGGGAGGCAGTCGTGTCTCTTCGTTGCGCAGCGCGAGATTTGCGCCAAGTGATCGCTCCAGCGAGTTTCTAGGGACATTGTAGCTTGGGTTCCAGCGCTGCGATGGTGGCCATGACAGGGCGTACCCGTCTTCCTCAGACTTTTGCGTGCCACCCATCCTTTGCGTATCAGGCGCGCAATGCCGATTGCATCTTTATAGATTTATATTTTTGCTCCAGAGCAGGGGCCGCTTAGTTATATCACGACGTCGACCCCTGGACAAGACTTTCAGCCCAGGCAGGCCAGGGCTGCTTATTGGCGTTGACCCCCCCTGTACCCCCTGTACGCCTTTTTGAGGCTGCTTACGAGGTACGAGGATGGCGGGTACATCGGCGACCTAAAACAAGCCGTCATCTTCAGCTGCTAATTATAAACAGCTCTTTATTTCATTCGCTATAATGATCTTGCTGATCCTTATTATATTCCCTGTTCAATTCATGACCTTGCTGTTTTTACTAGATCCGGACTTTGCCCCCTTTGTTGTCCAACGTAGTAAACGTCTACTATCGAGCGAAGCTAATTTTTATACTGCCATCCCAAATACAAGGGCCGTCCCGTGCCGGACGCCGCGCGATATATAAAACCCCAATCTGCTTTTGAATGTAGGGTTCCATATGCTCAATGTATAATAATGCCCATACTCTGCCGCTAGTTTACACTCAGACAAAACCCATTCGCCAGCGTATCTCGCTGCCATCTGCCCATCACAGCGAGCAATCCATTCAGCCTGACCAGCGCGCCCGTGAACACGAGCACGTGCATCAAGTTGTGACTCTGGCCGAGCAGGTCAAACGTCCCAGGAAACCAGCGCTCAGGAATCCTCGCCGCGTACAGCGCCGCGCCGGAGAAGTTGATAAGCGCCAGGCCGAGAAACGACTCGAGACCCATCATGTCCTCCAGCGCCGCGAGGCCGAACCGGGACCAGCCATGCAAAGCAGGCGCAAAGAGGCTCGATCCCAGGAAGCAATACAGGAGAAAGCGCATCGTGCGATAGGTAGGCTGCCGAAACGTGGGACGCAGAGTAAAGACGCCGCAGCCAATGGCCGTGCCGCTGAGGGCGAGATGGTACAGCACCTGCAGTCGTGGTTGGCAGTAAAAGGCGAAATGCACGCCAGAGACTCCGGTTCCCCACATGACGAGAACGATGCCCAGGTGGTCGAGCTCGTTGCCGAACCGATGCATGCCGGCGCTGTGGTCCGCGAATGTGTGAAACGTGGTGGACAGCACGAAGCAGACCACCACGGAGAGGTAGTACACGCTGACGGCCGCAATGTCGGAGGCACGCGAGCCATCTTGGCCGGCAAAGGAGCGCAAATGAAGAAAGTCGATCAGCCCTATGAGGAACTGGGCAGCACCGATGAGATGGGACCAGATATTGGCTGCAGATTGGGTCAGTCGACTTGCCGCAGGGATGCGTGCTTCTCTGCCGAGGACACTGACCTGTCTCATTGTGCACCTCCAAAATACTCCTGACGGACCGACTGAATGAAAATGACGCGTGGCTAACGTTTGTTATAATTGTCTGCGCTTGAACTGTAGTGCAGGCTTGCTCACGTACCGATACCCCGTCAGAATGAACTCGTTGTCCCTTCTCACAGGTTAGCACCATCTTTAAGCGCCCGCCTGTGAAGCGCATGCCTTTGCCACGGTTCTTCCCAGCCAGAAATCGTCAGAAAATAGTCTTGTTCCTTTCGGTAGCATAGGCACCTACCTGTTTCTTTCCAGGTCAAAAGACGAGCCGATTTCGTGTTGGGCGCCTTGCCGTGCATGGTCATTGCCGAATTCTTGATTCAAATGGCACAATCAGTTGCTACCTATGTATGCAAAGACGAAAAATGACGTGGTCGTTAAAACCCTCGTGAGTCTGCAGGAGTAGACCTTTGTCGCAGCTGCAGGCCAGGGTTTTCTGGGTGGCTAGTAAGCTGCGGGACAATGACAGCCTGGGTAGGGTGTCAACACTTCAAAGAGGCCAATACCCGTGACATTTTTTCAACGTATTGCTCTTCGTTATCCTCGCTTGATACACCAATGTCGCTACAGTAAAAAAAAGCAGATTTCAAAACGAGACGATTTACAAAAGGCAAGTTGTGTTTGCCCTTTGTCTCGTCTCCTTTACTCAATTGTGGCCACCACCATATTCCTCATTTCGTATCCGTCCATAGAAATGACCGCCTTCCTTTCATGTCGTTCCCCGGCGTGTACAAGAAAAAAGATATTCCACAAATAACAAAGATTTCAAAGAAGAACTATTCCATCCCATGTTATGCGTATACTCCTCACTCTACTTGTCATGCGCATCTCTCTGGCTCATGAGCGCGCTTCCTCCAGCTCCAGCTCCAATTGGCGGATACGTTCATTCTGGTCCTGCGAACCCGTGGGGCCAACTTTGCGCTTGAGCAGCTCGACCTCCTGCGTCAGCTGGCCAATCTTGTCGTTTTGCTGCGTGATAATCTTAGTCTGGTTCTCAATCAGTTGCTTGATCTGCTCCAGGGACGACTCGACGGCTGTGCCTCCGACAGGGGTCGATGCGCCCACAGGTGTGCGGCTGGGTACAGCGGTATTGATGGGCGCGGTGGCGGTAACAGGAACAGCAGCAGGCGCGGGTGCGGGCGCCGAGGTCGTCTTGGTCGGCAGCTTGGGCTCGGCCGCGCGGACCGGGACGGGGTTGCGCTGGGCGGGGCGGCCGATATCTTCAAAGCTCGAGGTCGTATCGGCGTCGTCATCATCCTCCTCCTCATTGTCCTGGAACTTGTTGGCCATGTTGGAAATGGAACTCTTCTGGTCCTTGATGCTGGGTGGGGGGGCACGGGAAACGGCAGGCTTGGGCTCCTCGCGCTTAGGTTCTTCGCGCTTGGGCTCTTCACGCTTGATCTCGGCCTTGGGTGTGGTGGGCGACGATTGGGCGGGAGCCTTGTAGTCAGAGGCAACCTCCTTGGGCGCGCTGCCATCATAGACACTCTCGAGGTCGATCTTGCTGGGGATGCCAGTCTTGCCGTCGAGCCACTCCTTGGCGGAGCAGGCAGGCTTCACGCCGACAGCCGGAGGGAAGATGTCGGCCTGGAAAGTTTCGGCGCGACGCGGCACGGTGAAAGAAATGGGTTCAATGTAGCTATCATTGACAGTCTTGTAGGCGCGCATCACTTCGTTCTCATGGGTCTGTTGGGCGTTAGCTTCAAGGTACGAAAAAATGAGTGCAGCTTCTTCCTACGTTGATGCCACGGCGGGGAACAAAGGCAATGCCGCGCTGAGGGTCGGGAGACTTGTATTCGCTGAGGAACTCAAACTTGTCGTTTTCATATTCGTAGTAGCGAATGTTACCGTCACTGAAAATAGTCAGCGATAATTGGTCCGCACAAAGTACTCTAGCACACAACTTACCCCTTGCCAGCAAGGTACAGGCAGTTGGAGCCATCATCTATCACAGCGTTAGCCATTTGCCGTCACGTGTAGGGCTGGACCGCGGCTTACCCCAGAAAGGCATGCAGACGCCCGAGATGGAGTCAATCATGCTGAAGCCGCCGATGGGCTCAGGGTTGCCGGGTTCCCAGAGGGCTATTTGGCGCTCGCTCATCTTGGAGAAGCCCGTGGTGGCGAAGCGGTTGTGCTCGCCCATCCAGACGGCGCGACTGTTCTTGGCGCCGGGGTGGCCGGGGGCCTCGTGGACGGGCTTCTCCTGACGCACGTCCCAGACGCGAATCTTCTTGTCGCGCGACGTCGTGGCGAGCATGCTGCCGGCGGCGTTCCAGGTCAGGCTCTGCACGATGTCGCCATGTGGCAGGGTGAGGGGCGACTGGCCCGTGGTGACGTCCCAGATCTTGATTGTGTAGTCGCCCGAGGCGGAGGCGAGGATGTTTTCGGCCGAGGGGTTGAAGAGGACCTGTCCGACTTTTCTGCGTGCGGGGGGCAGAATGTGTGGTTAGCAAAGTCGTGGGCCGAAGGGAAGCGCACAAAGAGCGGCTTCGTGTTCATGCAAGCGCCGGCATGCGTGCGCTGGAAAGAGCCTTTGGCGGCGGCTTACCTGGAGTGACCGGCGAGCTTGCTCACAGGATCGACGTTGGTGATTTCTTCGGCGTCGGTGTAGAGGGTAAAGTCTTCAGGGACCTCCCAAAGGAAGACCTTGCCATCTTCCGAGGCCGAGGCAATGAAGCGGTCGTTGAAGGGGTGCCTGGAGAAGCGGGTTAGCGTTACGGACCGCAGAGCAAAACAGGGCCGAAGCTTCGGTCTGTTGTTGTTGCTGTTGCTGTTGTACGACAGCTCCGCCAGGGAGGGGTGTTTTTTGTTTACCAGTCGGTGTCGAGAACGGCAGCCGTGTGACCGCGAAAGAGAGGAATCTGATCAGGGAGCTTGCCGCGCTCGTTGAGCGGGATGACGGCAAAGGCGCCGCCGCCGGACGAGTCCCAATTGACCGAGAGGTATTCGGGGTTGACCTGTTGTGCAGTATCGACAGTCAGCTTCTCTTCCGCCTCGTGCTTTCCTCGAGTCATGCCGCCTAGCGATCGTCATACCTTGATCAGGTTGGTGTCCCAGGCATTGCGGCTAATGTGAATATTGTCGTAGCAATTGTCTTTTCTCGTGGGCTTGCCAAAGACGTGTCCTACGTGATGAGTGGTCGTCGTCAGCCTCCATGTGCCTGCGCCAGGCCTGGGAGAGGGGGGAGGGGTCCGGTGGGCTTACGATACTTCGACGCTCTGACGAATCGGCCAGCCATACTTTGCAACCCCTCGTGGTTGTTGGTGTTGCGGTTGCAGCGAAAGGGGGAGGGGAGTGAAGTGGGGTGCGGGTGTGAGGGAGGTTGTTTTTTGTTTGTCGTCTCTTCGCGATCGCGTGGATGAGCAAGGTAGGGGACGAGTTCGAGTTTCCCGGAGAGAGGCGCGGCTCTGAAAGAGAGTTGGCAGAGAATTGGGGCCAGACGAGGAGGAAAGCGGCTAGTAGTTATTAGGGTGAGGCTGTGGAAATGGGGATTGGGGTTGGTGGTGGGTGGTGGGTGGTGGTGGTGGTGATGAAGGCCTGTGCCTCCAGTTTGGGCTTAGGGGAGGGGCCTCTCACCAACTCCTCCCCGCTGTCTCGGCTCGTATTAATAACTACCAGGTACAACCTCGAAATCCTCGAAATAGCTGCGGATACGACACGACAACACCCCCGCCCATTATACCGCAGTGATACACTGATACGCCAGCCCAACACCCACACAACGACAACACACAACACACAACAACTCAGCTCGTCCAACTACATGCAAACAAGGATACAAGGGTAACGGCTGTGAATAGAATTGGTCACGTGTCCTCCCGAAAGCAACAGCAGTTAAATTGGTGAAATCTGAAACCGTCCGTCCCCCGGCAAACGCTTGTAATTGGCGCTTGCTCTGAAGCTTCTAAGCGAATTAGCATGAAAGAAGGGCGTTCGTACCATGTCCCAAGTATACTTTGTAGCGTCCTTGAAACAGCCATTCCATGACACGGAGCAGGCAGAGTGCCGCATACGACACCTATCCGCGACACCACACACACGCATGAGCATATCGCCCATATCAAAAGCAAGAAACATTCATTATAAAATCTCTAACATAATACAACAGTCAATCGAAGAGTACAAGACCAAAATGACAACAAAACGAGAAACGAGAAACGCATCATGCTTGAAAAAAAGCCGAGCCGGTAAACACCAACGACGCCATCGTTTTGCTCGAATGAGACCCCAGATTTCCGACATTGACTCATCCCATCTTGACAAAAGGAAAATGACAGCCAAAATCCGCCATGCATAAAATCAGAAAGCAGATCCCAGTAGTCAATCTACTCCCACCCCCGCACAAGCCTAAAACGGAGCACCGCTGCTCTGTCCACTCTTGGTACGGCTGTGGCTCGATTTCCGTTCTGCTCGCCGCCGAAGTAGCTCTTCTCTCTTCAGAACAACATCGCACCATTTTGCGCGCGATCGTGGGCCGCCATCATCCTCTATGCTGCTGGCGCTCCGGCCAATCACTTCTTGTAGCACTTTCATCCATCCTTCCTTGTCCTCGGCCGTATCGGCATAAAAGTCAATCACTTCCCCATTGTTGAAGCGAATTCGGAACCCCTCCTCGACAAACATGTACCCGTCTTCTTCCTCCGCAAACGCCGATCTGCGACGCTTGCCACCCTTGACTGTCGTCTCCTTCTCCATCAGCGTGCGCCTGTCGTCAATCAAGCGCTTGGCGTTGCTCAGGTTGATGGTAGCACGCGGCTGTCGCGTCGCCTCGTGATACGCAGTCAGCCGTGCGCCCATCAGTTTGAAATATCTTCTGCGCCAGTACTAGTCATCCCATTAGTCTTCCATCGCATCACTCATCATGTAGCAGATACTTACAGGACAGTCGCCTCCTTGTTGGCTGAGAGGGCCTTCCCAGCTTCTAGCTAGTCTCTCTTCGGCCGCTCTAAGCTCACGAATGCACGAGTTCATGCTCTTGGGCATGTCATCGTCGGTGATGTTCTTTGGTCTGGGCACGAATAGCAGCTGCAATTCGAGTTTGCCGATATTGTATGGCGCTCTGCGGACCACCGCACCAGTTCCTCGCTTGCTCTTTACGCTGCAAGCAAACGCCTCTTCCTCCTGAGCCCACTCGTTGAAGCAAACAACCTCGGCCATGTATGGACGGCCGTAGCACCGGTTCTCGTGCTCCTTAAGGCAAACGTAGGAGCGAGCAAAACTGCCGTCCACCTCAGCCACAAGAGGCGATAGTAGTTCATAAGCCGAGGGCGTCCCGTTCTTCTGGCGGGCAAGGGCCTCCTGGTGCTGCTTTGCGACGCGCTCCTCTTCTCTTTGGCGAAGCTCCATCTCCTTGCGCTTCTTGGGGGAAGCAAAGACCTTGCTAAATGCCGACGTCTTGGATTTGACGGGTTTCACGGGGACAGGGATGTCGAGGTACGCAGGCTTCTCGAGCTTCACGTTGAGAGTAAGCTGGAATTCGAGGTCGTTAGGCACGACAAGTTCAAACTCCTGGCCAATCGGCGCGTTGCGAGCGAGCTCCAGCCAAGAAGTAGTCACGCAGTGAACTCCGTTATCCAGAGTCAGGCTAAACCAAGTGCGCTCATTTCTTGGCAGAGGAAGGTCGAGGTCCTTCACTCCCATCACCTTGACGAATAGACGGCCTCTTTCGGCGCCATCCAGCGTCGTGGCATCCATGCTCATGTCCTCCTCGGGAATGGAACGAGTGGGTATACTATTGCTCTCTTGGCCAGGCAGAGGGGGAATAGAGCCGGTGCTGGCAGTGGTTGCCTTGGAGCTAGTACTCTTCTTGCGGACAGCAGGGTTCCACGGCTCGACAGTCCAAGACTGTGGTCGATCGTTCTTAATGGGAGAGTTGTTCACAGATCGCGTCTTGCGGGTCATGTCCTCGCCCTCTTTATCGCTAGCAGCCACCAGCTTGGTATTTTGACGCATGAGATAACCACGCTTCTGGCCTTCAATAACTCTCTCAAAATCTTTGTCAAGGCTTAGACCGGTATCCAGGTCCAAAGTCAGACTCCGATTCTTGAAGCTGGGGTGACGCTCAATGAAAGGGTCCTCGCCGTCAGCCAGCTGCACAGCCATGTCTTTGGAAAGACGGTTCTTGTGCTTCTCTGGGATCGGGGGTACATTTGGCACTTCCTGACTTGCTAGACGACGAGCCTCGCGCATCGAGCCAATGTCAGCCGGCGTGTTGGAGATTCTGGTTTTGAGCTTGGAGCCAGAAGCCTTGATGGTGGCTACCTGTTCAGGAATGGCAGGAGACTCAACCCGCTCTTCTTCGAAAACATCCTCGTCATCCACTGGGTGACGAATAACGGAGCCAGGGCTCTCGGGCTCATCGGCAAATTCATCATCGTCACCCCAGCCACTACCGTCGTACGCGGACTTGGAAAGGCTCTTCTCCGGCGTGGCCGCCCGCTTCGTAGGGGAAGGAAGGGCTGGGATTGGCTCCTGGGGTTCAGCGACTGCTTCTGGCTGAAGAGTGGTAGGCTCAATGGTAAGGGCAGGCTCACGGGGCGTCACGAGCTGGGGAGTCTCTTGCGCAATAGTTACTTCTTCGGCCTGCTGTGCCTGCACAAGAACTTCCTCGTATGTATCGTCGTCAGGCAGGATGCTGAAATCATCTTCATCCTCGTACAGATCCACGACTTCATTTCCATAGTCAGAGGGGTTTCTGGTAATGATGACGCTGCCGTCCTCGACGATAGTCTCATCCTCGAGGATGCTCTCGTCCTCAACCATGGAATCCTCCGTAGATGGGATGGGAATATCAGGATCCTCCGGGATCACAGACACATCAAAAGTTCTCTCAGGGCTGCGACAAGGGCTTTGGGCAGGAGAGGACAGATTGAAGTCAGATTCTCTTTCAGTGACCTTGTTGCCGTTGACACGCCTCAGGATGGATTCACGAGAGATCTTGGCGGGCATGTGGAAGTCACCAAGGGCAGACATATCGCCAATGGTGTCATCGGCCTCAGCATCTTCAAGAGCTTGGAGCTTGAGCTCTTCCGCCGCGGGGCTGTTGATGCGCTCGCGCGCGCTGCCTCTCCTAAGGCGGCGCTCGCGCTGCTGCTCCGCTGCGCTCTTGGCATCGCCATCGTCAGACATCATCATAAGCTTGAGACGCTCCTCAAGAGGCATCTTGCTATGGCCAAAGCTTTGGGTATCAGTGCTGCTGGCCGATCCTGGCGGGGGTGTAGGCAAGTTGCGCTGGCCCGAGTTCATCATATGCTCGGTAGTCGCAGACATGCCAGACGAGGAATCGCTGGACTTGATGCGTTCGTGGCCCCTGTTTGGCACCGGAGGCAGGGGCCGGTGCTCAGCGCTAGACGAGACGGAGCTTGGGACATTCTTGTTCTTGAAGCCATTAGAGAGTGCCATGGAAGGACTGCCGTCGGGCATGGGGCTAGCCTCGAAACGCCCATGGCCACGGCCGTATGGGCTATAGTCGTCCGGGCCGACGACGGGGGTTTTCATTGTGTCCTCGAGGGATGCGTCGAAGCTATCTTCGGGGTTTTGGCCGTGAGCGAGGTCGTAGTAGCCGCGGTCACCGTCGGTATCGTCAGATTCGTAACTTCCTTCGCGTGAGTTGGTTCCAATGGAAGAGAGATCAGGCGTAGTCATTTCGTACTCATTGATCTGTGGGGGAGCAGCGTCAAAGGTCACGCTCTTCACATGGCGATGCGAGGACCTGCTCGAAGAGAAGTCGTCGTCGATGTACGAGGTGCGCGTGGACCAGGTTCCGGTAACGGGATCAAAGGAATCCTTGAACTTGGAAGGCGAGAGAGACGACTTGGTAGGCGAGTTGGAGGGCTGATCGCGGTTGGCGCGGGGTGTGGTAGGAGCAGCGATGGGCCCAATAGCGGTGTTTGTGCTCATAGTAGAAAAGAAAGAGGACGTGGTGGAAGCAGTATCACTGCGCTTGAATTCAGGAATCTGATACTCAGAGTCGAAGGAGCGTAGGCCGCCGCTGAAGCTGGCGCTAGAGCTGGAAGAGAGACCAAGGCTGTTTACTTGGACCTTTGCAAGCGGTCTCTCGATTGTCGGGATGCGAGTGGGATCATATTCCTGCTTCTGTTCCAAGGCCAAGATGTTGCTGTTCTTGACTCGGGAAGCTCTCTGCAGTCTCTCAATCGAGGAGCGGCGCTGGGGCGAAGGGGAGGTGGCGGCATGGCCGCCCCCATAGGGCACGTTTTCCGAATTACGGTTCTGCCAAAAGTGTCGTGGAGAGGAGCCTCCGTCCAGCGGCGACGACTGGAATGGAGAGGAGTCGTTGCCAAGCGTTGGTTTCTGGACGAGCAGGGGCCGAGTTAGAGCGACGGGGTCAAACGGGGGCGGCGGCAGCATTCCACATACCTTGGGGGACACGATCTGGTGCCAACTGGGCGAGTTGCGGCGCCTCTCCGTTGGCGAGAGCTCGGACAACGGGCGGGGCAGGCCGCCAGCCATCTTGGTCGGCGAGGACCTGGGCGTGGTGGTGCCTTTGGCGATACGGAGGGGATGCACCTGGCGAGGCGAATTAGCAAGTGACTCTGGTGGTTGGGCCGACGAGCAAGGACAGGGCCCAACAGCCGCCGCCCGGACTCGTGAGGGTACACAGCATACCTGTTCCGAAGACATTTCGCAAATTGGAAATTTGGTCGGGTGGTTTTAAAGTGGTGTGCTAAGCCGATCGTGACGGCATTGGAACGCAAGGTGAATGGAGGGGTCCAGGAGAAGCGGTGATGGCAGGAATGTTGTGACAGGAGTGAGTTTTTGCTGTAATTGGCGGAAAGCTGTTTTGGTGCAACGAACAAGACGGCCCGGGTAAGATCCGTCGCGCTGCAAATGAAATGGGAAAGTGGCGGTAGAGAAGACGGATGGGCGGTTGACTTCTACCAGCGGCGGCCTGAAATCGAGGCCTGCTCAACAAGGGAAAAGAGCTTCGGACAACAACTGATGAAGCCGTTTTTGGGGGTCAGAAGTTGAGAGGAAGGATGTGGTCTCACAAAGCCGGTGGACGACGTCTGGTATGTAAACGTACCTGGAATGCGAGCGCGACGGCCGCCCATTGGCTGGCGAAAAACAAACAGTCGTGGGTGATGGTTGTCGTGGCAACACGGGGGAGGGGGGGTGGTTCGCCGCCGATGTGAGTGGGCTTGCTCGCTGCACCCAAGCACCAACCGAGACTGTGAACCACAGCTCTGCAATGAACAAAAAGGCAGCAAAGCCACGGCATTGGCCAGCAAACTCTCCAGCAGACGGCGCTAAGCAGGGCTCTGCGACACCAGGCTCAGCAAAACTGACAATGCTTTGCAGCGTTACCCCGCTTGCCCGCCTGCTTGCGTCTCTCGTTCCGCCCGCCCACTGCCATCTCGCCCACCAGTTGCCCATACATATCACCAAGTCCACTAACAGCATAAACATGAATTTCCACATCTGCTGGTGGAATCGATCCCGCTCCTGTTAACGTCCTTTAACCAACCTGCTCTTCCATCACCCGAGTCGCCCCAGCAGCCATATGCAGAGGCCCGCCCTCAAACTCCATTCTCGCCAGTGTACGGAGTAGATCGCCCTTCTCCAAACAATGCATGACATGATATGATATGTATGATCATTATGGGCTCTCATTAGAATTCCACATGCCATCCAACCAACCAGCCAACAACTGGCCCTGTTCTGTCAATGGCTTGCTCCACCGCGAATTTTTTTTTTTTTTTTCTGCCTTCATTATTATTCTTCTCGATTTCTTATTTTTTTTCTTCGTTCCCACATTATGCGGCCTTTGTTTCTTATCCATTGTTATGATGTGATGCCCCTCCTCCTCAATCAAATCATCAGACTACCCTTCTCACATGTACACACAATGGACTCGGCATTCCATTCTCCTTTTGCTCAATTTGACTTGTATGAATCACTGTCAATTTCTGTTTCCCAACGTCCATCATTGCTGTCTATTCCACTCTACGCAGTCGTCAAACTTGACTCCCGTGCCCCCAAAGCAATCCAGCGCACTGCCTATTGTCAGATCAACTTTGCCCTCGCTGAGCTTCTTGACCCGTTCCAGGTCGTCCAGAGTTCGTCCGCCACCGGCGTACGTCACCGGGATGGAGCACCACTCAGCCAGCCGCAATACGAGCTCCTCGTCTATCCCTTGCTGGAGCCCCTCATTGTCTGCCGCATGAATCAGGAATTCGCTGCAATAAGGCTCCAGTTGCTGGATCGACTCTGTAAAAGTATCGATTAGTATCCGTCATGAGCCACAGGACGGTAGTTACTCTGCTGCAATCGACTCACCTGCATCGACTTCCATGTCTGTAATCGTCTGCCATTTGTTCATGGCCACGAACCACTTGCCTTCCCCGCGCCGGCGACAGCTCAAGTCAATGACCAGCTTTTCCTTGTCGCCGCCGAGCACCTTGAGGACAGAGTCCAGTCGGATCTGGCTAAACTGCCCGCCAGGGAACAAAAACGATGTCACAATAACCTGCGTAAATAAACCTGCGTGAGCATGTAATAACTCCTTCACTGGCCCAACCCCGCCACGTACATACCTTTTCCGCGCCGGCCGCGATCCATTCGCCCGCGTTCTTGTCATTGATGCCGCCCCCGACCTGTAGTCCGTTGGGCCACGCTGCAATCGCCTGCTTCGCCGCCTCGTCGTTGCCCGGTCCGAGCATGATGACGTGCGCCCCAGTAAGGGCGTTGTCCCGATATAATTGCGCATAGTGCCCCGCGGGCTGTTCTGATACAAAGTTGGTCTGCAGCTTGGAAGCGTTGCTGCTGTCGAGCGTGCCGCCCACAATCTGCTTCACCTGTCCCGCGTGGAGGTCGATACACGGCCGGAAGCGAGTCATTTTGGCGAGTGCAGAAAGACGTAATACTCGTACTGGCTGTCGTTGAGAATGAGAGGTTTTGATGAGGCTGGAGTGGAAATGTGGGATGTGGGGCTGCTCTGGGGTGCAGTCATACTTCTCGAAAACGTTGTGCAATGACGACACTCTTGCTGAGAACTGGATATTTATTGTGGCATAGATAAAAATCCAGTTCCATCAACGGCGCCCCCTTCAAGAGATTATATGGTATCGTGTTGGGTCTGCAGAATAGTGAGAGGTCTAACCAGCAAGTATCTTAGGGTAGACCAGCATTCGAATATGATAAAGACGCTCAAAACTTGTACAAACTAGAAAATACAAACTATTTGACACATGTAGACTATTCAACATATTATGTGCTCGGTGCCAAGGCGCTTTCCAAGCCCTCATATATACCATGTAAACTTATACACACCTCTCCAGATCTTACCCAAGTAAGATGTCCATTTCATCCACCGCATGCGCCTCCCACGCCTTCTGCATCACATGGCCAATACCTCTCCTATACGCCACGCCCGCGATGCGCTCAATCCACAGCACATTGACCACCTCCAGGTAGCCTTTTGAGTCGGCGTGCTCCTCGTATCGGTCCGGCGGAAACACGAGCGACCCGCCGCGCTCCACGACCGACGAGATGGCGATAAACTCGAGCTTCTCGTCGCCGTCATAGTTGGACGACTGGATGCCGAGCCAGCCGTCGTGCGCGCGAAACTCGCCGACCCAGCGATGACCGCGGCTCCAAATGTTGCCGACCGCTACCGGCGGGTTGGCCACGTCCTTTGGGGACAGCGTTACCGAAAAGTCCACGTCGAAAATGCCCGACATGGTGCGAAAGGCCAGTAGCGGGCCCGGAAAAGTCAACTCACCGGGCAGCGGCGGGTGCTCGCCGGGCTCGGGCGGATCCTCGACAGGCACCGGGTACTTGAAGACGGTGTCGTCGTCGCTGTCATGTACAAAGTGCGAACCGCTCCGAGACCAGCCCGGCGGCAGCGGGGCGCCCGCGTTTCGCCGCCCGCGCAGCTCCCGAAACTGGAAACCCGTGTTAGGCACGGGCACGCTCCTCGCGCGGTCGCTGAGCTGCCACACGACCGTCGGTTTGATGCGAAACGCGCTCGGCGCTTGGAAGCGGCGCGCGGCCGGCTGTCCGCGCTTGCCCGTTGTGGGCGTGTCCTGGACGTAGTCGGCGGCCGCCTTCCACAGCGTCAGGTCCACGCGGACGCCATCGAACCACCAGCCCATCCAGGACCACGACGGCAGGAACGGCGGCCGCGAGAGGGCGCGCCGCCGAATCGACGCCTGCGGGCGCCACAGCAGTGCGCTGTCGAGAAAAAGCAGCGGCATGCCGTACATGAAGCCGCCCGGGAATGCGCGCGCCAGCACCGTCGTGATGCCCGCAAACGCTCGCAGCGTATCGTCGACCAGCGTCACCCGCCGCGCGCTGTAGTCGGCTGCCACCCGCGCGTACTCGTCCATGTCGGGCCACGGCGCGTGCTGGAAGCCGAACGCGGCGGAGGCGATGCGATGCGTGCATTCGGGCTTCTTGCCCTTCCACATGTTGCGCGCGAACCCGGCGGCGCCGGTGCCGGTGCCCTGCCACAGATCGCAGTGGCACTCCCACGTCACCGTTTCCTCGAAGAAGAAGACGGCCCGTCGCGAGTACAGGCGTTCCTGTAGGGTCCAGCCGCGCGTGTTCCAGCGCGAGGCGAGGAGAAGGTCGTTGTGATCGGCGGTCGGCGGGCCGCCTCCGCGCGGTGGCCGGGGACGGCGCACGTTGAGCGGCAGCAAGCCCGTGTTGACGTCGTTGTGGGCCGCGACAATGGTCAGGTAGGCGTTGGCAAAGACAAAGGCCATGTGGCGGATGTGGTTCTCCTTGACGGCCTCGTCGTCCTGCACGATGCACATGCGGTCGACCCAGAGGTGGCGCAGGCCGAGCTTGCGCGCCAGCCAGACGGCGTCAGCAATCGTCTGCGGCACATTCTGCTCGGGAAGCGCCAGCAGCCACTCGTCCAGGTTGGACTTGGTGAGCTGTGCTGGCGCATCATCTCCGTGCGCCCGCGGCTGCGGACCCCAGACGTAGCTCAGCGCCACGTACCGGTCGTCGGGCTTGGCCCGCACCAGCCGCTTGTCGGCCGCGTCAATGAGGAATTGCGGGCGAAACGTGGCCGGCGCCGACGGCGACGACTCGCTGTCCCCGTTGCAGTGCCGCCCGTGCTGGTTGTTACACGTGTCTAGCCACTCGCGGATCCGCGGGATGGGGGAGCCCTTGCTGCTCGGCGGGCCGTTGCTGCCGCCGCCGCCGCTTGTGGTGTTGGCAGCGTGGGAGGAGCCGCGTCGCGTCGCGGTGGGGGAGGGAGGTCCGCCGTCTGCGTTGACGGACGACCGGCGCAGAAAAGTCCCTTTGAGGCGCTCTGTCAAGCTGATGCGGCGGTTGGGCGGCGATGATGGCACGGGTGGTGGCGGCGGCCCACTGGCGCGAGATATGTAGCTGTCCCGATGACGACGCTGCCTCACGCGGTCCCGGTCCCTATCGCGGTCTCTCTCGCGGTCCCGTTCCTTTTCCTTCTCTCGTTCATCCGCCGTCGACTGATCCTCGGTGTCGTCATCTTCGCTTCCGCTGCGGTCCCTCCCTCTGTCTCTGGTGTCCCGCCGCCTCTCTCCATCTCTGTCCCTGTCCCTGTCTCGCACAGACGATTCGCGATGATCGTATGCAGTGCCTGGCATGTTGCTCACCAAACCGCTGCTATAAGAGTGTAAGTCAAGTACACGCTCTCATAGCAGAAAAAATACAAGTAGGCGCAGCAGCCCAAGGCCTCTTTTTAGTGAGTGGACAACAAGTGTTGGCCGCTTGTTTGTTCGTGTTCAGCTTACACAGCGTTTGTGGCGCAGGCCTCTCAAGGCGTGCGAGACAAGAAAAAGGCGCGCGTCAAAGGCCAGGGAATAGGACGGAATACTGCACGAGTGACGTGTCGGCGTCAGATATGCAGGGTCGCACAGCGGCTTCCTTATTCAACCAACGTTGGGAATCCGAAAGGGAAAAAAACAGACGAAAAGTTGGCCCGTGTTGGAGCAGGGGCACTGTTCTGGTTGCTGGGGTGGGCGCCCAAAGACGATGGCTGATGAGCTTGCATATTGAGAGGGCTGGCTGGGGAACGAGTGGTGGACGCAAGCACTCGGGCCTTTTCCCAGCCTTGGAATTTCATAGTCTATTAGGTAGTTAGCATAGTCTACAGATAGGAGCTATTAGTACTCGGATAAAAGAATTTTGTGTTTTATAGATTTTATAGACCGCGGTCCTAGTAGGTAGACAGATGACTTGCCAGGTGCTAGAGTTAATACCTGTTGTCCTCATTGCTAGTCTGGAACATGACATCATCCAGCGCTGAATCACTAGTTACGGCCAACTTTCTTTCCTATGGCTGAATGTACCGAGCACAACAAAGTTAAGAACCATATTCCGTAGGCACTATCTACAGCTGGGGATGATTGCAAGCAGCTCATGGCAGCCCAATTTGGTCTTGGGTCGATAAAATTGTCCGTCGCGAGAGTCTAACCGTTGATGCCCAACCGTGCTAAGTGCGCCACCCTTAAGGGCTCCAATAACGCCAAACTCCACATCGAAGGTCGAATAGTATAGTGGTTAACACGCCAGTCTCACACACTGGAGTCCCGGGTTCAATTCCCGGTTTGACCTTTACCTTTTGCTCTTTTCGCCGCTCATGTTGACAACTTCATGTTTATTTTTGCCATTTCCGCTCATTTAGTGAATGGTTTATTGAGTGTACCGGTTTATTTGGTTGTTGACACTCGGACCGGACGCCGGACCGGCAGCAAACGGACGGCCATTGGCACGACAAATGTAGTCATTGTCATCAAACGGACCTTATACCAATTGTAACACGGCTCTAAGTTAGCAGCGTATTCCCGTTCAAATTAGGCCAGGGCAACTCAGGATAGATGGCGAGGCAAAATTGAGCCAAGTCACACAAGTAAAGAGGTGGACAGATTGGAGTGTGTTGATACTCTTGACAGCCATAAACAGCCGCCATGCTATGCTATCCCTCTACCAAGAAAGACGTCATTTCAAACACAGTTTTAAAGATTGTGACCATAGCCTCTCATTTTGCCATGGGGCTTCCCAGCTCCCAGTTCCCAGTTCCCAGTCCCAGAGTATTTTGGCTCCCCTTTCCTGTATCCCAATTTCCATTCCCATCAACAACACCGTAAAAAGCAGCCGCTAAATTGTCAAATAAAACCCCCAACAACAGTTGTAATCCTACACCAAGCGTTCCTTTCCACTGCCGTGAAAGGAAACCATGAAACCCGCATTCTGGGCAATGTGTTGTACCAGGACTGGCCGCTAAAACTCGAAACAAAGACCCAAGCAGCACAATTCGGCGTCGTGCAAGTATGGCGCCGAACTTAGAAACAAGAAAAGCCATGCTGTGTAAAAGGATGACTCGAACCGTGAAAAGAATTCAAGCGCCTGTACATGAAAATGAAGGCTAGAAAAGAATAATCAAAGGAGTGACGGGGTATGAATGTACAGGGTATTAGTGGTGTTGTCGCGTCGAGAGTCACGGCTTAGTTGGCAGCCTCGTAAGCAGGAGGCGGAGGGCGCTCATCGCCCCCCTCCCAGGCCTCATCGGAAGCAGCGTGGTGCTGCTTCTCATCATAGACGCGACGGGCAATTTCGCCGGCCATTTTCATGATCCAGGCCTGCTCGAGAATGACGGACGACGTATCGGAGGTAGCGGAAGCGCTGTCGCGCATGGCGAGCTTCTCCTTAGCATACTGTACTGGGGACGTCTCCCCGCCAGCCTCGTGGATCTGGGAGAGGGGAGACTTGACATGCTTGGAGTTGAGGTGGTGCGACTTGATGTGGTCGTTGCTTGTCTTTTCTTGAGCGCGCTCCTTGGCACTGCTTTCTGGCGTGAAGCGGACCTTGGTCGAATGCAAATCCTCTGACACGGCACGGCCATCCTCGGATTCCTCGGGAATGGACGAGATAATCAGAGGCTCGGACAAGGGCACATTGACAGAGGCAGTGTCCGACGCGTCGGACATGTTGTCGCTGGAGCCGGCCTCGGACCTGGCGCGACGGAGGTTGACGACTCGAGTTTTCTTCTTGCGACCGGGACGAGACCGGTAAGCCGAGGCAGTGAGGGGGGTGTGGCCTGCGCTGAGGGTAGATAGCGATGGTCGTGACGGCATATACCCATGAGAGGCGCTACCCGTATCGGAAAAGGTGTATGTAGTGCTGGCACCGCCCGTGAGCGAGTACGTCTTGGCCAGGCTCGGTGTAGCCACAGCAGGGCTTGTGACATCAGAGTGGTCGCCGTGGCCAGACCAGGCGCGGAAGACAACGTCGCGAATTCCAGGGGTGAAAAGCGACAAGGTGCGGTTCGAATCGGTCAAAGCGGCGAGGCGTAGCAAGTTCTTTTGCGAAAAGAGATATTGCATTTCTCCGCCGTGCAGAGTCAACTCGGACATGGCATTGAGGTCTAGCAGATTGCCGTTGGAATCGACAGGATCTGCAGGAGGACTCGCGAAAGGGTCCAAGCCCTGGTTGTCAGCATCGGCAGTTGGTGTCTGGGTACCCTTCTGTGCCTGGTCGGTGCACCAAAACTGCAGCGACAGACGGTGGATGATGGCAGGTAACTCTTCCATCATCAGATTGCGCAGTTGCTGCTCGATGGTGCGTTGCAGATAGTCACGGACGAACTGAATCGAGTCAAATGTTGACGAGACCTTGAGGGATTCAAGGGGGTCATTGCGGAAGACCAGGGTCAGGCCTTTTTGCTTGGAGAAGACTAGAATGATAAAGGCAGAGAGCTTAATCTCGGACAAGCTAATTGCAACAGGTATTGTTAAGCCGGAAGCGGCAGCCAACGGCTGTGGTGACGTAAACAACGGTTTTGAGTCGAGATAGGTGTTGAGTGGATTGGCCTATATCGTGGCGTTGTTAGCTCTGTCGCGAGTAAAGAAATGTACCATTGGATGTGGAGATGATATAATATGTGGTATAGGGGTATATATGCGCAATCAAACAAATTTATGCATGACTAGACGCGTCAATTGTTTTGACGAGTGTGTTGTGATGGAACAAGGGAAACCGGGAGGATCGGGGAGTCCGTCGTGGGAGGGCATCAAGGACATACCTGGACGCGGGTCTTGAGGGTCAAAAAGGCATCGCCCGAGTAGCACATTTTGAAAATGCCACGAAATCTGTCTTCGGCAAGATCGCCAATCTCAAGGATCTCCAAATCGGGGGGCACGGTGCCGAGGTTGAACTCGCTGACGAGGATGTCGTCGACGATGATGGGAGGCTTGGGCGACTTATTGAGCGCCTGTGTTAGGAGGTCCCTGGCGCGCTGATAGAAATCAGCGTCGGCCGTGAGGGGCGACCAGTTGAAGTTGAAGGCCATGTTGAGATGGCGATTATAAGCTCGCAATCATTGGGGGACGTCGCGGTCGATGACTTTCGGGGGGTCGTAATCGAAAGTCGAGGTTTCGGGGGGTTTTTTCTCCCCGGCGCGCCGCTGGCGCAAAAAGCTTGCTCGGCACGTTGCGGGCTACGCTGAGCAAACAGGTAGTCGAAGATGGGATTCGGCGCTGGCAATTCTGGGAACGACTGCGCAGACGGAAGGCAGAGGGATGCCAAATTCGCCGGGGCGATGGGAGTTGAAGTGTGTTGGAGGAAGGGAGGAGGAAATGTTGCTGGGTGGAGCGAGATGACGCTGGAGATGCCGAGACGAGCAGTAATAATGCAGGGTAAATTGGAGCTGTGCGTTGGTGAACCTCGGGCGCGAAGCAAGTTTTTTTTTCTCCCTGCAGCTGGGGAAAACGCAAGAGAGGTCGGCCACCTTCGGAAGCAGATGGCCAACTCAAGCAAGTACCTTTAAGCGCGATTTTGCCTGCAGGTGACAAAGGAGTGGGGGTGGAGGCGGAGCGCTAAGCAGGTGTTGTAATTGCTTTGTTATTAGGGGCAGGTTTGGTAACGATAGTGTATCGTCTGGCGCATGCGAGCACTTGAAGGTTGTGGAGAAGACGGGTTAAGAAATTTGGAAATTCAAGAAATGGCCAGGGCGTTGGGAAGAAAAAAGACGCTGTAGGTACTGGTAAATCACGCATCACGCAGCAGGATGACCAGGGTATCAAGAAGAAGCAGGTTGCGCTGCTTTATAATTTAGTACCAGTCTTGCGTTGTCGTTCATCAGGTGACGGAAGGGCGGCGGCGCGTGGATGTGTTTTGTCTGCGTTGCCTTGTGACAACGGTGCGGGGGACCACCACCGAGGCACCTAATACCATCAACACATCACCCACTAACTTTTGCTTGTTTTGAGCTACAAATGCAATGCAATAGTACCAGTACCGCACTCAAGGGCTTGCTTTAACATGTCGACATATGGTTACCTAGCGTGTCGCACCCCTGCAGGGGAAGTAGCCAAGCACAGGGTACGAGCTACAGAGAAGCGTTGATTGCTGTGAGTGATGGTCAAATGTAAGCTGCATTCACATGGCAACTTCATCTCGGTCATATTCACTTCGGTCTCCTTCTGCCTCTGTTGTAGTTGATGCTCAGAAACAAGGCCGGAAAACCCCGATATCATGCCTCTAGAGGAGCCGAGCTGGCCTGCCATACGAGGCACGAGACCCCAAGCCGCCGACTTGGTGGCGGTAGTGCAGCTTCAAACTTTTGTACAGACCGTCGAACATTTCTTTCTTGCGAGTGACTTTGACTTGCCTGCGAATCGGCCGGGAAGGACGAAACAAGACAAATACCGACCAGGCCCGTGTGGACCGGAGCAAGACTGCCGCAAGCTGAATGGGTGAGGGGTCTGCACAAAACCAGCTATCGGAGCCTTGTGCCGGCGCAGCTCTTACAGGCCTATACAATCAGCCTCGTGATGTCGCAGCAATCCATTCCGATGCCGATATACAAAAGTTGACATACGTCGAGAACCGAGAACCTGTCAGAGAAGCAATGCGAATCTGCACTCCAAATGAGAGTGTGCCAGAGACACACTCATATTATACTCTAGGATACGACGCTGTTATCATCTCTGTTGTTCGTATCTCAGGTGTTTGGAAGGTGTGATCACGAGCTTGACCAAGGCTTGAAGAAAAGGGCGCTATAGCAATAGTCAGCCAGTCACGGTGCTGCGACGGGGGAGCTGAGAGAGACGAGGCTACCCGAATGTGCCTGGAGTGGAACATGATGCATAGCTGTGACTCTAGGACCAGTAGAAGAAAGGCCGCTCACTGTTATAATACAATGGTGATATTGTTCTGTGCAAGTGGTTGCAATACTAGCATGTACCTAGCTAGAGTGGAGTGTTTTATGGGCGATACCGTATGTTTCTATTGACGGCTTTCATCCTACAAGGGCTCGAAATAAGGCCATACATATCTGTGATGCTCAAAATACACATCGAGATTGAGGATATAACCATGCAGACCCCTTCCCCATTCCCCCCATACCGGCCCGAGTATCAAAGACGGATGGGGCTTCCGGTGCAAAAAGCCCACTTCCCCGGAGCAGGCGCAGCCTCCACATCTTTGCCCATGTAGACTTTTCATCTTCCAATATTCCACGCCGCCTAGCAGATCGTATGTCCTCTGCGAGCACCACTGCACCCGACGACATACGGATCATGTTGCACATTGCACGCGGCAAAAGCTGATTCCATCGGTCATGCAAGCCACCCAGTCCCCTCGCACCTGACCCATGGTCGGCGCTGGCAGCCCCAACCCACCCTCGCCGCAGTGCCTTGCATCTCGCATACACACAATCCGCACCACACACCACGACAGCCACAGACGCAGCACACCCCCCTCCCCCCCCTGCTGTGCCCTCATCTTTTCCTACAGGTCTCGCCCTCGTCGCCCCAACATGGCCCTGTCAGAACTCCCACAGCGTCAACCGGGGGCCGACCAGCGTTACACAGAGGCGGCGCACCCGCTCCAGCATCAGCGCCAGTCCAAGGCCAACCCCCCGGCTGCACCTCCGATCGAGGCCGCCTGCGCTCATCATCCGACTACGGCTGCCGCGACGACGGCCATCCCAGACCACCAACAACATTCAAATCATGCCCCCGTTGTGACGAGGATTCCATCGGCGGTAGACGTACCGGCATCAGTAGCGAGCTACCCTCTCCACGGCGATGAAATGTGGCAAAAACACCACCTAAAGCACAAGCACCTACCCAGAGGCTCCAAGCCCGTCGCCTTTGTCGGTGAGGGCGCCGCCAACGCCGTCTTTGAGATCAAGCTTCCCCAACATGGCTCCTCCGATTCCAATTTCAAAGGTAATAGTCTATTTTAAAGCCCCCGTTCCATCCCTGTAGATGAAATCCGTCACTGACGAGCCCCCACGTCTAGGCCTGCTGTTGCGAGTGGCCAAGGTTCCAGCACTCGGCCAGCCCACCGCGTACAACTACCTCTTTCAGCAAACCTTCTACCAGACAACCATCCGACCCCTTCTGGGCAGCCATGCCATCCACCAGGAGCTCGTCATTCTCCGTGGCTCTGGCATCGTCGACGAGCTCAATCGCCTCCTTCAGGCCCTCGATCATACCCGTAAGCCCAAGTTCCGCGGCTCCTTCGTTGGCCAGTCCGACTGGGGCCTCCTCATCGAGGACATGCGGCCCGACCCAAAGGCCCCGACGCCGCGCATCCTCGTCGAGTTCAAGCCTAAGTGGCTCTCGCAGTCGCGCAGCGCCCCGGCCCGTGCCGTCCGCTGCCGGCAGTGTGCCCTCGAGCTCCAGCGTATGCTGACCAGGCCCGTTGCTGGCGCCGGCCCCTTTAACCCGGAGCGCAAACCATGCCCGCTGGCCCTGGTGGATGAGGAGGCGCCCCCGGCCGTGTCGTCGCCTTTTCGCATCGCACCGCAGCTAGCCACTGCCCCAGAGCGGGAGCTCCTGAGGACGTCGCTGGAGCACATCCTGCACGACCCCTTTCTGGAGGATTTGTGCGCCCAGCAGGAAGGGCTGGACGTGACGGGCCCGCTGGGAGCCAGCCCCAATGATGAAAAGTTTGGTATCGCCATGACGATCCGTGACTGCACGTGTTTTGCGCTCATCCCCAAGGATGATGCTGCCCACGGCCCAGGAGACCTCAAGATCCGGCTCGGCGACCTGGATTGGAAGGATCCGCAAACCAAGATCCAGCACTGGCAAGGCACCGAGCAGTCGCTCATCGATGGTGGGTTCTACACAGCGGACTGGATCCTCTGCGACGGAGTGTATTACCACTCCCCAACGCTATGTTTGCTCGAGTGGAAGCCGAGGTCTCCTTTGACCAGCCCGCCTGATGTCATACAGTTGCACGACGCAACCACAAACTCACCCATCAACGGAACCTCCACGGAACCGCATGTTTTTCGACACGTGGCAGACAAGGCCAAACTACGGGGAAAATTACAGCCATATGATGGCCGCAACGCGGCGCTTACCAATCCACACCGCCCGCCGCCTCACTTGACAGGGCAGCTGATGCACACACGTACGCATCACAGAGACCGTTAGAGGTACCAACAGTACAGACGATATAACAAGGAGGTGATGCTCTTTTGCTTTGAACGAATGATACACGGGGATACCTTGGTTCTTTTTGTCTTGCTTTTTTTTTTTTTTTGCATTGGACTGGCGCGTTTGATATTTGGACAGTCAATCATCATCATCATCATCATCGGGGGGTCATACTTGCTAATTTTGCTTCATCATCATCTTCTTCTTCTCCCGATGTCGCTTTTTTTTATTATATTTGGAATAAATGTACATTAGCTTCGTAATGATGGTCGTTATAGAACAAGAAAACAAGACGCTTTCCTCTAGAGCGCTCTATGGCGTCGCACGATACTGTAAAAAGGAATTTAGAGGCCGCCCAACATGCAACGTGTATGTAGAATGTAGTACGAGTGGGCTTGTGCAACCCCTCCCCTCCCCCCAAGTAATTTATATGCCGGCAATTGAAAAACTCAGCAGGCTGCCGGCCGTGAGACCGATGATGAGGCACATGCCCATAAAACCACCAGCGGCCTCGCGCTCGCCCTCGTCGACCCAGCTGCCGGCCGAGGTCATGAGGCGGGCGCAGAGCCAGCCGTTGGTGAGGCCAAAGGGCAGCTGGACGAGGAGCAGGTAAAAGAGGTCGCTGGGGACGGCGGCGCCGCGGCCGCCAATGTTGCAGAGCAGGTAGAGCGGGAGCTGGACGATGCGGAGCGCGGCGAGCTTGAAGAGCAGCTTGGGGCGGCCGCCGCGGGACGAGTTGGCGCCGAGGCCGCGACGGGCGGATCCCAGGGCCGTCGCCACCCGGCCGGCAAAGTCGCCGCAGTTCCAGACGAAGAAGGCGAGGGGGATGAAGGCGTCGGGGGCCAAAAGCCCGCCGGCCCAGGGGTCGGCGGGCTCGCGGACGGAGCGGATCTTGGCGGTGAAGACGGGGAAGAACATGGTGGTGGTGAAGATGAGGGCGACGCCGAGGGCCAGCCACCGCAGCTTGGCAAAGAGCACGCGCATGGGGACGACCTTGCGCGCGGGGGCGGACCGGTCGTCCTCGTCTGTGTCCTCGTCGGCGGCGCCGGCCGGGCGGAGGACGCGGTACTGGGCGTTGCGCTTGTTTTGGCGCCGGAGCGGGATCATGGCGACCATGGCGACGACGGAGATGACAACGGCGGCCAAAAAGTACACAAACGCCGACGTCTTGCCCTCGGCCGCTGCCGTCGACACTGACGCGTCGCTGCTGCGATCGCCGCTGCCGCCCGACGGGAAGAGCAGCACGCTGAGGACCTCGGCCAGCGCGGGCAGCATGCCGGCGACGCCCTGGCCGGTGACGAGGGCCTGCATGTACTCGGGGCGGCCGTAGCTGGAGGCGAAGGCGAGCGCGCCGTTCTGCAGCAGGCCGGTGGCGACGGACGTGGCGGCGACCATGGCGAGGACGAAGACGAAGTAGGCGACCGGGGAGACGCCGAGGGCGACGGTGGTGGAGGCGGTGAGGAGCGCAAAGGTGGCGACGTTGAGGAGCAGGCCGCAGCTGATGCGGAGGGGGTACGAGGCGCTGCGCTGGCGCTTGGTGAGGATGAGGACGGCGGCGAGGCTGGTGGTGGTCGAGACGGTCATGATAGTGGGTTGGAAGTTGGTCTTGATCCAGGGGCTGCCCTGGAAGCGCGATTCAAAGTAGGGCGCGGCGGCGAGGAACATGTTCCTGTTTTTCAGTAGCAATTTGGAATTAGTTCTCCTGTTGCGGAATGAACTGGGGACGATGAAGGGGAGGGGGGGAGGGCTTACCATGCCCAGAGCATTGCCAGACCCAGGAAGACAAAGACGCCATAGTCAACCCACGAAAAGGGCGGTTCGTCCGGCGAGCTGTCGGCGCTGAACTCGTCGTCGTCGTCGTCGTCGAGGATAATGTCTTCAGGCTGCATCTCGGTCGGCGTGTCAGGTCCCGTCAAGGGCTCGTACTCTGCTGCGTGTGACGACCCGTGTCGGGGCATGACCTTGTCGGTGCTTCTCATGGCGATTGCGCGGGATTTTGTGTGTTTGTGCGTATGTGCGCGGGGAGATGGAATGTACTGAGATCTGTCCGCAGCCCAGCTGCGTTGTATATAGTCGAGAATTCGATGCCGGATCGAATCTGCTGGGCGGTCCGCGCGGTTCCGGTGTGCGGCGACGATGGGCGGCGGGTGACCCCCGTCGGAGGGGAGAGGAGGGCAGAGCAGCAGGCAGGCTTCTTGTTTCCCGCACTATTCACCCGCCAAGAAGACCAAAAAAAAAAGAAAGCGGCGATTGTAGAGAATGGGGTGGTTTGAGGGGTCGAAGGAAATGGTGATGATGGCTCGGAAACGCCAGCGTAGGTAAGGAACAGGAACCCAGCCAGCCACGATGTCAGAGGACAGACGGGGGTCAGCGGCCCGATGGGACCCTTGTGACTGAGGGCGTCTGGGTCAGCCGTTGACAGGCGTCAGGCGGGCCTGAAAGCCTCCACACTCGGCACCTGAAGTGCGGGCAGCACACCGGCTCCCCTGTAAAAGCCCACTGTAAAACACCCCGGGAGGGCCTGTACTATCTTCCCCGTGGCTGGCTGTAAATGCAGACGTCGCAGTTGGACACGACTAAAAACATCTTGTGCCACCGTCTGGTCTCGGAAAGTTTGTGACAAGTAAGTTGTCCGCCAAAAATACCCTATCCTGTGACACCCTCCAAGACGTCGGATGAACTGAGTTGAGCATTCTATTTCCTATCTGGGGCTTATCTGTGCCAACGCTGGCTGCAGCTTCACAACGCTAGATGCGCCTTTCCTGTCGCAGCGGGTGCCTGGTTGTGAAACACAACCCGAGTCCGTCAGTCACGTTCCTTGGCTAGTTACTTGCGGCTACGCTCTCTACTTGTTAAGGCTGTCGATGATTTTGGAGATGGCCAGGCATTCCTCGTCACGCATCGTCGGCGTCACAACCTGGATGGTGCAAGGCATGCCCTCCGATTTTGCCGGCTTGTCTATGTTTGCGAATTAGTAAACACTACCAGGGTGAATAAAATGACACAATACTCACACTCTGACGCATACTGTCCGGGCTTCAGCTCAAAGGTCTCGCCTTCCTTGGCTGCAGCCTTGCCAAAAGGAATGACACATGCCGGATACTGCAGCAGGTTAGTTAGCCAAGCTGCTTTTCGTTTCCCACCCAAACCAGAAAGAAAAAAGCACCTACATCAATCAGGTTAAAAATGGTGCCGTACGCCGAACTGGCAAACTCGTCATGCGGCGCTGCCGTGTGCTGCATCAGCGGCCCAATCACCACATCCAGGTTGTGCATAGTGTACGCTGCATGCCACGCGCCTGCAATCGCGGCCCTCTTGACGTTGAGCGCCGACAGCCGCGCCAGGCCCTCGAGGTCCGCCGCGTCCGCTAGGTACGTCCACGGCGCAAACGTGAGGCCCTTCAGCAGGTTGGCGCGTGAGGGGATCGGCGGCTCGCCGGCCTCGTCCACGAGGCGCGCCCCCGTCGGGTCGAGCGAGTACAGCCCAAACGCCGTCTGTATGGCCTCCCAGAAGAGGCACTCGGACGGTTGCAGCAGGATTATGTCGTGGCCGGCGGCGGCGAGCTTATCCGACGCCGCGGCGAGGGAGGCACGAATCGGCGGGTGCAGAGGGAACGTTGGGTCCTCGGCCATGACGCCGATGCGGAGCTTCTGGCCGGCGTCGAGCTTGACCTCGCGCCACGGCAGGTCGGCGGCGGTCGCGTCGAGCTTCCAGGGGCGGGCGTTGACGATGACCTTCATGAGGATGTCGAGTGCGTCTACGTCGCCGGCGAGCGGGCCGATGCATGATTTGACCTGGCGCATACCCGGGTCGACGCATAGCTTTACATCTCCAGCGGGGATACGTCCCACGGTAGGACGGAACCCGTAGATGCCATTGCAGGCAGCTGGGAATCGAACAGAACCTATGATAGAGGTCAGCACATTTCTGCAACATAGACGAGCGTGTCTACCTAGTCATTAGTTAGTGCGTACCTCCTACATCAGTGCCCAGGCCCAGTGGCGAGCCTCGGAAACCGACAATGGCACCTTCACCACCGCTAGAGCCACCAGCCGAAAGGCTCGTGTTGAGCGGGTTCAAGGTTCGTCCAAAGATGTTGTTGTGGCTGTCCACAGTCTGCGCAGGCAGCGCATTAACGTGCCGGTCTCGCGTGACACCTTCTCTAGGTACCAAAGACTCACCATCATGGTCTGCGGCACGTTGGTCTTGCAGTAGATGACGCCGCCGCTCGCGAGGATGATGTCGACGACGGCCGAGTTCTTGTCCGACACGTAGTCAAAGAAGCATACCAGGCCCAGCGTCGCCGGCACCCCCTCCACTTGAATGTTGTCCTTGATGCTGACCGGTAGGCCGTGAAAGGGACCGAGGGGCTCGCCCTGCGCGCGGCGGGCATCGAGCTCCTCCGCCCTCTGCAGCGCCTTGTCGAAGAAGATTTCCGTGCAGCAATTGAGCTATAGTCACCACGCAATTAGCTGCACGCCGAGTGAGCACAAACAGGAGAAGGGAGGTCTGTACAAGTTGGTGGGCAATGGCGGCACGTTTGCAAAACGCAGTCGTGACCTCCAGCGCCGTGAGCTTTCCGCCAGCGAGCGCCGCCAGCAACTCGGTCACATTATACGACTCTGTGATTTCAAGCTCCTTCCCGGAGAATATTCCAGAGCGTTTGCAGATACCAAGCTCGAGCACATTATTGTCAGACTCTTGCAGCGGCGTCTTCAGCTCACTGAGCAGCTCCGGCTTGAGTCGCCAGGCCTCTGGGATGGTGTTGCTCAGCTGCTGGCGGCGCTCTGCCGCCCTGGTCTCCCAATTGGCAGCCATCGTCTTGAATATGGTTCTGGATGAGGGTAAGTACGACAAAGTTCTGGCAAGTAGATATGAAAGAAAATAAAAAGACCTGATTACTTTTCAACTCGGCAAGAACTTGTGACGAGGTGTAAGGCGCAACCGTCCTATTTCGTCCGTAGTTTGGGGAGTAGTAGTGCGGGGGAGACGGCGTGGCGCATGGTGCCCGCGGGCCCGACTTTGTAGATCCAAGCTATTCAAAATGGTATAGGAGTTTTCACCGGAACGGCATTGGAAGTGGTAAAGATAATTAGTGGACTATCTGCATGAGTCTAGGCGACGGCAACACCACGCGAGTGCTAATTCGAGGCCGCTAAGCTCGTGTATTGTCCCATGTTATTATGCCCTCTATCAATGTTCCGACAGAACAACACGGCGTATTTTGCTCTTTCTGCAGCGAGATGTTGAGTTTGAGCACGTCGGTCCTTGTTTGGGGCCGATATCGCGCCTGGATCAGCCACAATTGCATGCAGCCGACCCGTCTCTGCAGCTCCTGCACAGCTTCGTATTTGACGCATGGATCGTCGGCATGTGTATGCGCTTTATGCAGCTTGTGCTTGTGATATTGATGCTGGTCGAGCCCATGGGTCGACACTGCCGCCGAACAACTGCACGTCCTGGGTGACAGCTTCCAACGACGCAAGGCAGCCGAATTTACTCTTCCGCAGTAGATTGCGCCGACAACCCGGAATCCGCCCTAGGCCGGAGCGCGACCCTCACACTCGTCGTGGCCTTGGGTTTGGCCTTGCGCGTGGTCTGCGGTGGCCGCGGTCGAGCGCCACCAGCCTTCTAAGCTGGTTTGGCCGCCACCGCTGCACCCGAAGCCGCCGCGTTCTCTGCCTTGAGCCTCGCCAGCAGATCCTCCTTGCCCTTGAGCTCCGCGAGAACCTTGGCGCTCATCTCCTCCGTCTTGGCCTGCGCGTCCTTGAGCCGCTTGATTTCGGCCGCCTCGGTCTCGCGGCTAAACGGCTGCCCGGGTCGGTTGTGTTGGGGGATCATCGCGGACCGCTCCCACACGGTTTCGCTGTCAGGGGCTGGGAGCGGCGGTGTCGGACGGTTCTTCCCTTTGCCCTTGCCTCCCCCGGCCGTTTTCCAACCCTTGGGGACGGCACCGCTCGTCAGGATATTGAAGAAGACCTCGTACGGCTCGTTGAAGAGTTGCTCCTCGTAGCTCCACGCGCGGACTTCACCGTTTTTCGTTACCATGGCCTGCTTCTCTTCCTCGGTTCTTCCAAACGGATGCAGGCGCAAGTAATGATATAAGGTTTGCGGTTTCTCGCCGGATTCATTGACGTAATATAGCTTAACGGTGATATCAAATTCGCCCCAACCCGTTTCGCTCACCGTGAAGGGCATGCCAACTTCGCCTTCGATCACTGCGGTTCAGAATGGCGTGGTTAGTGTTTGGGTCTTTGAGTCGATCAATGCGACGGCTCGTGGGAGAGGGTAGACGCACTGCGCACATGATTTGGGATCGACTCGTGCAGCTTGAACTGAACGCGTCGCAGCCAGTACGTAATATCTGTGTCTTCGAGGCCTTTTACAAAGACGGACCACGAGTGTGTGTGATTGTCGGGCGCGCCGACTGGACGCGGGTTCGTTTCGTTGAAAGGAACTGCTGTCGAGCCGATAATGAATGGGCGGCGGACTTGGGTCAGCTTGACTCGCTTGCCGAGCTGGTTGTTGGGCGCCATGATGGGCGGGACAGCGGAGCGGTGGGAGGAGTAGCTGCAGTCGCGCGTCTAGTCTGGGATAAAGGGTACCGGATGTAAGGGGAAGCCGTTTGCGGCAATGGCTTCGATCGCGCCTTGGGATAACTCGATGAACTAGTAGTGATGAAAAAGAAAAGAGATGGTTTTCGGGGCCGCAGCATCGCATTCGGCGCTACGAAGCCGCTAAACAGGGGCCTGCCTAAGGAACAAAAATGGCTGCTACGGCCCCACCACAGCTTCCTCGATCGCTGGCGCGGCGACATGACTTCATTATTTCACGTTCTGATCTGACTTCCTTTGTCTCCAAATTACGTCTTCATATCCATTCTTGTGGGAATTCGCCATCAAAACTGACATATACTCGCCTAATTTACTCGAAACAAGTGCTGCTAAGACGTATACCACTGCGCAGCAGCTCAATTCGACCTAGCCAAGCACACACTCAGTCCGACAGCTATCCACAATGGCCGCAGCAGCAAAGAGACTCGTCGTCTGCGGAGGCAACGGCTTTTTGGGATCAAGGATATGCAAGTATGCTGTAGGAAGAGGGTGGGATGTTATTTCTATCAGGTATGGATCATGGGACTTGTTATTTGATGCGTCTTCACTCACAACGTTCAAGCCGCTCTGGACAGCCGAAATGGGACAACGTCACTTCGTCGGCCGCTGCGCCGAGTTGGTCGCACCAAGTTACGTGGGAAAAAGGGGACATTCTCAAGCCATCATCTTATGCGCCATTCCTGCAAGGCGCCGACTATGTCGTCCACAGCATGGGCATCCTACTTGAAGCCGACTACAAGGGACTTGTGTCTGGTCGTGAGTCCCCCATTGCCGGCTTCCAAAAGGCCTTTGCCGCCACAAAGGACCGCGGTATCAACCCGCTCGAGGCCAAGCCCGGCGAAGACATCAAGCCGCCTAACCCCAACGACCAGTTCTCCTACGAGGTCATGAACCGGGACAGCGCAATTGCTCTGGCGCGCCATGCCTCGGACGCCAAGACCAAGGCCTTTTGCTACATCTCGGCCGCTGGCGGGTCGCCCATGCTGCCGCAGCGATACATCACGACCAAGCGCCAGGCGGAGAACACCATCGCCAACGAGTTTCCAGGGATGAGGGGCGTCTTCTTCCGGCCGCCCTTTATGTTTGACGAGTCGAGAAAGGTGACCATGGGACTAGCGGCCATGGCCGGTGCCGGCGCGCTCTTCAACAAGGTAACCGGCGGGTATCTGAGCACATTCATGGGTGCCGCGGGCGCCAAGCCGGTCAAGGTGGAAATGGTTGCCGAAGCGGTGGTAGAAGCGCTCGCGGATGAGGAGATTCACGGACCGGTTGAGACTCCGCAGATGGAGGAGCTGGCGCACAAGGCATGGAGGAAAACAATGTTGTAAAATCGTCTCCCCGAAATTTTATTCCCCGAAACGCCAATGCAAACGCTAAAGCTAGACTGTACAATAAACCGAACCGTAACCCTTTCTCAAGTCATCGTCTCCCTCAAATCATGGTGCCGCGTTCAAAGCTATCGCGAATATCAGACGTGTACTTGTCGTAGAAGCGCGCCAGCTTTTGGTTGAACTGCTTGTTCTTCTCGTTGATGTATGTAATGTCGCCATCGTCGCCATTCTTGGCCTGGCGATCCTTTCTCTTCTTCAAGCTCTGCGCCTCGGCCCTGTTGATGTCGGCGACGAGCCGGTCAATGGCTGACTTGTCGGGTTTATTCTGCGCAAACGACGTCGAGTCGGCCGTGGCGTAAAACGTGCCGTCCTTGTCCACGGCAATCATCTCGCCGTCCTCGGTCTCGACAATCTCCAAGCTGCCCGCCGCGGCCGCCTTTTCAATGGCGGCGAGCTTCTGCTTGGTGTACGCGTCGAGGTCGACATCGAGGTTCTTGAGCTGGCGCTTGTAGACCTTGTTGCTCTCGTCCTGGTAGTCCTGGAAGGCGTTGTTGTCGCGGTGCGCCTCCTTCTTCTTGACGCGCCTGTCCCACTTCTCGCTCTCGTCGATGGTCCAGTCCCACGCCCGCTTGCGCTCAAAGTCCTCGCCGGCGTCCTCCGTATCGGCCTTGAGCAGCTTGTGCGCCGCAATGTCGTGCCGCCGCCGCAGGGCTGTGAGCTGTGCCGGGTCCTCGGCCAGGCGCTGCGACTCGCGGGTGACCTCCTTCATATTTGTCTGGGAAGAGTTTTTCGCGCGCGCCTGGAGCGCCTTGAAGCGCGCCATGCGGTCCTGCGCCTTTGAAGAGCCATCAGAGGCGGTCGGCGCTTCTGTGGCCTTTTCAGGCCATTTTTCGCCGTCTTTTCCTGCTTTGCACTCAATATAGGCAGGGCTTGACTGGTACGTAGACGTAGTGCGACGCGACATGATGAATTCGTATTGTTTTGATAATGCTTTGATGATTTGATGCGGCGTGGCGTTTGTTTTTGATGAATTCCTGAAGCCTGCCACACTCGGATGAGGTATCCTCTACAGTCGCACATTACACGTGCCACACCCCCACTGTTCGCACAATAGGGTGTTGTATAGTCACGCGGCCACTATAGCCACGCAGCCACTAAGAAGTAAGAAATTATAGTGAGGATGACTAGAGGTATATAATAGATAAAACTTAATAGAAATTTCTAAATTATATATAATAGTGCTTAGGATTAATTATTTACTATAATAAAAAATAAATTTATATATCTATATATATAGTGGTGGCCTATTTGCACTTTTGGCGAACCGGAGCTAATGTGCGACCGTAATCCTCCCCAACCTCGCTTGATCTGTACCCTCCCTGGGGAACTGCTCGCCCCCTGCCCTGACGACTTGTCCCGCTTTCCCCAGACTGTTCAGACGAAACTCTGCTCGCGAGGTACGCTCGACATACCTAATTCCAACAGCAGATAGCCTACAAGTGCCTCCAGGCGCCCATTACAAGCGGTGTGAGTGAGTTTCGGAATCGATCCCACGACTTCTCTGCCCTGGGTGACCTCTCACGATGAGTCTGATCGTCCAGCGGGCGTGGCGACCCACGAGCACGAGCACGAGACCTCATCGTGTCGCGACACAACGGCGCTTCAAGACATTTCAGCGCAGGGTGGATAAGAACGACCAAGTCTACTACACCATATCCAAGCGCCAGCCTGTTCAAGATCCTAATGCCGCCCCAGGCAACCAGCAGTTCTTTGAGATGCCCAACCTGCTGCTGGACCTTGATGCGGAGGGATCTCGCAATGTGCGCACATTTGACGACAAGGACGAGGCACTGCAGCTGACAAAGTGGCGCGTCAATCACAAACGAGAAGAAGTTAAGCTAAAGCTTGCCGATTTGGAGAGCAAACTGGTTGAGTCGCGCAAACGAGCGCAAGATATTGCCGCCAGCCCGTCCAATATCTGGAGACTTAGCTCACACGACCTTCTGTCCGCTGCACTCCACGGGCCGCTCAGTAGCGACGGCGCTGCTCCCGCAGAGGCTCCATGTCTAGACACTTTGGAAGGCTCCCACTTGATCGAGGCCTTGCGTCGCGAAAACGGGATCCCGGGTCATGCGAGCGCCTCCGACGTCCTCCTATTGGAATGGATGCTTCTGCGGAGCTACAGCACCGATAGCGTGAAGAGCAAAAATCGCGAAGCAGCACTCAGTTCCTCGGAGCTTGTAGAGGCTCTGCAATCACATACCTCTGTCGTCGGTATACGACGGTTGTTACGCCATAATCTGTGGTCCTCTGCAAACATCAAGACACACTTTGGTCCTCGGGCTAAAGCTGCTGCAGATGTACCTAGCGAGATTCGGAAACGCTGCATCGAGATACTCGAATCGGAACAGGCGCGCAGAAATCAGTTTGTGAGCTGCCTCGCACTAGTTGGCAGCTTGTTGGAGAAGTTGTCCAAGGACGGAATGGAACCTGATCACCGCTTGCTGGCTCTCGCTCTCAGAGTGTCTGCTCGTAGTGGCTCACTCGTCGTTATGTCTGAGTGGATTCGCCGAATTCACTCGAGCAACTCGTGGAAACGAAGCCCCGAGATTGTCGAAGATGCGGCAGCATGCATGCAAAGTTGCTCCCAGTTGCTAGCAACGCAATTGGGGACGGTGGCTGATCGCCAGTTGCTGCTCCAGCTTTTGACTGGCCTCGACGAGAACGAACAGATTGCGCCCGAATCGCTGCGGTCTATTATGTTGAGCAGCATGAAAGGAAACGGCTTCAAGACCGTCTCAAGCCAGGCATGCGAGGCCTACGCCAAGGTTCTTGGTGAGCTTGGAGCTGTGCGGACCCTGCTGAAGGAATCAGAGAGCACAGAGGAGGCCCTTCGAGAGGCTTGTATCGGTGTGCTGAAGGGTACTCCGAAATATAGTGCAACTCTGAAGACTCAGGGTGTCAAGATGTTGTCGATTGAAGAGTGTGTTAGTATGGATTATCATGATATTACGGAGCAAGCGGCATAAGCTGGTTTCGCTGTTATTATTAAGCCAGATTATTTATGTATAAAAGCACCTCTTTCGGTGTATAGATGCTAGCATGTCGTAGTATTCTAACTACATGTGACTTTATTGTCATGTTTTCATGGACAGAAAAGCCCGAGTACCAATATGCCGACTCCAGTAGCTCTTTCTCACGGCCTGTGCTGCTCTTTCTGTCGACCTGTGCTTCTTTCTCTTCCTCTCGGCCTGCGTTGCTCTGGTATTTACTTTCCAACTCGTTTACATCTTGCCCGGTTGCCTGAGCTCAAGCTAGAGAACTTGTGAGACAACATTGATCAGTTTTGTGCACGCCTCACAAAAATACACACCCCAACGTGGCTGCAGCCGCCTTGTGCGACCGAGCCCAACGTGAATTTCCGCACCAAGGCCATTTTCCGCGTTGCACTTTCGAGCTGCCAAGCCGTCTCACGCATGCAATAGAACACCACCAGGAACGGCTCTCTTTCATGATTTCCATCCCAATTGTACCAATGATGTCTCCGGCAGCTAAGCGCAAGGGAGGCGATGAGTCGTCCAGCGATATCGAGCACATTCCTGCACTGGAGTTGAAACGGCGGCGATGCTCTGGTAAGGCTGACACTGCTTCTGCTGCTGCTGCAAAGGATGAGTGTCCAAGTAGTCCTCTGGAAGACGGTGTCGCGAGAACCATTGAGCGAGACGAATTGCGAATGAGTCCCGCCGGAGTAAAGGTAGAGAAGCACGGCGTCAAAGACAGCAGCCGCCGAGAAGAAGAATGGTTGAGGGAAGCGTCTACGGCTACAAAAACAGAACGGCCCGTCGTCCACGTCGTCCGCGCCTGCGTCAAGAGAGAAGATACAGGGAGCTCCGACGCCCCGGACTCCCAAGAGGAGCCCGCGGAGCCGCAGCCGAGAGACCAACAGCACTGGCGACGCAGCGCGGCGCCGTCGCCGTTTGCCTCGGCGCACCACGGCGCTGCCGCCGCCGCCCAAAGCCGCGTCATCCGCCCCGAGGACATACCGCGTGTCCTCAAACACGTGCTGCGGCCGAGCGCCGACAATCCGGGGCGCTGCCCGTGCGGCTGGTACGAGTTCTACGCCGTGTGCGCGCACGTCGCTCGCCGCGAGATGTACAGGTGCGGCGCCCGGCGCGCGGTCTCCGGCGACTTCGTCTTTTGCGGCTCTCCGGCACCCCGGCACAACGTCGACGACTACATTGTCGACCAGCCCTGCATGAGCTGCCGCGCTTTCGGGCCCGTCGTCAAGCTCTCATCCTAGGAGCCGGAAGGGGAGGGCGATGTTTGCGACGACGAGGCCACCCTTTGTTTTGCGAACGGTGTGAAAAGGAGTGTGAGGTGCCACCACATGGACGGCACACGACCCATTTCCGGTTTGAAAACGGTCTTTTTCTCTGGGTCCTGGCGAGGTTACATATGCACACACCCCTTGCCCTGCTTTGGGCATCGTACAGAGGACTATGAGGGATAATGCAGTCGAGACTTGCGGTGTGTTTTTTTTCTTTTCCTTCTCTACTCGGCTCTGGCGGGTGGCGTGGTTGGTTTTGGGCATGGCACTGTTGCACTTCGACTTGTTGTTTCATCTTGATTCGTTGGGTTTTGTTTCGTGGGCTGTGTACTCTTACATGACGCAACAGGCACGAAATGTCGCGTGCGAAGCCAGGTCGAGACAAGTCTAGAATCTTGGATCTGCATAAGCAACAGTCACATCTATAGAGATGCGTATTTACTACTTGAGCGCCCCTTGCTATGATGTAAATCGCGGAAATAGTTGAAATAAATGTGGCTACTCCGCGTCAGCTTCACACGAGTCCGTTTTACCCTCAACGGCCGTGTGGAACGGGTGTCCATGTCATTTTCAGTGTCATATCAGCTATTGGTAGAGCATGAAACGCAGAAATAACGTCACTGGGTGAAATTTGCAAGTCTCGACTTGAACTCGGCATCACAAACGCGGGCAGGTGGCGATTCACATTGCTGGCGAGAATGACGTCTGGCACACCAAATGATGACAGGCCAAGACAAAAATAGTTGTATAGCTAAGGTACCTCCTGTGAGGTTTCAGCATCCAGTTACTCTTTCGTTTCGCGAATAAGAAAGCGAGCCCCATGCCGCGGAGGCCGGCAGCCGGAGGGGAGATCGGCCCAGTCGGCTGCCGATCCCGATGGCAGCCCAGGCGCAGCAGAATGCGATCAGTTGGCGTTGTTATCTCGGCATGATATTCGAGACTTGCGTGGATTTTTTTAAACCCATTTCTCGCAAGAAGACTTGTGATATCCACAGAATGTTCTTTGCAAGCAGTCATCGCGCACGCCAAGTGTCAATCAGGCTCTTCGCAAAGCCCTTGACCCGAAGCCTACGTTTTGTTTTGTCTTGTTCGAGGCGCAGGGCAAGAAAAGCCAAAATAAGCGGCCCTGTGACGCGTCAAATCTGTTTTGGTATTTTTTACGCGTCAATGGCGCATCTTTCCAAAGCTAAATCACGCCACTGGCAAACAGGTCCTAGACAACAACACCAAGCCTACCGCGCATCCACGGACACATGGTGCCATCTGGAATGTAGCACTCACACGGGAAGATGACTCGAATAATTGATCAACGAACGGGTCGGTGCTTCGGCTGACAAGAACCGGCTATGAACCCAGCTTTGTTGACAAGATGGCTAGAAAGATCGTTGAAGAGGTATCATAAGCCGAGTTGAAAGACTTTCCGCAGATGGCTTTGAACAGTTGCCTAATTAGTGGCTGAGTAAGAGAGCTCTATAGATAACTAGCCGAATAAGGTACTATGAGTCTTCTCCTCCGGCTTTGTGACTAGTATATCTATACGGTTCCGCGAGCAGAGTTGCTCAAGGTCTAAGAAAGGTTAAATTTCAAGCGGTCAAAGTCAGAAGTCGGTTTGGGCAACACCACTAGTTCATTAGTTATTTCAGGCTCGGCATTTTGGACAAGAAATACAAAAATCATTTGTTCCATTGGCATGTGGCTGGCACAGCCGACGGTTTGCGCACCTGAGAAGAAAATTTCTTCGCCACACGTCATGACTTTTTAGCACCGATGCCGATTGTAAATGTCCACTTGTGGGCTTGAGAAGCCGTCGTTGGCGACAACGTGCATCGTGGACTGGCCATTTTGCACTACACGCCCCGTGCCCACAGCATCGTCTTGTGGACATGGGCATCAGAGATCAGAGCGTCCCGACTCCTCAGGTGCATGTCGACAGCGACACGAGGGAGCAGGTGGGCTGTGAAAATTTCGTCGTTGGAAAATTTTCAGGCGCACATAATTGTCAGGATCTTGCACGGGGCGTGAAACTCCATCACGAAACGCCAAATATTTTCAACGGTGCGTTGTTTCTTGCTTCATTTGGCTCCATCGTGTTGCACCTTGTATTAGTTAGAATTGTGCGCCTTGTGTTTTCAAGGCCAACGTAAAGCGTAGGACGTTGTCGTATTGGTCGTCTAGTCAGGTCGTGGTGATCCGTATATACGGGGTCGCTATTCGCCAGTCTCGCTTGGTGTCGCTCCCTTTTCGCCAAGGGGTGCCCTGTGAAGGATGAGGCTAGAGTCGCAAGAGTCAGGCTCCCCTGTGAGATTTTGGGCATCCGAGGACAGAGCTCATGGTGCTCCTTCGCTTGTCCAGGATCGGCCCTGGTGTTGTGCATGTCTCCCGTCAGCATCAACCCAGCTTGATGCCGACCTAGCCAGAGGCCCATACATAGCTGATTGATACTGGATGGTGCAGCTAATGATGCATGGGCAAAGCGTTCCACCTTGTGGAGAGCAGGTTGGCTTCCGGCTGGTGAATTCCTGGGTGAGCTTCCTTCCCAAACCCGGATGGCTACTGGCCTCTATGGCCTGGTCCAACACTTGTTACAGACTACAGAGAGCAGGTTTCCGGCAAAGTTGGATAATGCTCCTCATGCATCCTAGCACCAATCAGCATAAGCCAGGTAACGCCAGGCACACTGCGGTGCATAACGTTGCTGCGCTTGCTACAGTGGCAGCATCAGCTGCGGGCCGTTAGCTAAGAATATGCCCCCCTTTACACCACTTCTCCAAGTAATGGCACTATTTCGTTCTTACTCGCCTCACATAACGCGATTGGGGATCCACAAGGCGATGTTTTCTTGCCATCGATCAAAGAATAACGCAAGAGTGTGGAGATAGTCGGCGAGGCGCAACTCACGGGCTTTGGTTGTCACGGGTGTCAGAGGCTGAGACGGCTTGCCAAACAGTGCCGAACCGAGGCGTTGGGTATGTGGTGGTGACCTCACCGTTGGAATAGTGCGGCAGAGCAAGGGCCGTGGGCACCAGTTCTCCGTGAGGACGCCATCGTGGCCCATCTTGCCTCTTTTCAGTCAGTGTCACCTGAACCTGCTATTCACCTTGGCTTGCGCCTAGATGCGGGGGGTATTATTGATGTCGCTCGTCAACCCAGCCACCACCCAAGAACACTTGCGGATCCCCCGCTAGCCTTCGCTTTATTAGCAAGCATGCTGAATTTCCTGGGGGGGTGTGCAATTCGATGTGCAAGATTCGGTGCGACGCTGAATTCTCGGTAGATAATTGTTTGCTCGGTATTCCTGGTGCCTCAAAGCTGCTGCCGGATTTTGCAGGCCGTCGTTGAGGGGTATAGCTTCAGAGGCAAGAAACTTGGCGATCGTGGCCAGGTACACAATGTCAGAGCATGGTTGCACCAAGTTGCCCTTCGGATTACTCGAAACGGTGTAGCCATGGCATCCACCATGAGTTGTCCAATCCTCTATCCCGCTTGAACCCTGGTTGCATTATTAGGGCGGCTGAGGAGAGGCCGAGTATCAAAGCCGGCATGCATCGACAACAGGGTAGCAGTGAGTGGGAGGAGTGTGTCGCAGCGGAGGGCATATCGCTAGCCGATTCGGTCCTTGGTTTCAGAGTGCTGCCGTTGTGTTGTCATTGTCAGGGGTTGGGCTGGAGACAGCACCGGACTCGAATTTGGGCGGAAAGAACCGTATCATCAGTGATGGCTTCTCGGGTGTGATGATATCGAAAATGGCGGGCATCTTGCAGCTTATCCCGATAGCGATGCTGGGGTAGATAACGTTGGATGCCGGTGTGGGAGCTTATCATGGTTGGCGCGAGGGCCGGAGCATGTCGCGTGGCTGGTGGCACAATCCGACTGTGAGTATCCGTAGATAAACGATAAACAGCTGAAGATAGAAAATGGCATGCTCGAGTCCATTGATATCGGAGTTGCTAGTTACCAATTACTTATTCTGGAGCGTGTATCTGTTGTAGATGTAAACAATGTGTCCGCACTCGGCTGCCAGCTGGCAACTGGCAGCTGGCAACAAACACCCCTCCCTCGTCTCTGTCATCTGCACAGACATTCCATAATACGTCGCCATCAGTATTCGCCATAATAAAACCATCTCATACCTCATAAATAGTTTTACCCAGAGCCCACCTGATCAATTTTCTTGGCCTTGCTAGTTTCATCGAGCAGGGCGCGTTCCTTGTCGTGGATTCCCAGCGTCCCACCCCCAGAATTTGACCAGCCAGAGCACATCATACCCCCGCCTCTTGCATCAACGGGAGCATCGTTTCTGTTGCACTTGGCTCTTCCTCCAAGAGTTTCATCACTGACAGAACAGTACTGCTAGCTTTCTCGTCCCAGAGCTTGCGCCATTGCTACCTTCCAACCTGCAATTCCCACCGCCTCTCCAAGACCGCCTCTATTATTATTTAGTGGTGGTGCGGGAGCAATATATATATAGCCTGAAGTTCGATATACTTGCAGTGAGTGGACAAAGAAAATACATCCCGAGTCTGAACGACGGCCCGGCTAATCTAACTACCATAGTTCTCTATTTAGACCACGACCGACTCATTCACCCTTGAGTGCCATAACTAGTTACTGGTTACATACCAGCCCAGCTCGGTCGGCCAAGCTCGCAAGACGACACCCTTGGCCGAGACGGACCAAAGGCGTGACGCTGTGGCTCTGCTTCTCCACCAGACACCAATTAATAAGAGACGGCCACAGAGGTCACTGGCTATCCAGGTTGTCCAGGACACAGGACCTTGTGAGCTGGCAGCTCGGACACACAAGCGCCGCAGTGGCACCAGAGCGCACAACGCTCCGGCCACAGACACCACAGTGCTATCCACTTTCAAAGGGCGAGAGACTGCGTGTCGCAGTTATTGGCATATTGTCATATTGGTGCAGGTGTGCCTGTCTCGCAGCCTGTCAACGTTGTCAACCAAGGCCAAAGAACTACCCGCTTCCAATAGCACCAAGAACGCACCAAGAACGCCTTCGGTCCGCTGAGTCCCACTCAACAACCAGGACCAGGGGCTTCAACTAGACGAAAAAAAACGAACATATTTTTATGCCCTTTGCAGGCGCAGCAGTCCCCACTTGCAGCCGATTTGCAAAGTCGTCCAGTCAATCACGACACCGGGTCGAGTCACACGTCAGGCTTGCGCAAGTTCAAGGGGGCGTGTGCCTCTTGTTCGCCGCTGTCTAAAAGAAAAAGGGCAGCTGCAAGGAAATTTGGTCAATGGAAGCTTAAAAAACTATACTATTGACCCCTGCCCACCACAAAGCTGAAAAGACGTTGTCGTCAGTTTCTTTCCTAAATATCCGACACTTCCTCCCAACCTCATCCGCACTTGTTACACACACCCAAAGTACCTCGAGCGAAACTATCAACCCTGGTTTACCTCGAACCCGCCGATTCGGAGCCAGATCCACCGCTGCGGCCACGAGCAAGATTAGTCACTTGCTCACGCATTTTAAACTTCTCGACCAACTTGGAGACCCGGCTCTGTGCGCTGACTACCGATCTTTTGGTCCACTCTACGCTCCGTCAGTACGGGCCAAGCGGAACACCGAGCTACGGTCGCATTGCGACAGACAAGACAAAAGAGTCACATCGGCAATAAAGCCGGGCCTTCGTCCATTGTTCTCTTTTCGCTTCCTTGCAACTCCCCCTCGTCTCTCCAAATTACATGCAGTCTGCATAACAATTGCGCGCCCAACACTCGACATCATCTGATTAGTGGTCTTGTTCCTGTACTACGGCCCAATCTCTATTGCCCGACGTCGACTTTTAGAGCGAACGCAACTCCGCCTGGTCCTCGATCTGTCTATTTTTGTTCACACCTGCTGGACTCGGGGCTTGCAGCTCCTATAACCATCTTCCTGTACGAAACTTTCTTCCGACAACACAATCATGCCGCACCAGAGACGCAAGTCGGGCCATGGCCTTAGCGGTGCCGACACCCGCAAGTCCGATCCCCCCAGACAAGTCCGCCCTTCAATGTCGCGTCGATACACACCTACAAACGTACAACGCTCGTCGAGAACCCCACGATACGAATCTTCGTCGGAAGACGAGAGCTTCCCACAATTCTGGTACGTTTTGGCCGTCAATGCCACCAATACAGCCTCTGTTGCACCCCTCCACCGACTGTCCCGCTAACACACTATCTTCAGCATGTCCTGCGAGAAACAATTCCTCCCCGCAAGTGACAACTTTCTATATTGCTCTGAAAGGTAAATACCCCCAATAACAATACACCTGCCCATTGTCATATTTGCATCTACTTACACATCGAATATAGCTGCCGCCGATCCGACCAGTCCTCCTCGTACTCTGCCTCGTACAGCTCCTACAGCGGTGCCAACGACTACAGCCTAGCCCGTCGCCAATCATATTACGCTTCCGACTCTGAGCCCAAAGACATTATCCCCCAAGCCTCGCCATCGAGACCCGGCTCCATGCTTCTGGCGATGTCACCTCCCGCGACACCCGGAACGTACTACGGATCCAAGCCGGAGTCCGCCCTCTCCGCACTCCGTTCGCTGACGGCGATCCACCCGCCCAGCCCACCATCACCAACCAGCAGCGCCGGTGGATTTTGGCCCTTTGGCAAGAGTGCCGCCACAAGCCCCAGCTCGTCGTATGCCCGCCAGCACATGCTTGGCATGGAAGGTAGCCACACCTACCACGGTTCAACTGACCGTCCGCTGCCATTGCGGTCACCACGCCGCAAGAGTAGCGAGCTTGTTACTCCTATTAGTGGCCGATGACCGATCGGCCACGACGCGGCGTGTGAATTTACAAAAGGTGGACGTTTACCAGCAGCAGCGGATGAGCTGGCCAGCATTGGCAGTTGTCATGATCCTCTCTCATCTCAACAGATCCATACATATGGACTTGACGCATTTTACGAAACCATTCAACGAACATACTTTTACTTGTTTTTTTTTTAGTTTTTTTTTCTTTCTTTGAAATCGGCGTTTCTTGGGTAGTATATCCTTGTTCTTCTTATTCTTGGGGAAGCCATGTTGTACAGACAGTCGGGAAAACACGACGGAAACTGGAGTCTCAAAAAAACCGGGAAATGAAGGGATATTTCACCAAAAGATGGAAGGCGTTTCTCATTACACTATATGTCGTTTGTATCATAACCCAGACCACATCTATATTGATGCACTGCATTGAGATAGGATTGGTGGCATCGGGTTTTCTGTTTCTGCTCTAGTCACAGAGTTTTTCGGAGGCAGGGGCAAGAAGACAGGCAGAGCGGAAGCGTCTTTGGTAGTTTCAAGGGAACAAGAACGACGTGTGGACGTCAAGTCGTTCTCTCTATATCGATGATACAAATTCGCTTCTGCACAGCATTAGATAGGTCAATACCATGATTCAACTTTGTTGACACAACAACGCAGGTATAGCATCTTGTTCTCTGTGACGACAATATAAATACCCGCAAGAAGAGAATGGTGAAGACGAGTTCTCATTTTGTAAAAACAACGTGGATAAATATGTACATGCTAGTTGGAATCTCGTTCAATGCAAAAGCCGTCACTGATGGAATTGGAAAATACAAAAAAAAACATCAGGGCAGAGAAGGAGGATGTAGTAAAGGTCAGTTCGCAGGAGATGCCATACATGAAACAACAAGAAACATAATAAACACGCCACCTTTTCGCGCCCAACGTCCACCTCTTTTGGTTGTTCCCTTTCCCTAGCAAGAATTTGAGAGAAAAAGAAAGGCTGAAATAAGTTTTTGGAAGACTGGACTCTTCCGGCTTATTGTACGAAACAAGACAACAAGATACAGAATGTATCTTTGTCGTGCTGCACCCGACACACAACACCTACACTCTCATACACACAGGACGCGGCTATTGCGGACGTGAGCTGGCCATTTCGCCATACCGGCCACGGTTCTTGGTGGTGTCGTAGGCCTGCAGGACACGGGTCTGGCTCTCGTCCGCCTGGGAAAAGGCGTAGCCGCGCTGCTTCCGCATGCGCTGCACCTGTCGAACCTTGCGAATGGCCTTTTGAAACTGCTCCATCCTATTCGCGCGCGGTTAGCAAGGGGAAAAGAATAGTTTCGACGTGGGAGGAGCATATAAGGGGGGTGGTGACGAACCTGGGTCGGTAATCTTGAATGTTGTACTTTTGAATCTCTTGAATGTGGTGGTAGGTCTGGGGGCGGTACATGCGCTTCGCGTACTTCCAGGCAAAGTCGCGGAGCAGGCAGAGGCCGGCGAGCGCGACCGTCTGCAGCCAAAAGACGGGGCTGCTGTAGAGCCGGGGCACGACGCCGTGGTACTCGACCGAAAAGGGGATCATGGGCGCGACGGTACCGTAGGCGGCAATGAAGACGATCCAGACGGCCATGCTGCCGGGAATGGCCATGACGTGGTACTTTGTCCAGTTGTTGGTGACAAGCGCAGCCTTGCCGAGGACGGTGAGCAGCACGGCGCCGTAGAGCGCCGTGCCCCAAACCCAGTGGCCGGCCGTCTTGCCGTCGCCCTGCACCATGTCGCCGTACCAGATGAGCTCGGCAAAGATGTAGAGCACAATTGAGTGGTACACGGCGTTGGCGATCCACTGCCAAAACACCTTGAGCTTGAACGACTGGTTCTGCTGGCCCATCGTGTACAGCTGCGGGTAGCGGTCGAGCAGCCGCGCCGAGATGAATTGGTCGAGGATACCAATAGCCAGTGGCGGGAAGACGGTGTAGAAGACGTTGTAAAAGGAGAGCGTCCACGACTCGTAAATGACTTGCCCAGAGAAGACGTTTTGGAAGGCGTACCAAAACTGCGTCAGATACAGCGTAATGTTCTTGTAAAAGGAAAACAGGATCGTCTTGCTGATGCGCTGGTAGCTCCACGCGCCGTGTACGAGGAGCAGCTTGCGCAGGTAGCGAAACTGCGCAATCGACACGTCGGCGCTCCGCGCCGCCTGCAGGCCCTCGACACCGCTGATGCCCACGCCAATGTGCGCCGCCTGGATCATGGACACGTCGTTGGCGCCGTCGCCAATCGCGAGCAGGATCGAGCCCCGCTGGTACTTTTTGACCAGCTTCACCACGAGCGCCTTTTGCAGCGGCGACACGCGGCAGCAGATGACGGCTTTGCACATGATGGCCAGCTTGAGGAACAGCTGCTCCAGGTCCTTTTCCAGCGCAAACGTCAGCGACTTGCCATCAATGACGAGTGCCAGCGTCTCCATCTCAATCGTCCCGTCGCCTTGCGTGCGGATCGCGTCAAGTTTCTTCTGAAGGTTGTCCCGCGTCGCCTCGCTCGACTCCTCATTGACAATCAGGAGCATCATGTCTTCACTGAGAAGCTTGCAGCTCATGCCAATATTGATTGCGGTTTCCTGCCGGTCGCCAGTGAGGACCCATACTTTAATGTTGGCTTCTTGGAGGGTGTGGATGGTCTCGGGAACACCGTCCTGGAGACGATCTTCGATGGCAGTCGCGCCAAGCAGGGTAAAGTCGTGCTCGATAATCTCTGCCGCCTTGTCAAGCTCGTCGGCTCGGTTGCCACCGACGGTGGTGGCGGCCTTTTCGAAAATTTGTTGCCATTCTTGAAATTCCTGCTCTGGGACTTCTCGCATAGATAAGCACAGTGTTCGCAACCCTTCAGAGGCGTATTCTTCTAGGTGCCGCAAGGTGGCATCCACATGCGTGTTCTGGTCGTGCAGGCGTTCCAGGATGACCGTATCAGCGCCCTTGCAGTAACAGCGAATCTTTCCATCGGGGCAGCGGTAAATTGTCGACATTCTTTTGCGGGTGGAGTTGAACTCGCAGACGGCCAGAAGCTCGTATTGCAGCTCCTGTCCGCCAACCTCAATGATGACTGCTTTGGGCTTACGGGCAAAGAATGTGTATCCGAGTGTCTTTGCGCCGTCGACCAACGCACCCTCGTCGGGCGAAGCTGCTTGATACTTGATTCTGCCTTTCTCGTCTACCTCTGGGATGACGGTGTGGCAAGTAGCCAACAAGGCGAGGAAATGATCGATTGCGTCTGCAGTATAGTGACCCTCTGCCAAGTTCGATCTGAGTCGGTTGAAGTCGTGAATACTATTCTCGATGTCATCCGGAGAGGTAGCACGCCGGTCCTCGGGGACATTGTCCGAGTACATGATGCCACCAATGGAGCATTGCTTGAACTCCATCATGTTGCAAGTCAGAGTACCAGTCTTGTCGGAAAATACATACTCGACCATGCCCAACTCCTCAACTAAGCTAGACGTTCGGCAAGTGGCGGGGGTATCTGTCTTGTCGTAGTACATGTCCAGATCGTCGTTGATGAGGATAGCATGCCAATATTTTACCAGTTCAACCGTAACGAAGAGCGAGATGGGAACGAGGGCAGAGAAAAGAACCCAATACGTCACCATGTCCTTGAAGAAAGTCTTCAGGGCGATTCCAACACCAGAAATCTTGTCCAGATAGAGGTAGCCATAGTTGTGACCACTAACTTGGCGCGTAACCAAATCGCCAACCGTACAAGCAGCACTGAGGACAAGAAGCATGCCTACAAGGATCAGTACAAGGGAGTTGACCTGTCGCTCCACCTTGGTTCGCTTGATGGGAGCAGCTGTAGCATTGCGCATCAGCTTTGTCTCGTGACCAGTAAAGACGACCACACCATGAATCCAAGGGGTGTTTCTCAAAGTAGCACCACGAAGAACGAGTTGCTCCGGGTTCAAAGCAAGCTCACGCTCGCCGCCACCGGATTGCATAGTGAAAGTGGCCTCGTATGTATATAGACTGCTGTTTGGTTGTTCAGACTTGATGCGGCCCGTGAGACGACTCAACTCGCTGGGAGAGACCATAGTTGAAGTCTCGGGAAGAGCTTGCTTGATTTTGAGATTCGTTTCGCCATCAAGGTTTGCGGTTTCAATGTAGCAAAGACCTTCTGGTTCTGAACTGGCCAAGAGGACCAAATCCGCAGGGAAAGGCTCCTCTGATTCGACTCGAACGACATCACCGACTGCCACGTTGATCCATTTTGTCTGCGTGAAGCTAGAGCCTCGAAGGACTTGTGCTTTCGAGGTGTTGAGCGCATTATCGGCCTGTTTTCTTCGGTAATCTTCCACCAATTCTTTACCAGCAGATATCAAGAGCACAATAAGCAGAGGAGCGATGGTGGTGTATCGATTCGTGGGCGAAAGACCAGGAATTTGTTGCAGTGCCGCCGTGAACAAGAAGAAGACGTTGGCGACTTTGGAAAATTGTTCGAACAGGAATTTTGGTAGGAAGGTGGCAAAGTTGTACTTGGCTGTGGATATATGATTGTCGACGTACTTATTCTCGGCGTTTGCGGGAGGGTTGTTGAGGTAGATGACTCTAGGGCCTAGGGTCGAAGGATCGGGTTTACGGGAACCGAACCCAAATTTGAAGTTTCCTAGATCGAATCCGCCGGCACCGCCGCCGCTTTTCTTTTGTTGTGGAGGCGGTGCACCGTTGCCTCTATCGTGACCTCCCTCAGTCAGCGGCAGATCCATCTCGGAGTAGCCTTGGCCACGGCTCATTCGATTTCGGAAGCGGCCCAGGAAGCCCCCGCCAAGGCCAAGGACGCTGTTGCGGTTGCGCGCTGCTTGCCGCCCAGCTGTCGCGCGGCCTCCTACGGTCGAAGACCCGTCATTCTGGTAGTATGACGCGCGATCGGAAGGGTAGTCGTCGAGGTCGTCGGCATAGCGCTGGTAGTTGCCAAGCTCAGATGTCTGGCTGTACTGACGGTTTATGTATGGGCCGGCGGCATCGAGGCGGGAGGAGTCGGCGGATTGTGCAGTGCCCGCACCGGGCGGGCGGATTGGAGAGCTGTGCGTGGCGTTGGTCGCACCGACAAAGTCGTCGTAGGAGACGGAGGGGCGGCTGGGGGCGTCTTGGGCCTGGTTGTAGTTTCTCAGGAGATCATCATCGTTGAGCGTGGATCGCTGGCCCTGGCTGTAGACGGGCTGTTCGTTGTCGAGGTCTAGCAGCAGTTCACCGCCGGCATGCGACGACTGGCCGCCACGCGGACCCCCAGGAGGTCGTCCAGCCATGCTGGGCGGGCAGCGTGGGTGTGGTGAGAGCTCGGGGCGCGGGACTGAGAGCTCATGCGAATGTCAACGGCGGGCCAGGTGGCAACGGTGCTGGTCGTGTATTAAGCAGGGTTTCTAGGTTGTAGTCGCGAAGCAGATGTTGAGATGAAGGAGTCGATGGGACTGGGAGAAAGATGGGCTGGTGTTGGCGCGGGAATGGGATCGTCAACCTGCGACGTTGAAGATGCCAGAAAGCACAGCCTCCTTGAGCTTGCCGCTAGCTGGCGTGGCTGGCTGCTGCTACCAGTGGCAAGGCTTGATTTTCGGCACGGTGATTGCTCAGGGCCAGGGCCGGGCTGAGTGAGAGTCTGGTACCTAGTATCAGACTTGAGAACAAAGGCTCGTTTCTTTTTCTTTTGTGGTAAGTAGCAGGCCAATAATAAATTGGGCGAGCCTGACAAAGGCGCCTCAGAATACGGAGTAATACATGCCTACCTACGGATAACATAACAACAAGAAATGCATGTCCAGCCACACTTGAAAGGGGTTGGCTCTGCCACTCATGCCTAGGAGGTACCTTGGTACTAAGGTATCGGGTACGTACCACCTCTCTACCTTGGTCTAGGTTAGTACTTAGGTAGGTAGGTTAGGTAGGTAGGTACATAGGTGGGATGCAGTACCTGTAGGTAGAGAGGTACGTTGAACGCTCTGTTCAATATGGCATTTTAGAGGATGCCTAAAATAACTGAAAGTGCACTCCTCGTGATCTAGGTAGGTACCTAAGGTACGTAATGATGCCGCTCATGCTCGGCGGTTGTCATACATACATACGAATGTACCTACACACAACTTGGAACCTATCCGTACCTAATTATAAACCCCTAACCGGGGCTCGTGGCCGCTGAGCCACACCATTTGCCACGTTCCCGCCTGGGGCTGGTTGACTTGGATTATCTCCGCCCGAACTCTTGAGGGGTGGTCACTTGGATTCCGCCGGCGCCAGCTCCAGCTCCACCCTGCCGAAACAGAGAACAACGACTTTCCCAGACAGCTAGCAATGCAACATCGCAGAACCCACACAAGACAACAAGTCTGATCGCATCAGCCTTGTCTCTGCGGCCTCGGGCCGCGCAGACGCCGTGAGGTCCAAAGTTCCCAGTACAACACAAATCATGTCAGGCACAATCGCTGGCGCCTCGCCGCAAGCAACGACGTCGCCGACCCGACGACATCAGATCAAACGGTCCCTCTCCGAGTTCACGTCTCCGGGCAAGTCGAGTCGGGCCCGCAAAGAACGCCTCGGTAACGGCAACCACGAGGAGGGAAATAGCGCTGCTGGCAGCAACGGCAACAGGCATCTTCGCCAGCCAGCCTTTGCCCCGGGCGGCGATGCTCGCATGTCTCTCGACATGCCGCGCAGCAACAACCTGTCACCCGCCATGAGCCCTGATCAGAGTAGGCGAGGAAGTGCGTTGCTCCCGCAGGTCGTGCCACCATTTGCCAGGGAGAGCAAGGACAAGGAGGAGGGCCAGAGAGCGAGCTCAACGGAGAGCAGCAACGTCCAGCGGGGGCAGCACCAGGCAAGAGTTGCTGGCAGTACTGAGTGCGTCTATATATTGGCGAGGTATGCCATGTTGGGGACTCGACGGTAGCTAATCAAAAATACGCAGGACTTTAACGCAAACCCTCGTCGAGCTCAATGACTTTTCGGCTAATGCCTCCCAACAACTCGACGACGCCTACTACGCTGTGCTAGAAAAGATGAGCGCCTTGCACTCTACGATTACGTCGCTGAAGGGGCTTGCGGAGACGTCGCGCAGAATATACGATACCTTTGAAAAGGACTCGCGTGGGCTGGAGAACCAAATTGCCACGCAGTTAGGGGCCATGGGCCATTTTCAAAACCATCAGAGCAAGGTCACCTCGCTGCAGAAGCGCATCAACAAGGGCCGCAGCAGGGTCCAGGCGCTGAGTGAGCGGGTGGACACGGTGCGGCAGCGGATCGAGAAGTGGGAGAGCGCAGACCGGCAATGGCAGGAGAGGACGCGACGCAGGCTCAAGATTGTCTGGTCCGTCATGTCGGTCGCGGTGCTGGTCCTCATTGCACTCATGTGGACGGTAAGCCGCACCTCGCACGATGCGCGGGCGGCGGGTGACGGACCGACGGACGACCTGGGTCGTGCCATCGCGATCCTCGAGCCGCTTAATGTTTCCGACTCGAGGCAGCCGCCGGGGTCGGACGGCACGGAGGCGCAGACGAGAATTCTGTGGAAGACGCCTGCGCGGGGAGCAGACGGCCTGCGTGCCTTTGATGAGCTCTGAGACCAGGCGGGACGAAACGGGTCGTGCTTATTTCTCCGTTGGGAAATGTCGACGCCAAGAAGAGGGATTATATGCGCAGTGACAGCTCCACCGTCTGTAACGTGTATTTGATGCTGGGGACCAGCTTTTCCGCCGCCCCGAAGCTGGCTACATGAAGGCGCGAAGAGGGGGGGCTGCAGCGCAACGTCATGCGCTGCCACCACGGCGGAGCTGCAGCTGCAGCTCGGGCTGAGTAACTTTGCCTACAGCTGTCAACAGTGTAAGGCAGAATTGTACAGTACCTACTAATGGAACCTGTTTCAACGGCAAAGGTGGTAGTTCGCCCCGACTAAATCTGGGTTCGTCGCATCTTATAGCATTATGTGTTTGGTTATATTTTTATTTGGGCCGTAATTAGGTTCATGTCTGGACTCTGCCGCTGGCCTTTTTGATGGCCGGCATATGTTAACTATTATACCCCTTGTACTTGGAGAATTAAATTTACATTTTGATAGGTATCTAGAGGCGCTCTTGCAATAATACTGTATCGAGAAGCTTTGAACAGCGAGATGATACGCCGGCTATATGCTGGACCGGGGCCAGTGGCCAAGCCTCGAGGCTCATGTAGTGGTTGTGCAACGGACGCCTAATTCCATCACAAGGCAGTGCAGTGTTAAGACGGAATCGACAAAGATGGAGTTAAAATATCCGGGTCTTGTGAGTGCCAACAATAATAAGAGCCAGCAAGGATTACATTACAGATTACACACGTCGTCGTCGTGGCCAATTCTCCAGTCGTTGCCTGCAGCTGGCGCACTGCCTCGGTGCCAAGGGCGCGTATGCTTGGCCGAGCCACAGAATTGTTACCAGCAGTAACAGTATTATTGCAAGAGCGCCTCTAGACCAGATTGGGCCAAGAGGCATGTGTGTATACATGAGGACGAGCTGATTTTGCGACAACTCACAGTTGACGTTGAGGGCGTTGGCTTGGTGTATCTGCGTCTCCATATCTACCTTAGCAGCTATTCAGCGGGAACCTGCGGTACCTAGAGTTAATACCTAGCCGGGCCTAGGCCTAGGCGGGTACTTGACAGGAAGGATACGCATTCAGGATTGGTGCGGATGGGCGGGTTTTCTGAGGCGGTAATCGACTTGTACGAAATTCTGTGGCTATTCCCTGTGAAGCCAAAAGACGGCATTTGATGTGGCGTTGGGTTTTTTTTGCGTGCCATCACAAACGTGGATAAAACCGTCGTGATGTGACGCTAATGATGAAGCTAGGGGGGCGGACGTCATCGCTAGGCTCGGGCTGGTGGTGGGATGACTGGGCGCACATGCGACCGAGAGGCGAAGGGGAGGAGGGGTGACGACGGCAGATGGAGGGGATTAAGACGGGGGTTGGAGAGGGCAAAGTTGAAACCAGGAATAGAACCAAACAATGGGGGGGTTTTTGATGGCAAATTCCAAAGTCGACTATGCTTAGAGCAGAAGAAGTCGAATACGTTTTGAGCCAGCGTCATGGGCGTACATTGGTGACGAAAAGTCCAGAGGTAATAGAGTGGGCGCAGTTGGCCGAAAGGACCCCCTCTATGACTGACTGACCCCCGCTGTCCCACTACTAATGTGTAAGCGCCGCAATGCAGCAAAACCAGCACACCAGTGAGGGGCAGCTTCGGGCTGAGCAAGCGCTGTCCGAAAAAGCTTCCCCAGCTTATTTTGGCTTTGGCTTCAAGTCAGCCGCTCCCCAGCTCCTTGCCCTCCGCAGCTTTAATTCTTCTCCCAAGAATTTGTCGACGGACGAAGCACGATTTCCATTCTCCATTCGTCTTCTTTTATCCCACCGGCTTTGTTTGCCCTTCATTCTCATTTCCTTCGTCGTTCATCGACCCCACTCGATACCCTCCCAGTCACCGGTTTTACCGTTGCTGCGTATTGCAAGCTGTAACCAAGCTGGCGCAATTACCGCCCCCTTCTTCTTCCTCGATCTGAACCCTTCAGCACCCTCTAGTCGCTTCTCGTCCAACAATTTCATTTCGAGTGACGGAAGAATTAACCCGCTATTGTGTCAACACGACTGGCAACGCGAGACCGCGACACATAGAGACGATCTGCTCATTATCGATAACACATCAACCCGGCCGTTATTCCCAGGAAACGTCACTACATTCAGCCATGGCCGCTGACGACCAAGATACGCTCGTCGAGCCCACCGCTGTTGCGGACGGCACGCCCTTGACAATGACCAAGACCAAGTCCTCCGACCAACCCCCCGAGGGACAAACCCTCACCGGAAAGCAGGAACATTGTGAGTAGCCGCAGCCCTCTTCGCATATCGGACCTTTGCCCCAGTATCGACTGACGTACCACTTCCATTAGACCTCAAGCGAGAGCTCATGGCCGATCAGAGCGTATACGAAATCAACGAGCTCAATTCACCAACTGCCCTTCAGCGCTTCGGTGCCCCATTTCGATCCGAGCACGGCGAGATCTCCCCGCAAGAATCCGAGTTGCCCCTGCTACGATACATTTTTGTTCACCATGTGCGCGACTTTCCCTTCCTCGACAAGGCCCGCGAAAAAGAATTTTGGCAGGATAAGCTGCAAGTTGTATGTGTATCTACACCGGCTAGATAGTCCCAAGTACCGGTGCTGACGTCTCTCCTTACCCGAATAGTTTCTCGAATCTTTTGCAACCAAGCACATTTCCTCCTCCGAAGACCGCCTCGAAGAGACGAAGCGCAAAAAGCTAGCCATCAAAGCCCAAAAGATGGTCGAGCTCATGATGGTCTCTGGAATTGGCACTTCCTCTGGCTTTGAGGAGCGCATCCGATTTTCCGAAATCGATATTGTTGATGCCAACGCCATTGACACTGGAGTTATGCACACCATCCCCGAGGGAAATTATATCAACGGCTGGGACGTCAACGTAGCTGCCGTGCGCATAGTCTCAGTGAAGCGCAACATTCGCCAGCACAAGCACTCCGAGTTCATCCTCCGCGTCAAGAAGAAGGGCGAACTCGAGCATTTTGTCGCCCGCCGTTATGGCGACTTTGCTCGGCTGCACAAACGCATCCGCACTGAGCTGCCCGGCCGCGCCCTGCCTACACTGCCCAAGAAGAACAAGTCAAATTCCACAGCATCAACCATCATGTCCGCCTTTGGCGGTGGCGCTGATTCCGACGATGGAGCGAGTGTGTCCACCGTGTCAACCCGGCTTACTCGTCTCTCCGTTGAGCCTGATGCCCCGTCGGCTAGATTGGCACCCGCTGGACACCAAAGGGCCGGCTCTCTTCGATCGATCCAATCCAGTGCTTCTAGAACCGGGAACTCGCCTCGAGTATCTGCGGATGGGAGACTGGCCCCTGGTGGCGCTGAGCCGGACCGTGCTCCCAACGGCGATGTATGTAGTATTCTACAATGCCAACCGATCCGACCACTAACTGTATCACAGACTGTCGTCTTGAGCCGCGAGAACCAGCGAATTTCTTTGCGGTCATTTATTCGCTCTATGCTACATAATCCGCAGATCGCCAACACAGCTGCCATGGAGAATTTCTTGATTGCGGACCCCATCACACCTACCGACGAAGACGTGGAAGATATTATCCGTCGCAAGGCTCTAGATGAGAAGCGCGTTGAGGAGCAAAAGAATTTTTACGAAATCGCGCGCAAACGAGCGGCAGAGCTCGACGAGTACATGGAGCAGTTCCGACGGGACATTGTTGAACGCAACGGTCTTACCGTGCTCTTCAAAGAAATCAAGGAGAAAAAGACGATTGCGGATCTCAGCATACAGTATCGCAAGTTTGCCGAGTGGCTCCGCATCGAAGTCGCTGCCGTCATTTACCACCTCTTTCTGGCCGAGGACAACTCCCCCGAGGTATTTGCGCAGGCACGCAGAATCCACTCATTGGTGCCTTATAGCATCATCAAAAATGTCATTCGCATCGCCAACCCAGCTGCCGTCATGTCAGGCATATTGGACGTTTTCATGGCGCAACCCTTTGGCACGCGCTCCTTGCTGCAGCGAATCTTTTCTCTTACCTTGAATGACGGCATTAAGAGCTTCCAAAAGTCTATCGACACCCTCAACACTAAGATTGGCGACCCGGTCTTTTCGGAGAAGCTGCAGCTCTATACGAGGGCCGATGAGCACATCAAGGCTGCCGTTCGGCAAGAGGCCGAGGAGGATAATATGGATCTTGTCGTCAGCATCTTGCGCTCGGATTTGCTAAAGCCGGAGTTGACGGGGCCGCAAGTTCAACGCCTCTTTAATGCCTACGTCGCCTTCAACAATGCCGTGGAAAATATTGACGAGGAGCTGAAGCAAGGCGCCGAGCTCTTCTCCCATCTCAAGCAGCTGCTTAAGCTGTGCACCCGCCAGCGCGACAAGGCCATGATGTTGACTCTCGTCGAAGAGCCCGTCACGCTGCAGCTCTTCCGCGACCTGTTTACCATTTTCTACGAACCACTCGTCCGCGTCTACAAGTCAGCCAACGTATACAACAGCGTGTCCGACTTTGCCGTCTTTTTTGACGACATTATCCAGACGGTGGACAAGTGCCGCGAGCAAGACGCCTCGGCAGACCCGAACCAGACGGTGCAGGCCTTTATCGATCTGTGCCAGCGTCACGAGGACAATTTTTACAAGTTTGTCCACGAGGTCCACACGCACGACAATGGACTCTTCACTCAACTCATGGGGTGGATTGAAGGGATCCTGGAGTTTTTGCGTAAAGGCCCAAAGAACGGCACACTCAACGTCAACGCCCTCTTTGAAGGCGGTGTCAGCACGGGCATCATTGACAAGGACAAGGCCGTCGAGGAGATTAATGCTCTCATTGCGTGGCAAGAAGCCCGCAAGAAGTGGCACAATGACAAGACGCGCCAAAAAATGGCGGCCGAGTCCAACACGGCCGGCGCCAACGGCGGCCTGAACGGCAGCCTCGTGACAGGCCTGAGCTTTGACGTGTCCGACTTTGGCCTGGACAGCGCGGATATCGAAGACTTTAACAACTACCATGACGAGGACTCGGAAGACGAGCTGGAGGCCGAGGCCGAGGACGAAATGGACCCCATTGAGGCGGAGCGCCGCCGCAGACAGAAGCAGCAGCACACGCTCCGCCGCCGGGCTGGCGAGCCTGTCAAGCCCGCGATTGGCGAGGTGTACAAGCTCAAGGAAAACTTTTTGGTCATGCTACGCCAAGTCCTTGCGGACTAGACCATAAGTAGACCATGCCGCGTGCAAGTATGGGTGAGATGATGGATATTTGCTATAGTGTATGGGGGGTTTGTTTGCATCACACAGTATTGACTGACTACTGTTGTTCATCTTCATGACTGCTTTTTGGCCTATGATATCACACTGGTTAACATGGTATTCCTGCATAATTGCATTTTGTTCCTTCACATCATCCCAAGTCCATAGTCACCAAACAAGACTTAGTTGGTTTGTTGTAAACTTTTTTTTTCTTCTTTGTTGTAAAAAATCGTCATTCGCTCTGTAAAAAACCCAAATTTGAAAGAGGAGAGAGAGAGAGGGAGAGAGAAATTACAAAAACAATAAAAAGAGGCCCCCCTTGTATTCTCTTTCTCTTTCAAGGCTTCTCCAATAACTTTTTCTTTCTATTCTGAAAATGGATCCCGAACAGATGGTGGTTATAAAGTTGCCAACTTGGTTGACTCGATTCGGAGTCGAGACATGTCGTTTTTCCTTCTTCTTATTTTTTTGTCCCCCTTCTAGATGCCGTTTCGTCTCATTCATGCCAAAACAAAGAAAAAGCAGGCAACAATCATGCCGTCCGCAGCATACGTTTATGCCCTCGTCCGCTACTCCCTGAAACACAGAAGACGGAGAGAAGAAAAAAAAAGAGAGAAAAAAAGAGGCCGCGGTTGATACCCGTTGAGTAATTGGTTGACAAGGGTTTTCTCAGTCGTAAACGTCACGAAAAAATCTTATTCGTGGTAATTCATGACGGGACATTGTTGACAGAGAACGGCCCCCAATGATAATGTGTGCTGGAAATAAAAAATAAATAGGTCCCATATATCGTTTAGTCATCGTTGTCGGTGCGCTCGCGCTGGTGTCGGCGGCGGTCACCGCCCTGGTTGCCGGAGCCGCCAGTGGTGGCACTGGTGAGCTTGCGTTCCAGCTCTTGGGTCTCACGCTCACGGGCCGTCTTGGCAGCGCTCTGCTCCTGCTTGAGGACGGTAAGGACGTTGTTTAGCGTGGCGCGCCAGTGATCCACGCGGTTGGCGAGCTCTTGGTACTGCTTCTGGCCAAAGACGCGGTAGGTGACCTTGTGGACGAGGAACATGCGGCGCTGCTGGGAGAGCTTGCCCTCGACGAGGCCGGCGCGGACCACGTCAATGGTCCACCGCTCCACCTCATCGGCGGGGATCTGGAGGGCCTTGCAGATCTTGTCGTAGGCAATCTCACGCGAGGGTGTGGCGGCCGCGAGGCTGGCAAAGGTCAGTAGGCGGATCTTGCGGTGTAGCTTTTCGCCGTCGAGCTTCTGCTGCGCGACCCAGCCCTCGTGTTCGTCGTTGAAGTCGTTGTAGTCCTCGAGGTCCTGCTCGGCAAAGATGTCGAGGAGCTGCGAGTAGACGGGGTGCGTCTCGGAGAGCGTCTGTATCGAGGGGATGGCACGGAGGTCCTGGAAGAGGAAGTAGCTGTTGGAAAGAATGGCGATCTTGACCGCGCGGAGGGCGAGTCGCTGGGCGTCGTCGGACGTGAGCTCCTCCTTGTCGTCGGCATCAAAGGTATGGAGCGCCTTGAGGAGGAAGTTGTAGCTTTCACTACGACATTGCGGTGTTAGCACTTGTCCTACATGTAGATATACGCCGCATGTACACGACGTATCGTCACAACATACCTCTCCTCGCCAGCCTCGGCGGCCACGTCGGCCACCTCTTCGTAAATCTTGCGCTCAATCTCTTCCCCAGCGCCCCAGGAGTCCAGCCACTCGGGCAGGCGCTCGAGGTAGGGTCGCAAGCTGTCAAACATGCCATGGGCCTTGAGGAACTTGAGAATCTCCATGAAGACGCGCGCGCGGATGGGGTCGGCGGGCTCGAGCAGGTTGAAGACGGTGGACAGGGCATTGAGCGACAGGCCGGCGCCGTGAACGGGCGAGTTGCCCATGGGCTTCGCAAAGTTGGCGCAGAGGGCCGGCAGGTACTTTTTGGGGTCGGACGACTGCAGCACCAGGTGGATCATAAGGTTGGACGCGGCCGTGTACTCCTTCTCGGGGACCGTGTTGAGGGCGCTCGACGCCGCGACGAGCTTGGCCAGCACATCCTCCTTAGACGGCGCCTTGTCGCCACCGCCCAGCAGCTGCTTCGCGTCCTCGGCCTTGAGGTAGTCGGCCATTTCTTTGGCGAGCTCCTCAAAGGAGCCATCGACGAAGAGCAGCTGCGGCTGCGCGTCGCTCTTGACAGCAGTCATATTGTCGGTTGCGTCGGGGGTTGTTTTCCTTTGTCGATTTGAGAAAATGGTTGCCGATGGAGATATGCCGTGGGTTGAGTGAGACTTTTGCCCTCGATTTGGCACCGTTGGTATCGACGAAGGAGAAGGGATACGCAGAGGCGGGCTCTTTACCACGATACACAATAGGCGGGGAGTGGGAAAAATTGGACAACACGAATAGAGAGGTTGACTCAGCGGAGTGGCCAGCACAAAACAGGAGGGAGTGGTTCCAGGTGGGCGTTCTTAGCGTCGACTTGTTCCCGTGGCACGCAGTCCCAGAATCAGTGAGGGATTGGGCTATCAAAATGTGATGAACCTGGGGCAGTTTGGAATAGCCCTTGTGGCGGGGCCTTCTTCTTTGGCAGTGCGTCCTGCCTCGTCGCAGCACACTTTCCAGCACGAGACCCCGCCAAAATTTCTGCCGCATCAAAATGTGGGCGCTAAGCGAGAGCGGTGATCTAGTATAGAAGCAGGTGACTCGGCACGTGATCCTGCGTCCAAGAGCTTCACCAATCTCACAACCGACATACTGATAGAACCATCGTTTTTTTTTGTAACGGTATTTGTTATAGACTTTTGATACCCCAAGCCACCATTCCAACGTCCACCCTGAAACCGAGTCAAGTCAATCGGTACACAAACAAGATCCACCAACGACGTCGCCGGCGGCTCTGTCCTCGTCAAACCCAACATGGAAAACAATGCCGCATATCTATGTACAGTGTAAACAAACAAAACAACAATGCCGATAATAGAACGTGGCTATACAGTGAAAACATTCCAGAGAGAAAGAACAAGATGCAAAAACAGCGTATGAAAGCGGCATTCTCAGTGACTCCCCTTATTCGCCTTTGCCTTTTGCGTCGTCAGGGTAGAGGACTTCGTCTCCCTTGCCACCCATCCTCATGAATTCCGCGGGAGCTCGCTGCTCCGACGGTGCTTGTTCACGGGGAATGTTGATGACCCGATCCTTGGGGTTGAAGACCTTGACTGGGTTCTTAGCATTGCCAGCCGTGACATGCTCAGGAATCAGCACCTGATTGTAGTGGCACAACAGGGTACGCTCTCGCTTTGCGGCCCTACGATTCACCTCAAGACCAGCGATGCCACCGACGAGGCCACCGGTGCTATCATTAACGCTCATCGGTTGCTGTGTAAACCATGGATGGGTAAGACATTGGTCGACCGTGAATCTCTTTTCAGGGTCGACTACCAGCATGGAATCAATGAGGTCCACTTGGGACTTGTTAGCTTGGTCATATCAGGGCAGGGTTGAAATCACTCACAAGCTGGGTCACCGACAGAGTCCCAGTATGGCGACGGGTAGTCGAAGCGGCCGCTCCTAATCTGCTGGGAGAGTGTGTAGGGGAAATCGTGAGAGTAGAGCTCGTCAGAGAATGGCGGGAAGCCGCACAGGCAAATGTACAGTACAACACCCAATGACCAAATGTCGACTGCCTTTGTGTACTTGCGTTGCTTAGAATCAGCAAGAATTTCAGGTGCGACGTAGCTGGGGGTACCGCAGAGGGTCGTAGTGAAGGATTCCTCGCCAATAATCTTGGCAAGGCCAAAGTCTGCCAGTTTGACGTGGAGATCCTTGTCAACTAGAAGAATGTTTTCAGGTTTGATGTCACGGTGCACAATGTTGCGCTCGTGAAGGTATTTGATACCATGGAACAGTTGCTTGAAGAGCTTCCTTGTCTCGTCCTCACTGAGCTTGGACTTGGCAACGATATAGTTGAAAAGCTCACCCTCGGGAGCGAGTTCCAGAACGAGGTAAACGCGGTCACGTTCACTAAACGTGTCTTTTAGACACAGCACATTCGGGTGGCTCACGGCCATGAGCATACCAATTTCCTGTTGAAGACCTTCTGTCTTAGATTTTTCTTCGACGCCAGGTGTCTTGGTGAAGATTTTCACGGCATAGCGCTTGCCTGTGGATTTCTCAATGCACAGGTAGACCTCGGCAAAATGGCCCTTTCCGAGCTTCTGGAGCAGCGTGTATTGTTGCAAGAATGCGCTGGTGTGACGACTCTTGGGGTAGCGGAAGACGAATCTGGCACGACCATGGACAGCAATCTCATCGCCGTCTTCCAGTTCGCGGCGCTGATTGCGGCCAACGATGGCTTCGTTGACAAATGTGCCGTTGCTGGATAAGTCCTCAACAATTGCAACTGCGTCATTGCCGTTGTTTTCAGTAAAAATTAGGCAGTGGCGATTTGAGACAACTCCCTCGCTCACGATAATATCTATCATCTGTCAGCCAACTGACCTACTCATGACTGGGCACATCTATTCAGCATGAGACTTACCGCACTCTGGATGACGACCAATGAGATATCCACGAGACGCAATACCGCCAATCTGTGTGCGCTCATAAGCCTCCTCTTCATGAATCGCGGGTGGAGTTTCACCGACATTTTCCTTCTTCTCGGCATCAGCGGCCAACTTGATCGAGTCCTTGTTTGGGCAGGCGCATCGCTTCTTGAGAACCATGGGCTTGTCGCCATACTTTGCGTCTAGCGGAACAAGGAAGCCCCATACACCCTCCTCAGACTCGGCTTGGGCGTCCTCGGCAAACTCGAGATGCCTGTCAAGAAGCTGGCTGACGGGCTGCGTGTCCTGGGGCGGCGAGGAGAGGCCCTGTAGCTGTGCGTAGCTATCGTCGGCCTTGCGCGGCGTCGTCTCCTCGACCGTCTTGGCGCCGACAGGCGTGGGAGTAAGCTCCTTGGCGTCGCTCGAGCCGTACGTCGCATCGTTGGTGAGCGGGGATGGCAGGTGGTTGTCGCGGGAGACGGGCGTCTTGTCTTGCGTCTTGCCGTTGGGCGCGCCGCGGGGCTCGACGGAGAGGCGGTCGGAACGGCGAGGCTTCTTACTCTCGGTCTGTTCGTCCGGCAGCGAGCCCTTTGCGACGAGGACGTGGTCAGCGTTGCGGACGAGGAAACCAAGGAAGAAAAGTTGGGCGGCGCGAGCATAAAGACTTACTCGAGGCCGCTTGAGGTTGCTCTTTTCGCCGCTAGGCGACATGGTGAAGAGCAGGGCAAATAAAGAAGGAAAGAGCACAGAGATCTATAGCAGCAGTAGATGGAAGCCTGGAAAGGTAGCTAGACAGCCAAGGTCTGAATGCCGAGATCAAGGCGGGCAAGGCAGGGAGGCTTTCAGCAACGCGATCAATCAGGAGAAAAAGAAGAGGAGAAGGAAGCAAGAGCTAGAAATGTGGTACGGATGCCTTGCCGTAAATACAAACCCGCCGGATACAGTGCAACTATTGGATTGGGCGTGACGAGCCGCAGCAGAGCGTGTTGGATAGCTGAAGAGGAACAGAGGGAAGCCTCGTGCAGGCTCGGGGTGGGCTGATAGAGTCACTGGAGTCACTGGAGGCACTGCCGCCAGAGTGGTTGGCAAGAGCAGGTTGCACTGCCCTCGAAGCAGTGCTAGAGTGCTAGATAGCCTACGGGGAGCGATCAGTAGCAAACGCTAACAACGGGGCAAGTACCTAGTTGGTGCCGCTTTTAGTCGCGACTCAAATGCGCAGTGTATGTATCCCACCTGATAGCAGAAAATAGCAGAAAGCATGTAGATCAACAGTCAATAGCGATATCAGTTCTGAATATTGCTCCGATAATCTATCAACACAAACCTGCTTTAGCACCCAGAAACGTACCAGAGCATGCCAATGGCCCTTACCATGTCATGTAGACCCATGCAGCCTCGCCGAGCACACAAAGCGGCGCTCACGCTAGCTTCAGCGTGCCCGCAAGTAACTCTGTCACCTATTTACAGCTCAAGAGGTACATACAGTGGGTGTAGGTACGGTGTAGGTACTTAGAATCCTCCCATCCACTCTCACCCGCCAAAATAAGTCATGAGCGTGACTGGTAAGGCAGCCGACCAGGCGAACCATTCACACCCTGGACAAGGCGTCACTCCCCCTCCTGAGCGCTCTGAACATGGGGACACCCCGTAATGGAGAATATTTTTTTCGATCGCGAGACTTGTCATCATTCTTAAGTTAGTTTGCGGTACTCGCAAGAGAAAAATAACGGGTTCCTGCATCCTCCCATCTGGCCAATGCACCACGCCCAGATCTCTGCGAGATTGGGAATGGGGATGGGTACTGCAAGAGAACGCCGGCACTAACTAGACCCTTCGCTATCACCTGCCGTCGATTCCTTCTGTTGTCACGTGGAGGAACCGCGTTGCATAGACGGCGTGACTGGACGCTGTTGCAGCTCAACGTCATTTCAGCTGTCATCCAAACCTTCGTTCTCAATTTATCCTCCAGATCACAAGGTATGATTCTTCTTTAAACTATCGGAACTGTTGACTGGAGAAAGCACATAGACCTCACTTTTTCCCTATGTATTCATTTCATTGTCGATTCCTGTCATTATTAATTACAGAGTACCTATGTTCCGTACTTTAATGTCGTGTCCAAGCTTCTGTCAATATGCATTCCGGTAACAAAAAAAAACCCCAATTCGACGAAGTCCTGGAAAAAGAATGCCGAGCCAAAAAAAAGAAGAAACCCCCGAAAAGCAATGCCATGAAAGTCTATAGCCTTTGGGCGCCTATGTCATGCAGCCCGACTACTAGCCTTTCCATACATCCAATCGTCAAGATGCGCCTATAAAAGAGAGGTCGCCGCCATTGTGCTGCTCCTTGCAGCACGTATAAAAATCATCGTGGTAATTCTTATGTCGCTGTCCTGCCGCACGCCTCGACTCCTTCTTTCCAGCAGATTACATGGCGAGTCGTTGCCCCAGAAGAACAGACCAGGTGTAAAAACAAGAATACAGACCCGTGCTGGAACGGAAAGGAGAACGGCATACGGCATACACCGTTTGCCGAAGCAAAAGCGAAAATTCGTAAAATAGCGCCGCAAAACCAAACCGATCCCATATTAACATCCCGCCGCTTGCTTCAATAACCGTATCCTGTTGTTCATCCGTCCCATTACGTCGTGGTGATTTAGTCGTTCTGCGTTCTTGCGGCAATGTACTTCAATCATGTGGTAGCATAGGCCAAGCCCTGTCAGTCGATCCCAGAGGCCATTCCCCTATTTCTCGGGAATCGGCGACCTGGCCAGTCTCCCACCTGCGCTTATGCGCTTCTGTAGTTTGGTAGCTTCCGAACGTGTTCTTTCCACCTCGTGCCCGTTGCTAGAGAGCACCTGGGCCGAGTCTCTAATTCCTGCTCGAGTCTTGCCCTGCTTTTGCTGAACGTACAGCTGTGCGAAGCGGCCCAGCGGGAAGGCAGGGAGTGTTGACGGGATCTCGGCCCCATTCTGCGTCAATAATTCTGCCACCGGAAACGGTACCTGCTTCCCGTCCTGATCTCCCGCCGCAGCTGGCATTGGTGATGGTGACGCTGGGTCAGCCGCTGCCAGCGCCAACCACACTGCATGCGTCCCCCTCATCTTGTCGACAGCGTTGGGGTTGGCCTTGAGCGCTAGAGCGTATAAAACCTGCTGGATTTCGTTCCTTTTAATGGCTGCGAGTAGTGTCTCATCCGGCGTGGCGTAGTGCGACAAAGTTGATGAGATTGGTCGCACATAGCTTCGGTTGACATATTTGTTGGTGATAAACCTAAGTCGGAGCTCGCGACTTGCCTGCGGGGCAAGTTTCGCAGCGACATCCAGAGTCGATTCCCAAATCATGTTTGAAACCCGATTTCCGATCAAAATGAGCAATTCGACTATATCGACAGTAAAAGACTTGATATCGAGAGTCAATGATCGCACCTTGCTGATATGAGTGCCCAGTGATCGATGGATACCGCTGCACTCAATGCAGAGGATGATACCCAAGTTGATGGACACCCACTCTACCTTGGAGCCCGATCCACAGTCAGCGCACCAGTGATTGCCTTGGTCATTGTCTCGAAGCATTTGCAGCAGTTGATCAGGGTTCTCGTCGTACCCCGAGCTGTGCGTCCGAACGGGTACGGGTCGAGCGCCGACAGTAATTCTGCGGAAAGGGATGCCGCTCGAAGAACTGTTGTGAGAATGACTGCTGCTATGCATCAGGGACTGCGTCTTGCCAGTCAGAATAGAGCCAATGTCTCTTTTCATGGATGATTCAGTGCTTGTGTTTGCTGGCGCTGCATATCTTTCACGGCCACTTCTGCCTTCGACGGCGCTTTGCAAGGCATTGTTGATGGATATTATCCAACTGTTCATGTCTTCTTCCGATGTGGCTTGATAGACGCGCTTGAAATTCGGGGTAATGACCTCAAAGCAGAAGCGCCGCTCCGCATTGCGAGCCTCACGCACTGATGCCATTCTCAGGTCGATGGGGTCCATATGTAGATCTAATCTTTGCTTCCAGTTGCTGTATTCTGACAGTTGGCCTTGGTCAAGCACAATCCAGAACTTGTGCCAGCCCTGTTTGTTGAGGTTTCGAGGATCGACATGGCCACCCGGACGATTCAGCGCCCAGAGGAGTCCTTCTTTGCGCTGCGGGACGGAGTCCTGCGAGGGGTTTGGTTCCTCCAAGTCGCGGTAACCCTTGAATTTGGTGCTTTGAGAGGGACTCGCTACGGCTGAGGGCAGGCCTGGGGGGTTGACCAACTCGACACCAGAGGTACTGGTCTGCCCGCCCAAAGATGTTGACTTGAGTTGGGAGCCGGTGCTATCGGCCCTGCCCAACTCCGAGTCAGAATTATGGCCCGTGTTACCATTAGAAGACGCGGTCAGAGGCGGGGCAGGGGCAAGGCTTGCATGTTCCGGCTCCAGATAGGGAGTGTTACTCTTTTCCAGCAAGCGTCGCTTTTCTTCGCGTTCTCGTCGTTGATATTGGTATTCTTTGTCGGCCTCGGTGACTTCGGAGGACAACGCGTCAAGCTGCGGCAGAAGAGCCTCTATCTTCTTTGCCGTGGCGAGGAAACCTTTGGTCTGTGAGTCGGCGTACTTGGTTAGGTGGGACAAAACTTCTTGCTCTTTGCGTCCGCCATGCAAGTCCTGCATGAAACTGGAATAATCAAATCGCTTAAGCTCAAAGTTGCGTCTCTTATTTTGATACTTGGAGTCGCTGTCAGCAAGCTTCTTGGCCTTGACCGAGTCGTGGCGTTGGCCAAGGTACCGCGATACGTAAGAGTAGTAGTCTTTGCTTTCCTCCTCAAAGTCGCGCTTCTTCGATTCTGCTTGCTTGATATCAAGCTGGTAGAGCTTATTGATAGGATCAATGATAATCCTTTGCAGATTGGCAGCATTTTGACGGTCGTAGCTAAGAATTTCTCGGGCAATCTTGTCAAAATAGTGCTCGAGCGCAGGTTGGACTGCATTGGCGTTGGTAGTGGACGCTTCGCGCAAAGCGTCCATGAAAGCAACCAAAGCTTCATTGGCCTCAAGTTGACTAGTATGCGCCTGCTCGGCCCGTTTGAGAACCCTCTTCATTTGGGTGCGCATGTTGCCAGTCTTTTGCTCGAGGGCTTTCAGAGTGGCGCGGAAGACGGGACCATCATCCGACACTGACACATCCTCGCCAGGTCTCGGACAAGCAAGGTCGACCTTGTAGGGCTCCTGTAACTGGGGTGGTATCGGTAGCGAAAAGGTTTCTAGTGCACCCGGTAGCGGAGATAATGGCACCTCATCAACGTCGGAGTGCAAGCGAGAATCTACTGATTGGGCGGAAGCGACACGAATCTTTGGGGGAGAGCCGAGTAGAAAACCGGGAGTTGGCGAGTTTGGCTGACTGGCGTAGACGGGAGAGGCTGTGAGGTGTATTAGTGGGAAATCTACAATCAAGTACGCTAGAGAGAAGGACATACATGCTACCCAGAAAGAGAAGCTGGCGAGGGCGTGCAGGCGGTGCGCGCGCGAATCATACTCAACAAACTAGATCATGTCAGCAGACAAGCATATACGACACACGAAGGCACCAAGCACGTACACTGCAAGAGTTTCTCCAGCCGCCGGTCCTGTCCTCAACGGGCTTTGGGGGCTTCCATTTCCAAGTCCATTCAAATGTGACGGAAGAGCTGCCGCTAGTCGAGTAGTCTCCGACGAGAGCGACGTTGTCGTTTTTGTGAAGGTTTGGGTTGGCAAGAAACTCGCGTGTTACGAGGTTTTCGACTTCGCGAGAGGTAGAGCCGCAGACAAATGTTAGTCCAGATATGGTGGTATCGAGGGCAGCGGCAGTCGCATCGGGAGGAGGGGAGGCGGGCTGGTTTGCCGAAGGCTGACGCAGGACAAAGGTGAATGTGAAGATGAGCTCGTCGTCGCTGGTGAGCTTGAGCAAGAAACCCGAAGCGCCGGGTTCAGGATCCTATAGAGCGCAAATAAAGCGATTAGAGAGAAAGAAATGGTTGAATGCGGGTGGCGGCAACGGACTTGGACAAATTCTACGGGGGCCTGCTCACCACCCGTCCGGCTAACGGACAGCTTGGTAGCAGGGAAGGCATTCGGCGTGACGTGGACAGAGGCGCGTTTCCGCGGATTGGTAACGATGATGGAAGAAATGGTGACTAGAGAGAAAGTGTTAGGGGGTTGGCTGCAAAAGGTGCATGGTGCAGGCTGCAGGCTTGAAGGGGTCGCGGGGATGACATACGTCGATTCTGGTCCCTGAGGTAGAGGGCCGCAGCCTGCTCGTCGGGTCTGCTGGTGACATTGCCCATGTTGACGAGCTATGGCAGCAGCCGCGGACGAGGGTGCAGAAGAAGAAGGCGCCGGTGCGAGGCAAGCAGACTAGACTCGAAAGGAGGAATCGAGGAGTTGAAGAGTGATGTGCAGTGCAGGCACTGCAAGGAGCAAATATCAAAGGAAATGCAGGCAGCGCGGGGCTCGGAGGCTCAGAGGCTCAGAGTGGGACAAGAGCAACGCCCGTCATCTGGCTGAGCGGCAGAGGTGAGCGGCACGGCGAGGGAGGGCGCGTAGCGAGGAGCAAAACGATGCAGGACGGGACGGGGCGACTCATGGATTACGGGATGAAGGTGGTAAGAGACGGAGGTGAGTGATGGCGAGGAGATGGAGGAGGAGGAGGAGGAGGAGGAGATGAAAGATGGTAGTGATAGTGGTTTGCGGTTGCTCTGTGGTTGTGGTCAAGGTTGTATGTATGGTAGGTACCTGGTACTAATCTGTAGAGTCGATACCTTTGAGAGGGAGAGGGCTGAGGGTGTATTTTGGTGGCGAGCGAACCAGCAGGAGCAAAGTGACTGGAGGTATAGAGTACCTAATCTGCATGCTCGCTTATATGGTTTACGATGGTTACTGGTACGGCTGGGCTAGCCTGTTGCCTTGGACAAGCGGCTCCATGAGGATCTTTATTTCATTCAAACTGCCCTGAATTTAGCGGACCCTCAGTGGTCATTTGTTGAGCACAAGTTTCCACTGGGTACCTACAGTACGTACCTAGACAGGCAAAGGCAGTGGACCAGGACACATTATCATTCTGTGGTAGTCCGTTATAATTTATTTTAAATCTATATAATTTGTATGGGTGCGACGTAAGCCGTGTCGGCAAATGAAGCTTATCCGGCGATGGCATATTAAGATGGTGTCTTTTGTCGGAAACTTTATTGTTGCGCACCAAAGCAGTCATTCAGAAGCAGGCACCGCGTGGTCTGCCCAGCCTGCATGCATGCACAAAGCCCGTATCACCCATCGCTTACAGGTTGTAAAGAGGTAGGTACTAAATAAGGTAACAGTGGGGACGGTCTACCTGTTTGTACTTGTCTGTTCGACAGCGATATCACGAGGACCGCTGGATGTGGACAGATGACTGGCTTATTATGTATGTGTTCATTTTTTGATGTTGAATATCATTTGGTATTTTGACAATTTTCCGGACACATGAGACACATTCAACCTGTCTTTGCTCAATTGTCACTACTGTCTATCTTAGGTACCTTTCGATCAGCGTATTGTAGGAACTTATTTTCTCGTGACTTGCCAGCGTGCGGCGCCGGCTTAGGGAACTATGCTCGCAAGATGCAGAGGGCCCTGATTCTGATCTGAAGCGGGCGCCCGTATGTATGACAAACCTCCAAATCTTCCTATTGCACTAAGACTCGTCTGCCACACAAATGGCTAGCACAGGGACATGAAGATACTGGTTGACTGGGAGCATCAGGTCCCCACTACCTATTAGTTAGTACAATCTGAAAGTGCCCGCTAAGCATGGGCAAATGGGTACGGCCTATGACGCCAAGGCCAGCGTTGCTTTTGTCCGGCGATGCGACGTCTCTCCACCTTGACCTTGCTTGAGCATCTGGCGGGTCAGATTCACTTCTGTCAGGGAAGAAAAGGTTTAGTTAGGCGACTGGCATCGCAAAGTCAAAGGGGATGGGATGCTCCCGTTGTTCAGTTGCCCAGCAGTCGTTGTGAGGTCAGAAATGGAACAATATCCTCGTCATCATCTAGTTATCAAAAGAGAGTCAACCACGTACTAACTAATTAGCACAGCAAACAATGCCACCCATCTTGGAATGCTGCCGCCCATGGTATCCGTCTTTCTTGGGGCTTGACCACTTCCATTCCATACCATGACTGTGGCGGGTTTGGCACGGTACAAGATGAGTTCTACTTCATTGAATAGATGCCGACAATGGCGGTGCTTTATTCCTCAACCATTGCAGTAACAGAGAAGCGGTATTCTTGGGCATGATGGAGATGTGTTTTCTCTTGAATAAACAAACAAAATAACAGCATTATTATTCAAGGTACTTGCCTCGCCTCGGAAATGTGTTGGTGCGCCAACAACGGCCATGTCTTTGTCCTCTGCTTTGCCTCTATAATAGTAATTGTAACTAACTAGGTAGGTGCCTAATAATATTACCTTTTTTACCTTTTTATCTGTAGTACCTTTGACCCCACACAGCCCACCACTGCCTCTGAAGCTCCACGCGGTTACGCAGTTTAGTATGGTGCCCGCCCTCGGCCTCTCCCTTGGCCGCATGTCGGCCTTGCATTCCTCCATGATCCATGATAACTACGGCCATGGCGTGTTTCCAAATTTGTTTGGTTGTTTCAGCAAGGGCGCCCAGGCAAAGGCATTGCTCACACCACTTCTAAACAGCCGGGCGGTCCCTTGTTTTTTTAGCGGTCCAAGCTCTGTTGCTAGGGGTTTTACCAGTCTGCGTCCTGTATTGTAGTGGACGGGGTACAAGCTCATAGCATGCGCCTCTACGAAAATGACGTTGCACTCACTCCCAGATTGTGGCTGTCGCACCTCTCGTTTGGGCTGCCCTTTTCCATCTACCTACCTCGGGCTCCAAGTTGGATGCTTCACTTCCACGATTCCATCTACCGCTCGCTGCTCAGCTCTACCCACTTCAAAACGCGCTTGCACCTCTTGTCATCCATCTCCGTTACATCACCTTGGCTCTCTCTCTCATCTTCTTGTCAGCCACCAACGCGACACGATCTGGCCCACCTGCCACCACCCTCCCTCCCTCCCCTCATCGCCGCCGACGTCCAGATCGTCACCGCCGCCGACGCACTTCCCCCTTGACCTGGGACATGAACCATCACCCAAAGCATTCTCCCCGCCGACTTGCTTCTTGAGCATTGTCTCGCCATGTCCCAGGATTTTCGAAGGTCCTCGGTCGGCCGTCGCCTCAAGAACAGTAGCAGGGACTCGGGACGCCGCATCCACGCAAAGTCCAAGTCAACCATTGTCCTCGTCGAGCATGACGAAGCCCGCAGCTTCGCTCTACGAACCGCCTACCTCCACTACCTCCTCCAGCCCAAAACGAAGCGAAAACAATACGTCGCCGCCCCCAAGCCTCCCGCTCGCACACACACCAGCGTTGGCCAACTCGTACAGGAATACGTGTCTGGCAGCGCGTCTACCCTCAAACTCCCCAGCAATTTTCCCGCCGCCCTTCTAGACCGTGTTGGCGGCGTTTTGAGAGGTTCTGAGCGCTTGCCCGGCTTCAACGATGCTGCCGTCAAGCGCAGCTTTGCAGAGGCCTATACCGCCTTCTCTGAAAAAACCTTTCGCAAGAATATTGAAAAAGAACGCAAATTCGAGCCCTTGGTTCTCATATTCTACTCATCAGCCACTAAAGCTGCCCAGAAAGGTCGCGCCCCCGACGATGACTCCTGGAAGCTTCTGCCCGATCGTCATTTGGCAATGTTTGTCCGCCTCGCTGCCACCATCCTCCGAGACCAGGGCCATGAACGCGACAAGTCTGAATTGCTCAACAGACTAATCTCTCTGGAAAATAAGCTCCTCACAAACGATCAGGACCTCGTCAGCTCCGGTTCCGATTCTGCAGGCACCACTATCGAAGTTGTTGTCCCTCTGAGTTATGATGTAAAGGACATGCCCATGGTCCAAATAGTTGCTGGCATATTTGGCCTCAGTCTCTCAGAGGTGCAAGCTGAAGTCAATGAAAAGCGCAGCGTTTGGACTGAGGAAGCAGCTCTGAGAGACCTCAAGACATATCAGCAGCGCCTGACTTCCAACGGATCCGGTGCTCTACGCAACGACGACTTTGATGTTGAGGAATCATTTACTGAGTGGCAAAAGTCTGAAGCCCACTTTCTCTCCCAGTTGATGCTGGAAATCCTGACCGCGAAACCGGAACTTGCAAAATCCTCCTCATCTAGCGATAAAACTCTGCCCAGTCGCCCACAATCCATGTACGCCGAGAACCAAGCCTATGCCGACCTCAGTCGCGCCATCTCCTCAATAGATACTTCTCTTGGATTCGATCCCTTGGCATCTATATCCAGCATTTCCAGCGACGCAAACAGTATTCGGACTGTCGAAGAGAGTGGCCTGTACACGTTTATTCCACCTGACCCGCGCGCGTTTTATAAATATATTCTCCAGCACGCCGTCGCATTTGACCAGCTGCATGCGGACCCTGCAATCGACTACCAACCCCTCTCGAAACAATCTATAGACCTGATGACGGAGCTTTGTGTGCGTTGGCGATTACCTCACGCCTCGCGGTTAATCGCTCTGCTCGAAGTTGCGGCGCGTAAGTTCCTGGATCAGGAGATTGTGCCCGAGGAGCTCGATACCATACTTGACGTTGTCAAAACCCCCCAGCCAGAGCCCAAGAAGGCGCCATATATACAAAATTACTCATCACCTTTGACCGACATACCACCGAGCAAATGGACCATCCATGACTTTGCCGTCTATCAAAGCACGTTTCATTCCATTCACGACGCTATATTACGAGAACTTTACGATATCATGGCCCAATGTTACGATAGCAAGCCCCCGAACATCGGTGCTGTCATGTTCATCCTCGAAAATCACATTTACAAGGACGAGATATTCACGCCGAGAGCAGAAGCAGTCACCGAATTCACCGAATATCTGACTACTGCCCTACGGAACAAGGCGGTCGAGGTATACCGCGAAAATATGCGCAAAGAGATTCCAGTCGTCAAGGAAAAGTGGGAGTTTGCACATGTTGTGAAGCTTGGCAAGACCATCACAAAGCTTTGTGACCGCATCCGTAAGAGGTACAAGAACAACCAAACTATCATGGGCATGGATCCTTTTGCAATCTTGGTAGAAGAAGTTTTCCCGAATTTTGAGAGCGATGCTGGCGCGATTCTCGAATCAATTCTTGGACAAGCAAAGGTTAGTGGTGAAGACATTGACATTGAAGATGGGTTCGAGCTTTACAAGGAGCTTGTTGCTATTCGCCGCATCCACCATGAATATCTCCCCAACAAAGCATTCACTTTTAATATCGAAAATTTGCTTGTCGATTTTGTCTGGCGGTGGATTCGCTCTGCCGAGGGCAAGATGTCCGACTACGTCGACCAGGCAATCAAACAAGACCAATTCCAAGTCCGCACCGAGCATGGGCATGATACTGAGCAGCATTGCATTGCGCGCGACTCAGAGAGACATAGCGTGTCTGTTATTGATCTGTTCATGCTATTCAATCAGACGGTTGACCAGGTGTTTAAGCTGGAGTGGGACAACGATGAACACCATGCTCGTTTCATGACGGCGCTCGCCCGTAGCTTCTCCGCAGGCTTAGGCCGCTACTGCGAAGTGCTTGAGCAGAGATTCGCCAAGGAAATGGATCGCCCATCGGCCGAGCAGATTGCGATGCAGACCAAGTCGGCCCAAGAAAAATGGGTGCAATACGCCAAGGATGCCTGGAACAACAAAGAAAAGGCGGAACCGTTCCAGTTCTTTGCCGAGTCCTTTGTTAAACTAAACAATATTGAGTATGCTATGCAGGAACTCGACAAGCTGGAAAGGAGCATGAACTCGGATGCTTGTGCCGAATTGCTGGAAAAGATTGATGGCCCTAAGAAGCAGACACGAAGACCAAGCAAGTATACATTCACCATTAAGGTTGTTGAAGCAGAGGACCTCAAGGCTTGCGATCCAAACGGGTACAGTGACCCGTATGTCGTCTTTGGGGACGAGTATCAGAAGCGTCTGTACAAGACACGCATCATCTACAGGAACCTCAACCCACGCTGGGATGAGTCGTTTGAGTTTACTGTGCAAGGTCCGGTGAATCTCATTGCCACGGTTTGGGATCACGATACATTTGGAGACCACGATTATGTTGGCCGGACGTCGTTGAAGATCGACCCGGCCCATTTTGGTGACTACCTCCCGCGAGAATTTTGGCTGGACCTGGACTCGCAAGGCCGAATGCTTATCCGCGTAAGCATGGAAGGGGAGCGCGACGATATTCAGTTCCACTTTGGCAAGGCTTTCCGCCACCTCAAACGAGCCGAGCGAGACATGGTGCGCAAAATTACTGACAAGGTATGTTGTGTGAAACACTTTACGAATGAAAACATGCTAACAAAAGAAAAGCTCACAAGTCAAATCAATTCGACGCTATCTATTGAAACGCTACGGGGCCTCCTGGGATTGAATGGTCTTGGCTCGCAGGTTACTAACCTGTGGAAGAAGCGTACATCGACGCTTCCAGCCGTGACGCCGGCGCAAATCGAACATGCTCTGTCGCCGTTATTTACCTATTTCGACGAAAACTTTGCCATTATGAAACAAACGCTGACGGATGCGACAATGATTGCCGTCATGACACGACTCTGGAAAGAAGTTCTCATGACGATTGAGAACCTTTTGGTTCCACCAGTCTCTGACAAGCCATCCACGCAGAAATCTCTAGGCAGAAGAGAACTCGACATTGTCTACCACTGGCTCGATCTCTTGTTCGGCTTCTTCAACGCCAAAGACGAGCAATCTGGCGAGCAGCTCGGCGTCCCAGCCGAGGTGCTCAAGTCGCCTAAGTGGCACGAGCTAGCGTCGCTCAACTTCTTTTACTTTGAAGACAGTAACAGCCTCATTCGGGAATCGGAGCGCATGGCCTCGGCCACGGCGCAGCGCACGCAGCAGGCGCTCGTGAGTAACCAGCAGACGATGCGGCACTCTGCGCCGCCGGGCTTTGGCGCGGCGCTGGGCGGGGCGGGCGCCTTTGCCAGCATGGGCACGATTCGGCGCGGCAAGAGCATCATGATGAGCCGCAATCTCGGCACTATGCGGAAGGCTAAGGAGGCAAAGCGCCGCGAGACCCAAGCCGACCCCAGCGACGATATGATTCTTCGCATCCTCCGCATGCGCCCCGAGGCTGCCAACTACCTCAAGGAGCGCCACAGGCAAAAGGAGCGCCAGGCGGCGACGGCCGCCGCCGCTCTCATTGTAAAGAATTCGGTCACGGCGGGCTGGAATACGGGACTAGGGGGGAGTGCGGCCGCGAGCCACTTTGGAAGGATGAACTTGCCTAGGCGGTGATTTCTCTCCTCGTCCAACGCAAAATCTTTGGCTTTGTATTCCTTTTCACATTATATTACCCATAGCGTGTTTGATATTTACTCTTGGCTTTATGATAGTAGAAGTACGCTGGATCACATTCGTATTCAAGCCTTCTTACAGGCCGAGTTGTGCTTTAATGGCCACCAACGCAGCGCAGACTTTTGTACGGTGCCGCGACTCGGCGCCAGTGGTTTGATAGACTTTTCTGTAGCGCAAAGTTTTATCTTTTACTTGATCATGATTGAATACCTGTAGGCGCACGCGCCTTTGAAGTGGGTGATTGGCTGCCTTTGTTGACGCCCTCTGATGCCATCACCTTATCACGTCGACCAACGAACGCCCTGCTCCTTGGAATTCATGAAAGACTTTGTCGGCTAGGAAGCAGGTGGGAATTCCTTCCCATGCCAGACCCAACAAGCCCTCTTGATTCCTCAACGAATGCAAGAGGTGTAAGCTGGAGCTGCTGAAAAATGGCGGCGGCTTGATTGCTGTTTCAGCAAAAGCTGACTATTATGAACTCTTGATACTCATTGTAACGGCCAGCCACAGTGGGACTACGGCTACCACCTCAAACCTGGCCCCCCGAAGTCTCCGGTCGGCCGTGCAATCAGTTCTTGGCATCGAGATTGTCCCATGTTGGCCAAGGCGCTTATTACCGTTCGCGCGTCCGCCATCCATGCCTTGCTACATCTTGCCTTTTACAATCGCTCACTTCCTCGCATTGTCGGAAAGTTGAAGGATGGCAGTAGTGCTCGGCTAGACGGCACAGCAATGGAACAAACGCACCCCCAAGGCTGTGCGGCTGAGACCCTTGCATTGAAGAAATGGACCAAAGAGAAACGATCGCGAGAACCCTGTGCGGGCCCCGAGGGCTGTGACTTTTTTACTGTTCTCTTTCTTATACGCCGCAATGTGACCCAGCTGGCAGGCATAATCTGTGTGGCGCCTCACCCGCCATGCGGGCGCATGTACACCGATTTCAGCCAAGGCGGAAACAGAGGTCAGGTCAGTGATTTCGTGATTTCGCGGCAGGATAGATAAACTTTGGTCCGGTCCGCCCAGCCTCCCCAACGGCCAGCGTTTCTGTTTTTCCCCCCATCTTCTCCAGGCAAGAAGCACATTCTGACCGAGTCGAGCGGCTCTCCGGAGCCATGGATTCCAGCCATCATCACGACGAGCAGTACAACTACGCTCCGCTGCCGTACCAGCACGCTCCCGGCCGCGAGTTTCGGCCGCAGCTTTCGCCCCGCAAGCCTGTGCCTGGCGATTTGCCCTTGTCGTCCTTGCCTGGAAGCGACCAGCCCCAAGGGCCACCTGTTGTTTTGGCTGTCCCTCCGAGAAACGCCGGCACTCAACGGCCCGGGATCCTGCGTGTGTGGACGTGGGAGCCCCTGTCTCTCCTCGCGAGCAGCGCGGCCTTTGCCGCCATTGTCGCCGTCCTGCGCGTCTACGAAAACAAACCGCTCTCGTCGTGGAAAGCGCCCGTCTCCATCAACACCGTCGTCTCCATCCTGTCGACCGTCTTCAAGGGCCTGCTCGTGACGCCCATCTCCAATGGTCAGATATAGACACACATGCCCTTCTGTACTTGTAGTATTCACACGCTTTTTCTCCTCCAGGAATCAGTCAGCTCAAATGGCTTTCGTTTGCCGAGACGTCACAACCCTTTGTTCACATGGATACGTATGATGAAGCGAGCCGAGGCGCCTGGGGATCTCTGCTGTTCTTGGCTCAACAGCTCCGCGGCAAGAGGCTCTCGTGAGTTGCCATCCCGCGGCCTGGCTTCGGACACGCTGACACGCCGCCAGTCTTATTGCCAGCCTTGGGGCCTTCATTGCCCTCATCACATTGATCACCGACCCATTCTCACAGGCCACAGTATCCATCAACAGCTGTACCCTCGCATCCCCACAGCAAGCAAGTATCCCACGATTCAACAACTACGACACCTCCATCCATGCGGGCAGCGGGCCGTCTCAGCTATCTCTGAGCATGCAGTTTGCCGTTTTGGCAGGCTTGTACAACCCGCCAGCAAACAGCTCTCAGGCTATCAGCCAGTCAATCACTTGTCCTACAGGGAACTGCACCTTTCCTGGACCAGTCTCACTGAGCACTCTCACCATGTGCCACTCGTGCCAGGACATTTCAAGCTCCATCGAGATGAATGGATCCAACTACTCTGTGCCGGGCTATCCTTACCCGCTCTCGATTTCACCTCTCAGCCAAGGCCAGCTGGGAAACAATTTCGCGAGCGTTTTCGTGACGAACATTGCGGGAGAAGGCGGTGCGAATGACCCGGTACCATGGGCAGATGGCGCCTGGAAGAAGACTAGCATATTCAACTTTCAAGGCTTGGCTTACACGACCGAGACGCCCGATTGTGTCGCGCAGGAGAACTGTACCTGGACGCCAATGGCGTTTGACTGCAGTCTTCGACCGTGTGTCAAGACATTGTCCGCGAGGGTAACCAATGGACGGTATCAAGACATTGTCCGCGAGGGTAACCAATGGACGGTACATCGAAACCGAGCTCTCACGAGACTATCTGCATTTCCTCAACGTCAGCACGCCCTTTCAACTGGCCGTGGACAAGGTCTTCATCGATGGCGCCTGGATGGACTGTGCCGGCGAAGAGTCCAGATCCGACACCAACACCGTCCAGATTCTCCTCCCCGCGAGCCAAGATATCCTCAACACATCGGCAGAGCCACCGAGCCTCTGGTACCCCCAGGGGTGCACGTTTAGCGTGTCCGCCGGCGCAATGGGGGCTTTCGGGCTGTATCTCGGCGGCATCTTCAGCAAGGCGAAAATCGTGGGCCAACCGCGCACAGTCACCGGCGATGCCTGGCTTCAGCAGATGTGGAACGCGGGGCAAATGACAATGGCGTCTGTTGATACCTTTACAGAAGGCCTAGCTCTGAGCATCGGGGCTGAGATGCGGAGAAACGGCAGTCGGAGCATCGGCGGCGATGGCGCGCTGCCTGTGGCGTGGACGAGGGCCACTGGACATGCGCAGGATACCGAGCCATGTATTCGGGTGCATTGGCCGTTCCTGTCCTTCTTGGCCGCCCTACTCGCTCTGGCGGTGGCTTTTGTGATTGCGCTGGTTGTGGCAAACCATGGCAGTGCTGCGTGGCAGGCGGATTGGAAGTCGTCAACACTGCCCATGTTGTTCCACGCTATAAAGGGAAAAGAGAGGTACCGTTTTGAGTCGGACGGAAATACTACCAAGCAAACAGCGCAGTATTATGACATGGCAAAGGTGGTAGAGGCTCAGCTTGTGGAAGAGAATGATGAGTGGGTATTTTCGGCCAGGAACTAGACACAACGATTGGCATGGTGAAGCTCAAGCATGCTCGGAGGGTTTACTAATTTGTAATAATTTCTTAATTCTCAAGTCAGCATTTGGGGACTTCCGTTGTTCATACGTTGTTCATACGTTGTTAAGAAAGTGCTAGTACACGGCCACTCTCTTGAAGCACGCTCTGGATCTCCGGATAGGGTGACAAAACAAACCACTGACCTTTACAGAGTGAATTATGGTACGTAACTTGGAGTTTTTATTCACATTACTATCACTCCTACGAAGCAATCTTTGCAGATTGCTAAGAAGAAGAAAATCGCGATTGCCCTAGGTGGCATTTCATTCAAGTCGATTCCTTCAAGTCGATTCTTTCAATTCGGCTCATTCAAGTCGATTCATTCAAGCCCCGACTCAGTTCATTGCTTCCAGAAATGTGTCGAAGCGCTCGGTGGAATCTGATCCGCACCACTACCCCAGCCGCTCTCTTTCGATCCTAGGTGCAGTTCCAGCATGCCGCCGTCGCGAAAGAAGTCATGCGTCAACCAGCTCTTCACAAGAGGTTGGCCGTTGAGTGTCGCGTTCTGAATATATATATTCTTGTACGCCGCGTCAAAGTTGCGCGTGCGCACCGTGGCCGTCTTGCCGGTGACCGGATTCAGCAGGCTAAACTCCTTGAAGAACGGCGGGGTGATGAGGTAAACGTTTTGGCCACTCATGGGGAACAGGCCCATCATGGTGAGCGCGGTGAAGCTGGCCATGGAGCCCGAGTCGTCGTTGCCCGGTATGCCGACGAGGGTGTCGTTGAAGGCGCTAGGAATGTACTTGTGCGCGTACTCGGCAGACACACCAGGCCGGCCAATGTAGTGGAAGAGAAATAGCATAATGTACGACTGCTCGTTTCCAATGTAGAACAGGCCGGGCGTCTCGTGCAGGTAGTGCAGGCGGCGCAGAAACTCGTCGGAGCCGCCGAGCGTGGCCACGAGCGTGGCCACGTCGTGAGGGATGTAAAAGGTGTAGAGCCAGGCACCACCCTCGTACGTCTCGTGGCCGTTTTCATTCAGGTAGCAGGATGTAAAGTTGTAGAGGTCGGTGCAGATGGCCGGGTCCTGGTAGCCAAAGCTGCCATTGAGGTAGCGCGGCTGCAGAAAGCCCTGGAAGCCGCTGTCCTCAAAGTCGGCCAGGTTATGGCTGCCGGTCAGGTTGAGACGGGAACGCGACTGTGAGTCAAACATGTTGAGCCAGTTGCCGGAGCGGTTGAGATACTTTTCGGCGTCATGCACCTGGCCCATGTCACGCGCCATCTCGGCGATGCAAAAGTCGTTGTAGCTGTACTCTATGGTGCGGGAGATGCTGCGCGTGTAGATACCCACGCCGTAGGGGTCAAAGTCGTCGGTGGGAATGTAGCCCAGCGTCTTCCACGAGTGCAGCCCGCCACGGCCCTCGACAGTCCACAAAGGCGGCTCATCTTGGAGCAAAGATCAGTATCAGGACTCTCAAGGGAGGGTAAGAAGGTACAAAGAGAGGTACAAAGAGACTTACCTTCAGCGTCAGAGATGACAGCTTCATACCCAGTCTCCCAGTCAATACCATCAGTCAAGCCCTTGAGATACGAGTCGGCCAGCAAGTTGTCGGCGTTGCTCCCTCCTTGGGTAAAGCCTTTGCAAAGTGACATGCGGCAGTCGGGCATCTTGCCTTCATGCCGGTATACGTCAATCAGACTACGTATCATCAGAGTCTGAGCGTGAGGGTCAACGAGCGTCAGGAAAGGGTGAGTGCTTCGAAAACTGTCCCAGATACAGTAGTACGAGTCAAAGTACGGCTCGTCGCTCCTCCAGAGTGGGTTTTCGCCTATCAACAGTGAGCTTCGGAGAGACGAGAATGGGCAAGGCAAACCAAAGCCTACCAGTATAATCTTGTGGAGATAGGAGGGTTCTGTAGAAGCTGCTCCAAAAAGTCCGCTGCAGGGATGTATTGAGACCAGTATTGTCCACCTTGATGACATTGAGCTTGGAGCGCCAGGCATCTTCGGCCTGTTTACGAATTTTCTGAAAGTCAAACTCCGGAATCTCCAGTTGAGCATTCCTGCAGGCCTGCGCAGCACTGATGAAGGAAAGTCCAACGCGTGCCACAATCTGGTTGTTCTGAGGGGGCTCAAACTGGACCCAAGCACCAGCCGGGACGTTGTTGGTCACGTTGAGACTTTTGGGGTCGTTGCCGGCACGGTTGTTGACCCAGACACCACTGTCGCGCACCTGAGCCCCATGAAAGTCGACACAAAAGTGCGATTCATACGTGCCGACACCAAAGGAGGGGTTAAACGTACCGTTGCCGGTGATGCGGCCCGTCGTCCCGTCTACGAGGACGGTCGCCTTGCTGCGCGACTCGGACAAGTCGGACAGGTCAGCGATGATCAGAGGGACCAAAGGAACGTGCGGGTCGGTATCTTTGGTTGGGGTCCCGTCTGTCGGAAAGGTGAAGCGATAGAGGGCCGTGTGATTGGAGACGGTCATTTCCGCCGTGATGGACGTGTTGAGGGACACGGCAAAGTAGCCGGGACGTGCGACGACGGTGCCGTTCTTGCGCTGGGAGGCGCGGGTAATTTTGTTAAAGTAGCATCGGTTCAGCTCATTGCCGGGACATCCAGTCTGCGCAAAGAGTGGAAAGTTGCCGAGCGAGGCGGCCTGCAAATAGCATGTGAGCACGGAAGGGTTGATGGATGAGGCTGGCCGACTTACACCACCAGTTCCGCTGTCGTGCATGTGAGAAAAGCCAGTGACTGTGTACCATCAGCGACCAGTAGTACAAAAAGACATGAGGTGTCCTACTGTCTGCATCGTTGGAAGCAAACCCGCCTTGGATTTCCTTGTTCACGTCGGCAACGGCCTTGGCCATGCTATATGGCAGACTGGCTCCAGGGAAAACATGGCCTTGTACGGTGAATCACTATTAGCACACCTACGGATGATTCTGCTCGAAAGCATGGCATTCGGTGCTCACCTCCGTTGACCGTTCCAATGAGCGGGTCGACATAGTCGAGAACGTCAAATTTGGTCGAATCTGTAGCGGAATGGGAAGTTTGCGCCGTTGCTGCCGCAGCTAGCAGGAGCTGACCCAGAGCCAAAAGTCCAAGAAGCATAGTTACTGAACTTGTTGAGAGGAATGAAGAAGAGGCAACTTCCCACGTCGGAAGATGGACGTCAGAAGATGGACGTCAGAAGATGGACATCAACTTCCTATATGTGCAATGCGGGGGAAGCCAGGTTTCGATCCATGGCGTCCTGCAAGCAGTAGTAGAATGGTCGGCCATGATGTCGTGAAACGTTCAGCGGACGCATATCGAGCATATTCAAGTTTGCAGTCGACGAATCGGTACATGGCGAAGCGGGGTTGTCACCCGCAAAACTGACGAGAATCAACGTCACCCTAGATCACATGGTGCGAGGGGAAAAGCAAGGTCGCGTGCCGTGATGCCTGCAGCAATTGCTGTGTGCCAGCATAAAAGTAGGGCGTTGAGTAGGGTGTCTAGTCTGCAGCGAATACAAGGATGTCTGCATGCGAGGAGCCATGCGGAGCTCACTGGTGGAACAAATTGTTGCCAGAGGTTGAGATGAAGTCTTGGTAGAGACAGTGTGTGTGTAGGAGGTGGGCAAGTTGCTGGTGACTGTGCGGGGAAAGGAAAGGGGAAATAGTCGGGAGAAGGATCAGGGCGTTGAGGCACTACAGGTGTAGTTTGTGCTCTATAATTTGTTCATCAGTGTTTACAGTCCAATTACGTCAATAATCGGGCTTAGAAACGGACTGTGCCTAGGCCACTCCATTTCGAATATTTCATCCCTACTCTTATCTTCTTATGATTTTCTTCTTCTTCTGTTCTATTGCCATAATTTTAATAGCTTGAAGCTTTAGCCGCGCCAGCAGTGGTCCGAGGCGGTGCTGCGCGTGGCACCACCTGTTGCGCTGTTGTTCCGATAAGTGTTGTTTGTTGTCTCTCGCCGGGATTGGCTCAACCGCCGATGTGTCGTAACAACTGGTATGGTCCCCTATAAAATGTGGTAGAGCCACTATACCCTAATTTAGTTTAGCTATTGTCGCTTGACTAAACGCTACTAGCAAAATATCAGCCTTCCTGATCAGCGGCCGACGGTTGTCCAGACAACAAGCGCCTAAGGCACACCAGTTCAGCGCAGCCGCTAGATTCGCTGGGCTCATCAATCTGCCTACAACAGACACGACGACACGACAGCACAGCACGTTATGACCCCCGTGAGAACCTCGCCACACGAAATGGAACCTTGCAAACCCTACTCTGGTGCGCGGACCTGCCTACCTCCTCCGGAACACCCCGACCAAGGCCTCGCGCGGAGCGGCACCGCTACCCGCGAAGAAGAGCGCGCCGTGACTCTGCGTCATCCGCGATACCCCGACGATTCCAACATCTTGCTTGTGCTGCCGGCGCTTGATCCAATTCCCCGCCCGGGTCGGGTCTTCACTGAGGACGACCCCCTTAGCTTTGGTCTGCACCACGACACGGCGCGCGTTGCGTGCGCCATCATCGCCAACTGCCGCTGGGATGGATACCTTTCCGAGAGTAAGGAGGACGGCGCGCCACTGGTAACGACCGACCCAGACCATATTTTGCCGGGGAGCACCTACTACTTCCATGTGCCGAGCGACACTGATGACGGTGAGCAGGGTACGCCGTACCCAATCGTGCCATCCTTTTCGCACTTCCGGTTCCCGCATAATAACTTGCCACCTACATGGACGGCCTCGAGACTGTCCTTCCCCGCAAGCCACCCTAAACCGCCGCGCAAGTTCTCCTTTGAGAATACGGTCCTTACGCGTGACGGCTCCTGCCGACTGACAGCGTCTACGATTGGCACTGAGATTGCCCACTTTATCCCCCGCACGGAGGACCCCTGGTTCGCCGCGAACCAAATGTTCCAGTACTCATCGCGGCCCGAGGCTGTCATCACCAACAAGACCAACAACCCACGCAACGCCATGCTCATGGGTGCCCAGCTGCACTCAGTCTACGACCAGCGTCAGTTCGTCATGGTCCCGAAATGGGGCGCCTGGCTGATTCACGTCCTCTCAGGCTGGCACGGCGAGGAGCTGGCCGCCGTGTACCATAACGTCCCGCCGCAGCCACTATCAGGCTTGGCAGTCGAGTACGTCTTTACACGCTTCGCATGGACGGTGCTCGCTCAAACGAGCTTCCTCGAGGCGGGCGTGTCCCGCCGCATCGTGGTGCGCGGCAATGACGGATTGCCAACGGCGCGTGAAGTTTCGGGGCCGGACTGCCGCACCATGTTTACGCCAAGTTCGGCTAGGTCTAAGAGCCGTAGTCAAAGCCCAAAGAAACGCGTGCGGGATGACACGGTCGAGGATGGTGAAGACAATTACGATGACTTGAGGGACTTTGACGATCCTGTGTGGGATACGCGGGGACGGCCCAGCAAGAGGACAGCCTACGGATCGGCCACGACATCCGTCGCTTCTAGTTTTGAGTGTTGGCGTGATGAGTCAACAGACTGCGAAGCTGAAAATGGTACCAGGGGCGCTGAGATACGGTGCTCGCTTTGAGCTAGAATCATCAGTCTTGCCTCATCCGTCCGAGTTATTTTTCCCTTTGAGGGCTCGATGGAAGCAGGCCTTTAGATAAATAAAACAAATGTGCCAGTCCAAGCAGCGGCTTACAGATCGATAAAGCATGCAGCCGGTCGTGCCCACTTTATGACATAGTGCTGTACACCTATACTATAAGTAGGGCTCCTAGTCAAAAAAAGTCAAGATGTGGTGATTTTTGTATTAGCATAAAAGTAAGTACTGCAGACTCCTAAGCGGATAGGGCATCTAGAACTGCGAAAGTCCCTGATAACTATACCCTATAGATGCCGCATAGTAGGTCTGGCTTGATAAATCTGCTACTTGAGATAGACTATATGCCTATAGCATTATAGTTTATAGTGAGTAGCTTGTCGGTCGAGCCGCTGCTCATTTATTCCCTAAGGCGACTTTCTATGGCCCTTGATGTGTTAGAGGGGATGCTTGGCAGAAAATCTAGACGCCCCTAGTGAATAGATTTCGAGCTTCGATGTCGTGTTGGCAAAGGTAGGGCGGTAGCCGCATAACTCCAGTTATGAATGCTATGATGTGCGATATACGTCTGGATAGAGCTACTTCATGGAAATTACAGTAGTGGCAATGGCACGATTGTGAAAGTTCAAGCCATGTGATACCAGTCGCGTACACGCGCTTAGGCCTCGTCGTTTAATCGCAATGCGTCTTGCATTTTCTTCTGCGCGAGATACAAAGCATAGGCAGAACGGCGTAGGGGTACATGTAAGTGGCATTTATAAATTAGTGAGGTCTGAGCAATTTTCGACAACGCCGACTCTTTAGTGACCTCAGCCAAACGGAGCGCATACGGACGGCTTCACAATGCCGCCGCCCGAAGGAGTTTGTCATGAATAATAATAAATCCATTTTGGATACTATTGAATGATTACTGTATGATAGTTGAAATAGAACATGCTCAAAGACTCACGGTTACAGGCAGGTGGCCTATCAGCGTGGGGTGGCCAAGAGGTACTTGAACAAAGGCAGTCGTTTTACCGCCTAGAAATCAAACCAAATTTGCACACTTTTTTGGGGAATTTGGTAGTTCCTGAGACGCCTCTCGATAACCCCTGATGTGCTTCACTAGCCTTTATACTACTAGGTAACTAACGTTAGGTCTTGCTCGGACGGAACCAAGTCCACTGATACGTTGCCGGGCGAAAGCCTCTTGTGGCTGCTTAGGGCCTAATCAGGGGTCTAATCGCCCGCCAACCCCGAAAAGGAAACCGATGTGGCTGGCGTTTTGCGCACTTCGCACAACTTATAATTACTAGTGACCATGAATCTTCGCAACCAACAACGCCACGTCTGTCCTGCGGTTGCAAGTCGCGCCGTGTCCGTACGGCTACTTCCCTCCCGTATCGTGCGCCACCCGAGTCATCGCCCAGCTTATTACCGCCCTTTATCACTATTCAGCCAGAGCGGGCCAAGAGAGGGGGGAGGCCTATCTGCAAGCCCCTTCCACATGCCACCATCGACAACCGATTCATCTACCGTTGTTGGCTTCACAAGCTCGGCCTCTCCGTGTCTTTCCGCTTTTTTTGTAACGGTATATTGCTACCATGGCTGCCCCCTTGATGAACACATGCTACTCGGCTTGGCCGTCAGCAGAGGCCGAAACAGCCGAGAATGAAAAATGCTTACCCATCTGTTGAGTATTGATGCAACTCTGCCAGGCCTGTCGTGGTGTTGCACCATTTTCTACCAACCACACCGAGCGTTCGCAGCAGCCCTTGCTACCATCCGGCAAATAAATGCCATTGCCTGCAAAACAGCCGACAACAAAGGAAAAGACGTTGCATCGTTCGACCCCGGCTTACACTCTTTCAAAAGACTCGTGGTGCCAATGATATGCCGCTACTGGTAAATCGTTGTGAAGTGCATGATATGGCCCCCCGCACCAATACCACCTTTGCGGATACGGAAACCCGTGCTACACCATATATGTGTGCAGGAACAGAAACCGGACGAGACATTCATATGCTTGTCCTTGATCTAACACATGCCCGGAAAACTCCGAACTGGGAACCTCCTCATTGGCCTGTTGCCTATCGCGTGTTAGCTTGTGTGCTGGGCACTCGCTAAGTGCGAAAAAGATGGCGCTAATGCAAGGCTGGCTCTCTCAGCTTATTTGTATGTATGTATAGTACCATTGCTCCGGTTCAATGCACACATGTCGGTGATCCTCAGGGTCTAGCCTGAGCCACCAGTACTCCGTGCACCCCCCCCCCTCTCCGTTGAGCGTTGCGGCTCAAATAGAGTTTTTTTCAGCAACAACGTCGTCTTGGTCGAGGGCATCACGGCCTATTTCAGCTTCTCCGGAATATACCTCTATCGGAATATGGAGACGCGATTGTCTTCCTCACTGGGCCGTCAGTCGAGGCCCTCACGGTCCTCGCTGCTCCTCTTTTCGAACCACGACGCTATCTCACCACCCCGAATACGTCCCCGTACAGTATCTACATGATAGATCTGCGCAGCATCTCAAGTGGGCAAAAATAGTTTTACACCCTGCAGTCAAGGAATTGGCTTCAATATGCTCCGCTTTTCTAGTCGCCAAGTTGTCCCGAACCTTGGTTCCGATACAACTCTGGGATCATATCGTGAAGACCGTCTTAGTCGCTGGACCGGCTATAATAACATTAGTCGGCTTTGTCGCTCTTACAAACATCTAGACTTGTCCTTTCTCGTCGAGCTCTGTAAAAAGTCGTTGCACATCTTCACATACCCGCAGCAGAATGCACATTGCCCTTTTGACCAACCCGGCCTCGGGCCAGGCCAATGTCCATTTCGCCACGGCGCAGGAGCTCGTCTCACAGGGCCACCGCGTCACATTTCTCTCGGCCGAATCATGCGGTAGCAAAGTGTCCCGTTTTCGCCAATGTCAGCCTTTGTCGCGGCAGTCTCTCGTTCACTTCATAAGTTTGGGTTCTGCGCAAATCATCCAAGACTAGTATGTCAGACCGTGGAGTGCAGCGTCTTCCTTGCCCGCCTTCTAATCGAGATTTTCTTCAGCACCAAATTAGCACAAGTCGAACTATCGACTATGCAAGGAGAGCCCGGTAGCATCAGAAGTCTACTCACAGGCATCAATGGGGCGTTTGGTCCTAGCGAGATCTACGCCGATGTGGCTAACAAGGTCTCGGCAACACTTGAAGAGTTGGATCCCGATATGGGTAAGTGTCTCACGATTCGTCATGATGAAATGTAGCCAAGTCTAATCACTCGGCAGTTTGCGTCGACTGCTTCTCCTCTCCCTACATTCACGGAACACGGATGGCCCAGCGCAAGCACATTGTCTTTGTACCATGCTCGCCGGGTCTCACTGCGTCGCGAGGCAGCTTTATACCCTATCCAATTGCTGGCAATCGTAAAAGATCCTGGGGAACATTATTCGAGAGTTAGTTCATATTCTCCCATCAGTGGCAACTCGGACTCACATTTCTTTTCTCAGATGCCGTTCTTCAAGCGCACGAGTTTGTCCACAGTCGGACGGACGCCAAGCGACGAGCGAAGCGCCGCTTACTCCTCAAGGGATTCAAACTAAAGTCTTTCGGACACTCTGAAGACACATGGATTCTTCCCCCGTATTGGAAAGATGACAACTGCGTAGCTGGCGTCCACTTCAACACCTTGGGTCTCGCAGACTGTCCAGAACAACCGTCCAAGCTAGCGTTTGTGGGAGCTGGTCTTTGCCCGGACATGTCCCCCGTCAGCTCGGACCCAGACGAGGACGTCACTTGGATGAATCAAGCCCTGGCTCTTGAAGAAGACGTCGTCTACATGAACATGGGGTCCATGTTCATCTGGCGCGAAGAGGATTTCTGGAACTGCATGCGGGCGTTCCAGTACGTCAGCGAAAAACTGCAGGGCCGCGTGCGCTTCCTCGTCAAGATCAACTCGCCCATGGCCGCCGTGACGGACGCCTCCCTGCACTTCACGATCCCGCAGCAGGACCTGCCCGCGTGCGTGCGCCTCACGCACTGGGTCAAGAACCAGGCGGCCATCTACTCGCACCCGGCCCTGCGCGTCTTCATCCACCATGGCGGCGGCAACTCGTTCAACGAGGCGGTGCACTTTGGCCTGCCCCAGCTCGTCCTCAGCCAGTGGTTCGACACGCACGAGTACGGCTACTGCGCCGAGAAGTTTGGCCTCGGCTTCCGCAGCCGCCGCCCGCCCGCGATTGAGCGCCGCGACGTCGAGTCCAAGCTGCTGCGCATGCTCGGCACCGAGTGGCCCGTCTACAAGGAAAACTGCATGGCCTGGGCGGTCCGCAGCCAGATTGGAGGCGGCGCCGCGGCGGCGGCCAGGTTGGTCCTCGCGCACGCGGAGCAGGGCAGCAGGAGCGTTTCCAGTCAGTCGTCGCGCAAGTCTTCAATGTGCTACTTGAAGGAAGAGCGCTTTCACGAGAAAACGCTGGTCTAGTATGGTTGGAAATTCTTTTTGTTACGAGCGATTTGAAAGAGCAAGAGCACGTTTAGAAAAGGAGCAACCGCTTTCATGAGAAAGCGTTGGTCTAGTATGCCTAGAATCGTTTATTACGAGCGATTGATAGAACAAGAGCACGGTTAGAACATTATCAATGGAGCACTATATGTGCCAAATTAATCTTGTATGTGTCTGGGAGCATGGCAACGTGGTATTTCCCACGTGTCAAACATTCTTCCCTACTTTCTGAATGAACATAAGCTACCAACAGTACAAAACTCGCCATCAGGGTTCATTATTAGACAATTTCAACGAATCACACTAAATTATAAACCCTCGAACTGACTATCTTAGAATGATTGTTTCATAGTGACATGCGTTATATCCAATTGGCCACCTTTTTCTCCGATAACTAGTCCCGCAATCCGCTAGACTGCCTGCTTCCGAACATGCTGCAGTTTTTTTTTTGCCCGGAGCGGCTTTCCAAGACGATGAGATTGGCCGAGTCAGATAGGGCGTCGGCCAATCCAGTCGGCCAGTCTTTGCACACCCTACATCGCGCAAGATTGGTTGTTTACGCGTCACCTATTGCTCTACGCCAGAGCTCCTAGCATGACAGTTGGCTTGCAGAGCTTGCTTCTACTAGCAAAACGAAGAAAGGAAAATAGATTACAAAGATGGAAGGTACGAAGAATAAGAAAGATGGATAGAGTTAATAGACAAAAAGAAGTTAATAAAAAGTAAGAAAATCGTAAGAATAAGAACGATAACAGTGTAACATTAGCTCCCGGTCTGAGTGCAAATGCTGTTTTATTATTGACAGCTAGAGCAGCCAGCACAAAGAAAATGCCTCAAGTGTGGCCAGCCAGACGATGAGACAAGGGTATACCTTCTAGATCTTTGACGAGGTGGTATTCTCCCCCGAAAAGGCGGCGCGTCTGAACAGAGCCATGATGTTGTCCATGAGCCCAACAACGTCATCCCTGTCAAAGTACTTGCCATCAAACAGCAGGTTGCACCGCATGTCCCCGCGGAAGCTATACAGCGCAAAGCAGACATTCGGATCCGTGTTGCGGCCGCCGGAGCGAAAGTGCACCAGCCTCGCTCGGGCCGCAGCAGCGCCGCGCGCCGCCTGCTTGGCAAACTCGCCCTGGGACGTCAACGTCGGCCTGCTGACGGCCGGCACCGCGGGCGGCGGCGTCGACGACCCCATGGCGGCCTGGAACGCGCGCGGCGCGAGCTCGTCGTAGACGCCGATGATGTGCTGCGACGCCAGGTCCTGCTGCTGCCGCGCCTGGATGGTGCGCGCCAGCGCAAACACGTTCTGCGCCGCCGCATCCGCCGGTCCGGCGCAGAGGTCGGCCCTGTCGAGCCACAGCGCGCCGGGCAGGATGCTCATGCCGACGGGCGCGTGGCGCTCGCTGGCGCGGATGGCCGCCCAGCGCTTCGCGTTTCCGCTGAAGACGAGGTGCGCGCCCCCGTCGGCTTCGTCGTCGGGGGGCCCGTCGTAGCGCGCCTGGATGCCGGCCGTGATGCAGGCGAAGAACAGCGCCGTCAGCGTGACGCCGTGCTGCTTCGCGGCCGCCAGCGCGGCCGCGACCAGGGCCGCGGGAAACCGGACGTGCTCGTTGTGCATGAGACTGGCGCGGGTGTGGTGCCCGGCGTGGGTGGGAATGCCAATCGAGGGGCGCGCCCATCGCGCCTGAGCACGCTCGTATATCGTCATGGCTTCGGCGCGCTGTGCCGCCGTGACGTCTGCGTTTTGGCTGGTGTAGGCGTGGCTGAGACTCTGCGGCAATCTGGGGAGGAGACTGGCGCTTTCGGGCGAAAAGGACTGCGCAAAGTCGGCATCGCACTCTCTTGCTGACAGGTTGCTCACAAAGGAGTCGATGATTCGATACACGTCAAGGCTGGTGAGTGTGTGGGAGATGTTCAGCACGCAACCTTGACGGCCCGACGAAGGCTCGAGTATCACTGTCAAGGTCGTGACGTCTGATATCTGGCGACATTGCTTGAGCAGAACCTCTTCGCAAGTGACATTGTCCTCAAAAAGACACGTCTCCGATATCCAACGCTCGGCATCATCCACAGACTGCAGTAGCTTGAGAAAGGCCTGGTCAGAGCCCAGAGTGACGCCAACCAGTGGCAAGCTTTGTCTGGTCAGCCACCAGGCTGTTTGACAGCGCTTGCGAAGCTCTGCTTTTGGGATACTTGTTTCGAATTCTCCCAAGATGTTGAGTTGAAACTAGGGTAGGAGATGAGCGCCTTGTTCAACCTCGAGGCAGTACACAGACTCACGCTTCCATTATTTGTGAGCTCTGCGGCCCTGACTATAAGCTCTGCTCCTCGCAGTTTTCGACTAATTTCTCTCGTTGCCAAATCCAAACTCCATTCCGATTTGACTTGCGACATGGTACTTTGACCTGGTGCGGCTTTGGGCAGTTCTAGCGCCATGTTGGTATCGTCGACGCCAAGTATGACTGGAGAGGAGGCGTGGTGAGAACCCGGGGAATCTTCAACCTCGGACGTTTGTAAGACAGTTGAACACGTGGAAATGCAGTCAAGACTACGCAAAGTGATAGCTCGACTCAGAGCAAGCCTGGATTCCACTCCTACTGCGACTCGTCATCCAAATGAAAAGCAGAGCCGCATGCTGGCCACCGAATGTGACGGTACGCTATCCGTCCACTCGCTAAAACGACGTCTAGTGCCAACGCTAGTCCATATCTCTGGGAATAGGGGAATAGAGTCGGGGTGTGTATTCAGCTGGATAAGGAAACCTCATGTCATGGCCGAGACCCGACCAAGGTTACCGTGCCGATGGAGAGATCTCACGGGTTTACCGAAAAGGGATGGTGTGGATGATTTGCCAAGAGCTAATCAATTTCTAACTAATAAACCCTGGATTCAGATAAGACCCAATGGCCGCGAGTTTGAGTTTTGTCGAGCTGGGTGAGTTGGGTGAGTGACTCGGCGCCCACACCCTTGATTTACTACATCGACGCCCTCCGCACACTGCCGAGGCGTATACCTGGCTTTCACTCTCTTGATGAACTTTACAAGAACAAATCTTTGGGAAAAAAGAAATTACCAATTTCACAATACAATGAGCATCGCAAGAGAGACAGAACCTGCACACCTCTGGCGGGAGACGAGTGCCGGCACTTGGTCGCGCGAGTGTCTCGGCGAGGAGCAGACGGCCTCGTACACGCAAAACGTCCGCGACGGGCACACGGAGCTCACCATCGAGGTGCCCTTTACCAGCAGCATCGCGTCTGCCTCGGAGCTCATCACCCGGGCGCGAAACGCATGGCTCGTCTGCCACTCGCGCTTCCCGCAGGGCGCCGCCGAGATTTCCACCGGCACGGCGCTCCCGCAGCTGCTGACGTACCGGCTGCTCCGCTCCGACGACGAGGCCGCCGCCTGGCTGCGGGACACGTTTGTCGTCGTCACGGACCGCACCGCCGGCGAGGTCGCCAGGCACACCTACAGCCGCCGCCTGGCCACCAAGGGCAAGCGCAGCATGCTGTTCCTCGTCGTCGACACGTCGTCGTCGGCAGAGCACGCGCTGGTGTGGAACGTCAGCCACGTCGTCTCGGACGCCTTTAGCATCCCCATCTTTATGAATGAAATCTTGGACCAGATGACAAAGGTGCCCGGCGACGGCTTGCTCTCCGTCGCGGATGTCGACTACGCCGGCGTCGTGCAGAGACTGCCGATTCATCCCTCCGTCCTGTACGAAGCGCAGTACCGCCCCAGCGCAGAGCAGAGGGCGCAGGCCATTGCCGAGATACTCGCGCAAGAGGATTTATATGCATCTCATGTAAGTGTACCACCTACTAAATGAGAAAAAAAGCCTTGTTTCTGACAGCTTCAATGCAGGTCGGACAGTCCATCAAGATGTATCCCAGACCAGACAACGTAGCACGCCCACACGCGACGCACTGCGTCGATGTCAAGTTCTCCCTCGCGCAGTCTCAGAGCCTTCTCGCCAATCTCCGCCGCGAGAAGCTCAGCATCACGTACGCCGCCGCCGCCGCGACGCTCCTCGCCGTGCACGCCATGTACGGCCGTGGCGGGGAGACGGGCGCGCTGCTCGGCATGACGCGCAACGCCCGGCGGTGGGTGGCGACGGACACGGTGTGCGCGAGCGCGTCGAGCGCCATCTTCCTCTGGATCCCGCTCGAGGCGCACCTGCTGCAGGGCGCCGCGACGACCACCCGGGACCGCGTGCTCGCCGTCGGCCGCATCATCCGCGCCCAGCTGCAGCCGTACCTGGCCGGGCCGCACCACCTGTCGCTGCCGAGCCTGTCGTTTGCGTCCCAGCGGGCCATTGACGGCATCGCGGCGGCGCAGCAGCAGCCAGACGACGTGCCCGCCGCGCCGTGCCCCCCGGGTTTCTCCCCGCAGGGCGCGCTGAACCTGAAGCGCGCGTTTGAGGCGAATGGCGTCCGGATCGAGACGCGCGACTTGCGTCACACGGGACGGCAGATTAACGAGTCGCCCTGGGTCGGCATGTTTTCGCTCTGGGACCGTCTTACGCTGTCTTTGGGCTTTGATTCGAAATATCATGATCCTGCCAAAATGGAAAAGCTGATAGCAGATGTGCAGCATAACCTTGGCTCCGTTGCACCCGCCTCAGCGAAACTCTAGCTTGTCTTAATAGTACATTTATATAACCTTTTTATTTGATTGTTAGCGACAAGTTATGAGGCGGGTGCAGCGGCGGAGATGGTCCAGCCAATTCTGTGGGAGGGACCCTTTGGTGCCTAATATAGCCACGGGATGCAGAACACACGAAAATGAATGGGAAAAAAAAGCAAAAAACATACAGCAGCCGGTGTTCGCTGGTCGTCACCGACCCAACTACTAATCTGCCGGTCAATAGCTTGATTTCAGCGGAGCGGACGGGACGCGATATTTTCTACTGCCTATGGCCGTATGTATCAGTGGGTGGTTAAAATGAGATTATATCATCGCACATTTCATGTACAGACACTGCCGAATCTGTGGCGGCTGATTACTGTTTTTACAAGTATATGCAAGAAGAGCAAGATTTTTATTTCATTAATATCCTCGTAAATGTCACCTAAAAGTAATCATAGCTTGCTCTTTGGCTCCCGCAACAGAGTATCATATTTACCAAAGCTGCGCGGATCCTGCCACTGATCCTTGCTCGCATACCCGAGGATCATGACGCCTCCGCTGACATCTCCCAAGCAAATGTAAAAGTCGCGCCGCGAGGTATTCACCACCATGTGGCCGTCAATGGCACTGACGGCGACTGCCGCGGCCGCATCGCCGTCCAGTCGGGCGGGCGTCAGGTCGACCTGCTCCAGGCGGACCAGGCGCCAGTCGGTGACGCCGGTGATGAAGTGGTGCGGCTCAAAGGGCGCCGCGAGCTGGTTCGACGGGCGTTTCCACAGGCTGTGGAACAGCTGAAAGTTGAGCCACTTCTTGACGTTGTCGGGGCTCGTGTTGGCCTTGATGCCGCCGCGGATGTGCAGCGCCAGCTCGCCCAGCGGCAGCGCCATGACGGCGCCGGCCGTGAGGCTCGGCAGCGCAATCGCCATGGCGCCGCACAGCAGGTCGTTGTCCGCGAGGCTGTGCGCGGCAATTGGCGGTCCTGCCGGCGGCCGGAAGCGGCCGTTGGAGATTGTGACCGCCGTGCTCGGCTGCTCCGGCGCGAGGTGCGCGTGGCTGTGCTTCAGCAGCCACGCGTAGAGCACATCCGACCGGCTGACGTAGAGCTTCTTCTTCCTCTCGACGGTAGAATCGGCGTCGATATTCTTTCCGGACCGCGCGTCGAGCCGCGCCTGCACAAAGGTCAAGTCGTAGCGCGCCTTTTCCTCGAGCGCCTCCACAAACGCGTTGGGGATGAAGATACGTCGGTCCTCGATGGAGCGTTCTGGCCGCTGCACGTAGTAATCCCACAAGTGTCTCCTCATGAAGCGCGCCTTGTCCAGCATGCCGTACACCTTCCAGCCCGGCGGCGGCGCCGGGCCCTTGCCAGGCGCCGTCTCTGCTGCAAACTCACCACCGGGTTCGTAGCCGACGAACGGGTCCGCGTCCGGCCGTTCGTACGGTGTGACGGTCTTCCCATGGAGCGCAACTTCCCATGCCTTGAGAAAGGACTTAATGGTGACCAAATCTCCGAAAGCGTGGTTGACTGAGAATGTAATCATGGTTGCGTCGCCGAAGCGCGTAACTTGAATCGTCGTCTGCGGGCGGTCCGAGTGCAGCAGCTCATTGATGCTGTCGACGGCGTTAAACGCCGTGCAGCGCTTTTGGTCCGGCAACTCGGGGCCTTGACTGATGAGGATGCTGCTTTGGCCTTTGCTCGGTGCGTTGGCGCCGACACCGAAGCCGGGGCAGTAGCTGCGGATGGAGCGATGGGACTCGTCCAAGCAATAAAAGTCTCGCAGGTGCTCCGGGGCGTCTACCTGCTTCTTCAGGTATTTGGCCATTCCGACGGGTGTCAGGACGTGATACGCCAGGCCGGAGGGGACCGAGTCGCATTTCCTCATGGGCGCCTGCATAATCGGTCGCACCCGGAGGGCTGTGATCCAGGCGGCATACAGTTTCTCAAAGGAGAGCGGCGCGTTGAAAACCACAGAAACCCTTGCCTGAGACTCTTGATTAGTATACTTGCTGGACAGATGAAACCCTGTCAGCCGAATGAAGACGTACCATCAACTCAACACTGTCAGACGAGGCCGGCATTAGCATTTCAGGAACTCTTTTTCATGAAGTTTCCGGGTCACTTACTTGCTCACTGTTGCATTTAGAAACGGGATTGGAACTACAGTGTAGTCCTCGGGCTCCATGGTTGTAGTCATGTTTCTTGGTCAGAGTATGTTGGAAACCACCGCAAAAGTTGAAATCCGCAGTCTCGACGCACCAAAGACTAGTTTCAACGAGATTATGTTTTTGAACAGGCTGAAATCGACGTCATGTTATGAGCCTCCATCCCATGACCTTTCCGCGACGCACGCCGGGGGCGTATCGCTAGCCCGCACAGACAAGGGAACCATCAATGGTCCAGGCCCAACTAAGCTAATACCAACAGCCTCTTCCTCGGCTTGCAAATCACTCCCCATCCAACCCAACGCGGCACTTCTTCCACTATAATCCCACAGGCCCCTCCCTTATCGCAGTGTTCGCCAGGGTCCGGCAGCCGGTAAGCACGAACAGTTCGCAATTCGCCGGCAACGTGCTATTTTAGCGTTTGGACATGATCTACGGATAGTTTCGGTGGAGATGCTGTAGTTTTCGGCAACTCATGGCTTGTTATACCCACGGATCCTCTCCAACTCAGGTGTCTCATCCCAACAGCAGATCAAAGGTGGGATGGTCTCTCCATTTCTGGGTTCAGCACTAGCATGTGAAAGTCAATTCAACCTGTACCAGGGCAACGCATGTGTTTCTGTGTACTCGAGAGATAAGACAGCACGTTAAATATGAAGCAGAGTAGAAAGCCAAGAGAGCCACCATACAAAGTTAACAGAGAGTTTACGCCGCCGGGAACCGACCCCAGCTCTCCAAGTTCAGCGCTGGCTGCTCCGAGCGGCCACGCCCTGAGCGGCTTCAAATCTACCGAACGCCTGCTGCATCGTAGAAACTAGTTGCGCGCAGACCAGGTGAGGCTAGGGAGTTTCAAGAAAAATAATAAGAAAAGGAGGCGGCCCAGAAATACTTCATACTTGAAGGGCTAAGAATGGGGAAGCAAAGGGGTCAGGGAAGATAAAAGATTTTTATAAACGTATTAATCCCACCCAGAAAATGATTTCTATACCTATAAGGATGATAAGGCTTTACACTATCGAAAAAATGGTATGTCTCCTCCTAATCTCCTCGGTATTAGCCCTGGCCTACCTACGAACGCCTCGCTCAGGAAAAAACGTCAACGATCCATGTCACTTCCTCGACCGCCTCCTTCGCCAACGGACACTATGCTGCCCACCTCGACCTGCCACTCCAAATCCTCTCCCGCGCCGTCTGCCCAGTCCCTCTCGGGATCCCGGTGGCAATGCCTCGGGCTTGACGCGTTCCCGGCCGGAACCTGCGCTCGACGCCGTCCCGCGGAGCTCCCGCCGCGAACCCTCGCTCACTGGGTACTGCCCGGGACGCTCATCTCGGCGACCAGCTCCGGGAATGCGTCAGTCTCTTGAAGGGCGGCGCACTCCGGTCACGAGACGGGTTGGAGGGGGATGTCGAACCAGATGAGAGCACGCGAGAGAAGGCTGCTTCTCCCCATGTATACTTTCGCCGGTCGGCTATGGAACAACGGCCAGAAGATGAGCGTAAGACGAGACGAGGAAGTGAGTGCTACTTATGCATGGTCTGACTGGCCGAGCTTGGGTAGGAAGCTCCCCACGGGACTTCTTATGGCGTGGCTATCGACCGTGCGAGTCTGTTCCGATGATCACTTTCCGATCCAACTGGTGATTTGGCACAATTTAATGATCAAAATTGTCTCGCCAGGTGCATTTATTCGATATGGGTAAGACCCCATGGGCGATGCCATTGTCGCAAGAGTTGGCGACGAGGGAAGACGCTTCCCCCCATCAACTCTACATCGATGTGCTTCATCTCATTTCTTCTTCGTCTTTTCCATCTTTTTTCTTTCGGCCAAATTTCCCTATTTTGTTTTTCATCTCATTATTTTACCGCCCTTGCCACAAACTCTTTATACCCGCCGCCAGGCATATTTAAAGGTGGCCATCTTTTGCTACATTAAACACACGCATGAGCTCAGCCACGATTTAGTACTGCTGCCAGATGATGTTGAACACTAGCAATGCAGCTCATTTTACTACTTAATGATGTCTATCGTCATCGTCATCGTCTCGTGCTGGCGGCCGTCTTTGGGCCGTCTCGAACCAAGAGTCTAACTTTGCCGTCGCCTATCTCCACACCTTGGCTGAGAATATCTACCGACTTGTCCTCTTGTCTAGCTAATGATTTATCCCAGCTTCTTGCGTCTATGCCCAGAATGCCTCCCATGTTATTCCTGTCACCTGGAACAGAAAACTCACGGTAGGCATATCTCCATTCGTTAAGGAAATTGCGGATAGACTTGCCAACCTTGTCCTTTCCGTTTTTGCTGTGGTTTCCGGTGCCTGTAATGGCATAGACTGGCCGTGTTTCTTTGGAGTTATCCAAGAGGATCTTTTCCAGGTATTCCACCGCTTCATCAGGATGCAGGCCGTGGAGGTCAACATATATCTCCGCCATGTCGGAAACGGGCTTGTTGCGTTCTTCATAAAGTTCGCGAGCAGCCTCGCGATGGGCTTGCCGCATCAGGTCATTTTCGCTCTGGCCACGCAAACTGAGAGCCTTGGCTGCTCGAGCATCATTGCGATTCCAGGCTTGCGCCGCGCTGAAATGACTATTAGTATCAATGCCACAACGTGCCAGCTGAATGACCAACCTCTGAAGAAATTTGTTTCGTAGTCCACCGTGCTTAATGGCTTCCTGGCGAGCCTTCAGGTATGCTTTGTTGGCGCGATCGCCAGTCTCCAGCCAAGGAATAAGCTTAGGGCTATTAATCGCGAGGGCTGCCGCGCTATTTTCTCCATTCTTAAACAAGGCAGCGCCTCCATTGAGCTTTCTAGATTCCAGACGAGGTGAGCTCCCAGGGACAGGTGAAGGCGCCGTCTTGACAATGTCAGCCAGCGAGCTGGGAAGAGCACTTTCTTTATTTGCATGGCCATGGCCGCCTCTCTTGCCGTGATGCTTCTTGCCCTGCTTAATCGAAGCTGACCCCAATGTTGGAAAAGCATCGTTGTCATCCAGGGCGGGGGCGACCATGGGCAGCTCTCTTGCATGGTGGCGACTACTAGGACGAGATCGCGAACGAGGGCTATCTGCGCCGTGGTAAGGCCGGAATCCAGGTGGGGGTGTGGCAGTTCCGCTGTGATATCCATCTGAAGCACCAGAGCTTAGAGAAGGAAACGAGTTCAGATCTTGTAGCTGCAAAGCTGACTGTCCCCGGGAAGGAGGAGTGCTCGCGCCGTCCAATGTAAGTCTACTTGCTAGCTTGGCGGGATCGTGCGAGAAGATGCAGGTTTCGCCGGCTAAGCAATTGCCCATAACCCAGTATCTAGAGCAGTGTCAATAATTCATTCAAAAGTGGCCAACGTGAGGCGTAATTTTACATACTTGCATAGATGGTTAGAGAGCTCGTGACTGAAGCGGCAGTCGGCCCTGAGACACTGACCAGTCGACATGTAGAACTTGCAAATGACACCAGCCTTTTGGGCTGAAGTGGGCGTAGCCGGGCGGCTGTCTACTACTATGGATTTCCCAATGAGGACATTTCTGGAGTCGTCGGTAGTACTGTTGCCGTCGGCTGCTTGGCTTTCCATAATGGAGGCAATCGTGGCGCTCAAGTCGTAGCCGTGAGATGCTAAGGCATTTTCGATCTCGTCGTCGGTTTGGGAGTGACCAAGGATAGAGCGGAGCATGTCATAAGGTGACATGTCAAGCTGCTGTGCAGACATGGACGATGCGAACTCGGGGGCAGCAGCATTGAGACCACTCGAGGTTCCGGCAGATGAGACGCTTGCAGCGTCATCGTTGACCAGCCATTCCACGTTTTCGGTCTGATAGTCTCCGAGGATTTCTGTAGCAGGAGTGGGGTCGCTGGCAAATTCGTAGGCGTTGAGGCTGGGGCTATGGGGGATCGCGGGAGTTGCAAAGGCCAAGCGAGGCGAGGCTCGAGGAGATGAAAAAGGCGATGCGGTGGACGATATGGATCGATATGTGGACGGTATGAAGCCAGGCGGCGCAAGGGGACTAACACCAAGGCGTGGAGAGCCCGCGACGGGAGTGGATGTGTTTCGCCATGATGCAGGAGAGGGTCGTCTGAGGATGGAGTGTCGGATGGGTGGTGGTGAAGCCGAGACGGCAGCTCCATCGCGAAATCGCCAAAGGGCGTCGAGGACGACGTTGTCGAGTGAGGAACCCGTCAGGTTGGTCTCCTTCTTCAGCAGTTCCTCGAGCTTGTCCGTCTTGTCTTCATCTTCGAGGGCAGCATCCTGCAGGATGGGCAAGCAGAGTTCATAGTGCTCGTCGGAAACCATGACGATGGTATGTGGTGGTGGCGGCTCAAAGCGAGCTGCGCAAATGGGTATATCTCGAACGCGACCGGCGTGGGGATGTATGGTGGATGTTGAGAAGCGGGGATCGAGCGTAAGAGTCAAGAACAAGTCGCTGCGAATTGCGGCCGGGTTGGATCTGGGAGCAAAGACAACAACGAAGCTATGTTTGAGCAGGTCAGCCTGGCCACGGGCGCGGTTTCATGTTGCAGGTGCAGGCGGCAATGGCCAAGAGGTTGAACGTACCAGGAAACCACGGGGACAAGGCGGGGATCGAGATCAAAACGCAGTAAAAAGATGTACGAGAAGCAGAAGGCAAAAAGGAGAAGAAAAAGCTGAAGCGGCGCTGGCAAGAATGCGGCGAAAAAGGGCTGCGACGATGCACTGATTAGGGGAACACTTTAGAGAAGCAAGCAGCGGCTGGTAGGCATGGCGTCGCAGCGGATTCCCCTCCCCTCACGAACGTCACACCTTGGCGCAAGCGACCGTGGCTGAGTGAGCTAGACCGGGCCGGGAGATGAAGACTTCCAGATGCAGTGGCTGCAGAGGATGGTCAAGAGCTGCCGGGATCAGCTAAGAAAGCCGAAGCGCGGGCGCAACAGTTGGATGGGGTTGCCTGTGGTGAGATGCAAGGGCAGCGGGATGGAATCGATGGAATCGTTCTCTGCTCTGAGGACAGGCGGCGATTATTACTGGACGAATAGGACAACCAAGGTCCTGGCCAGGCTGGGGATTGGCTGCTGAATAAATAACTGGGCTTGCCGCTTACTACTAAGGTATTAGCAAAGTAATGCGAATACAGCGGGCTAATAAGGTGCCAAGTGCCTAGGTACATAGGTACCTACCAGGTACAAATTACAAAAGCTGCACCAAAAATCCCAAACTTTGCCATCTACAGCTCTTAATTTATTTTTCTCGTGTTCGTTTTATTCACGTGTTTGTGGGAATCGTAGTCCTCCTATGCGATATGCCTCAGGCGCAAGTCACTACTGAGTGACCAACTAGATGTGTAATTATATACTAATTGAATGGATACGATAGATGTCAAGAAACGCGAGTATTAGACCGCAGGTTCTTTCCCCCTCGTCTTCATATTTGCGCTATTCAGTATAATTCATGTCATCAGCTTATTGTTCTCTCCAAGCCTCCGAACTGCTAGGAACCCAAGATATACAACACTACCCTAGACGACTCAATGGCTTTACATGCGCAACAATTTTCTATCCCACCAGCGTGGAACTCGAGCTGCATTTTTGTCGTCATCGTAGTCGTTACTCTGCACCACAATATCGCTATATGCTGTGGCTTGCGGCCGATACTTTGCAAGTCTGATAAACTTGACTGTGCTACTCCGGCCTCATGTTGGTTCCGGATGCTAAGCAAACTCCGCTACCAAGTTTCGGTCCATTTTAGCGTTCTCTGGCGGGGCCAGCGTGTATCCGATGCACGAGGTAAAGTCGGGAGAGCTCTTTAATCCTATATTTTGGGGTTCTTCCATGTTTCTTTGCAGGGCCAGTTCGAAATGGCAATTGACTTTGGTGACAGTATCAGCTGCAAGGGAGGTCAAGACTTGTTTGAGGAACAGAACCTAAGATAGCTCATCAGAGTGGAGAGAAAAAGATGAGAATCTACGCGAATCACTGAGAGCATGAATGATAGCTACCTCGAGACGCTCCAGTAACAACGTCAGCATCTCATGGGGATCTCATCGGGGAGCCTCCCCAGACGTCCGAGGAAAGGTGGGCGTCTGTGCCTCTGGACAAGTAACGGTTGTCTAACTAGTGGTCTGACTCTAACTAAATTATACGATAAGAGTCTAGCGCCTTGAGTCACCAGTCGGCCCGGGTGGCAGGACGGATGGCATTGTGCAAGTCTCTTTGGTAAGAAGGAACCAACTATCTGTAGAGTGGTGGAATATAGTCGTCTATGAGTCAGAGTGACACTAATCAATGAGAACAATGCCTGTTTGGAAGCTGGTAGACTGGGCAAGGAACAGATGCCCAGCCACAGCTGCAATGACTGTATGAGGCAGAGGAGGCGAGTCACTGATGGGTAGATGTACATAAATGTGGTGTGCATTTGGTGGGCATTTATTGTGACAATATGTACCTAGGTACACCGTTGAGGTACTCGATATCGGGCGTGCAGCCCACAGCGGCGTATGTACCTGCGCGGGCGGGCGCACACCCACTCGAGTCACAGTGCCTGCAGCACCAAGAACTAGCCTGTCGGGGTCGAAATCGAGCCTTTTCCATCGTATTAATAGAAAAATAGTGGGCAGGAGGCAAAACTGGAAAAAATAATAAAAAAATCCTTTCCCCATGACTGGCCTGCAGCATGGCGATGCCACGGGATGGGGTACTTTGCTCTTTGCTGGCTCGACGCGCCAACAAGAGGGTACCCTAACCTCAGGCCCCCACTCATCCCCCACGCGCTGCAATGATTGGCCACGCACTAGTGGGCGGAAAAAAAAAATACAAGTCTCCCAAACCGCCCCTCAGGCGAAGCAGCTTTTTTTTTCTCTTCTCTCTCAACCATCTCTGCAAACAACCAACCATCAGGTCTAATACGCTTTTTTCCCTGGATTCTGTTGAACTCTCGTAGATTTCGAGAGCATTAGAATCTAGTCGACTACTTTTTGTTCTTCCTCCACCGACTTCGCCGGCCGCAGTCTTCCTTCCTGGACAGCCTGCGATTTTTTCCAACCGCAACAACCCCACGAACTTTACACCTAGGTCGAGCTGCGCTTGATCTAGTTTTTTCTAAACCCAACCCGCAATCATGGCTACCGACAAGGGACTCGAGGATGTCCCCGAGGGTGAGTGAATCCCTGATTCTCTTGGTCGAGGTCGCGAAACAGTCGCATCGCTCGCAAACCGTCGCGGGGCGGGAAAAATACTTGGGGCAGGGGGGCTGCGCTGCCAGCGCCGGGCCCACTGCAATATTTTCCCCTCCATGGCATTTGTGTGCGCCGCGATAGCGCTTGTCCTGCGCGTCTCAACGCCAACCTTGCGCGGAAAACAAAATGCACAGCATCGCTAACATGCTCTCTCCTCACCAGCACACATCGAGTCCAACTACGATGAGACTGTTGACTCTTTCGATGACATGAACCTCAAGTCCGAGCTTCTCCGTGGTAGTAAGTCTTCCCCCCACCAACTTGTGCGCGACTGCGCATCCCATTGTCAGCAGTGCCCTGACCAATTGCCTCTCTTCAGTCTATGCCTACGGTTTTGAGCGTCCCTCTGCTATCCAGATGCGCGCTATCATGCCCGTCATCAAGGGCCACGATGTCATTGCTCAGGCCCAGTCTGGTACTGGCAAGACTGCTACCTTCTCCATCTCCACCCTTCAGAAGATCGACCCTGCTGTCAAGCAGTGCCAGGCCCTCATCCTTGCTCCCACCCGTGAGCTGGCCCAGCAGATCCAGAAGGTCGTTATCGCTATCGGTGACTTCATGAACATTGAGTGCCACGCCTGCATTGGCGGTACCTCTGTCCGTGACGACATGAAGGCCCTCCAGGACGGCCCCCAGGTCGTCGTCGGTACCCCCGGCCGTGTCCACGACATGATCCAGCGTCGCTTCCTCAAGACCGACTCCATGAAAATGTTTGTTCTCGACGAGGCCGATGAGATGCTGTCTGTATGTTGCGATAACTCGCCGCCTATTGACCTTGCCACTGACTCTGCCTTAGCGCGGTTTCACCGACCAGATCTACGACATCTTCCAGCTCCTTCCCCAGGCTACCCAGGTCGTTCTTCTCTCCGCCACCATGCCCCAGGATGTCCTCGAGGTCACCACCCGCTTCATGCGCGACCCCGTCCGTATCCTGGTCAAGAAGGATGAACTCACCCTGGAAGGTATCAAGCAGTTCTACATTGCTGTCGAGAAGGAGGAGTGGAAGCTCGACACCCTCTCTGACCTGTACGAGACTGTCACCATTACCCAGGCTGTCATCTTCTGCAACACTCGCAGAAAGGTCGACTGGCTCACCGACAAGCTCACTGCCCGTGATTTCACCGTCTCTGCCATGCACGGTGACATGGACCAGGCTCAGCGTGACCTGATCATGAAGGAGTTCCGTTCCGGCTCATCCCGTGTCCTGATCGCCACTGATCTTTTGGCCCGTGGTATCGATGTCCAGCAGGTTTCTCTGGTCATCAACTACGACCTTCCCGCCAACCGCGAGAACTACATCCACCGTATCGGTCGTGGTGGTCGTTTCGGTCGCAAGGGTGTCTCCATCAACTTCGTCACCGCCGAGGACGTCCGTATGATGCGTGAGATTGAGCAGTTCTACAGCACCCAGATCGAGGAGATGCCCATGAACGTCGCCGACCTCATCTAAGCACCTCCGCCTTTGCGGCCCTCTCCTGCGGGTACCCCCCTTTTGACTGCTAGACGGAAAGGGCGCAGAGCAGAGGGCCTTCAACAACACCGCCTTGTTTTTTCCTCCTCTGGGGCCGCGTACCTCTTTTCGTCCTATTTCTCCGTTTTCCACTTCTCAACTTGATATGAAATCTCCCCGCGGCCCCATTTTACGAAACCCACAACGTCTTTATTTTATGAACGCGCGGCGATTTTAGTACACTTGTCCTACGAATCAAAACTACCACCTTTTTTTTGCATGCGAAGGACAACAATGACATAGAAGAAGGGAAGAATGAGCAATGGCAACGAAAGGAATTGGGCTTCGTTGGCGATGGAATTAAGTTTGAAAAAACAAGGTCTCTGGCAGCCTCCTTGTTGGCACCTTAATTAATTGCGAGGTGTGGGAGGACTACCAAAAAGTTAATTGCAATGGCTGATTTCCTTTGTATTTGAAAATATTCTTGTTCAAAAACATGGTGCCGTCTGCTGCGTGATTGTGTGCGAGTGCCCTGTACGTTGTAACGACCGAGTATAATACAAAGGTGTGAGTGTGATGAACTTGAAAGTGTACAGCACAGTCGTCGATGCAGAACGAGGCAATGTATTCACAATGTTGTGTATTAAATGTACATGAGAGTACGGTGTTGTGTAAAATGAGTAAAGAGAGACTAGAAATATAAAAGACATGATCTGGCATCCAAGCTCCGTCGACAGCCGAGTCGTTGGGCATCCGTCAAAGTCATCTGTACAAAGGAGAAGAAGAAAAAAACACAAGCACACAAAGATGATGCTTGTGACAAACAACGCCATACATGGTATAAAGCTCCCCCAACGCTATTGTCCGACTGTTCCTGCAGTTTTCCCTGATCCCGAAGCTACAATTTTGGTCATCTCGCCGTTGCAGACACCGCTCTCAGTAATGGCGAAAGGTCGGCTGATCAGCAGGCGGACTCTTGACAGCCTGATCGGCATACGCGCCGGGGATGGGAACGGCGTCGTAGACGGGCTCGTCGGCGGCTTGGGGGCCATGCGGCTGGTGCTGCTGCTGCTGCGCGGGTGGCGGAGCGGCAAAGTCCTGATCAAAGGGCGTAGGCGGCGTCGTGGACGTGGGGGTGAAGGCGCCGGAGCCGAGCTTGGGGGTGGCCGAGGGCGCCTTGGTGGGCGGGCGCTGCAGCTTGAAGCCCGACGAGGGGCTGTTGAACTGGGAGTCGTTGTTGTTGCCGCCGCCGGGGGTGAAGGGGCTGCTGGTGGTGTTGGGGTTAGGCACGGAGCCGCCCATGTTCTGGTAGGCGGCGGGCGGATGACGGGGCGACATGGCGTAGCTGCTAAGCGCGGGCGACTTGGGACCCGCGCCGGCGCCGACGAAGCCGGGGGTGTTGGGGGCCGACATGGACCGCAGCTGGGCGAGGTACAGGTCGGAGCGGGCGCGGTCGCGCATATCCATGGACTTTGTCAGGCGACGCTTGGTGTAGTAGCGGTAAAAGACGACGGAGTAGAGCGTGATGCAAATGACCTCGACGACAATCTCAATGACCATGCAGATGAGGCTCCAGTTCTGCAGACGGCACACGAGCGCGTAGTCGACCTTGTCGTGGAAGACGTGCGCGCGCTGGTTGTCGACGCACGACCACCCCCACATGTCCTTGTTGCCCGAGTTGTTCTTGGAGTTTTGGAACAGCGCCGCCGTCACCACCCACAGCACCAGGCTGATGATGAACCACCCAATCGCGAACATGGTGTAGTACGTGCCGACCTTTTCCGCCCGCCGGTGCCCGCCCCGGCAGTAGGCGATGAAGACGAAGACGCACGCCCCGAGCGACACGCACGACATGCCGAGCACGAGCTTCTGCGGCCACGACTTGGTGTTTTGCGCCCATGACGGCATCTTGCTCTGGCTCGGCAGGTGCTTGGTGCTGTTGAAGATGGCGAATGACGACGAGATCATGGCTAGGATGATGAGGGAACAGCTAAAGTTGACGCCGCGGAGGGCAAACTTGGCCAAGCGGACGCGGGTTTTGATTTTCTAGACAAGAGAAAGGTGTCAGTCTTGGGGTTGTCTGGACCGCTTGTCATGTGAGATTTTTTCTCAAACGTACCAGATCCCGGGCCTGCTCCGCATCGGTCGAGAGCTCGCGCTTCTCGAGCATCTCCTCCTCGCGAAAGGTCGGGCTGAGGGGGTTATCCAGGTGGCGGGCGGGCGTGCCGGGGGCCTTCATGGCGCTCTTGAGGGGTAGCGGGGACCTGGGGGGGATGCCGGCCGGGGCGTCGTCGGCGTCGTTGCTGTTGATGTAGCCGAAGCCGACGGCCTGGATCTCGTGCTTTTCCGGGTCGGCAAACGGCGAGCGGTGCTGCTGCTGGCGATGACCGGCGGCGGCGGCACCGCTGGCGGCAGCATCGTCGACGGGCGAGTGCACCGACGTGGCCTCGGCGAAGCGCGGCGTCCGCGGCTGCTTGAGCGACGACTCGTCCGACTCCATCGAGTTGGCCGTCGCGGACCGCGCGGGCGTCAGGTTGAGCGCTGTAGGACGCCTCTTGTCGTCAAAGCCTGCGAGGTTTCGGGTTAGATGAAAGAACGGGAAGAGGATCTTGTGTTCGCCTGCGTACCGGACATTGTGAATACGGGTTTTTGCTTTCTTTGTTTTTGGTTGGGAAAAGAGGGTAGGTGCTTTTGGAGATTTTGCCGTCTAAGTGGCCAAAGCAGCCAGAGAAGACGACCCAAGGGTTTTTTTGCAGGACACAGTCCCGTTTGAAAAAAACTTGGTCAATGTACTTGATGCAAATGGAGGTGGGAGAGAGGCAAGGTAAGCGAAGACGAGCACAAGAGAAGGATGAAAATGCAAGTAAGAAGGGCACGAGAGAATACGGATGAGACCAGCTAATCGAGAGGAGAAAGAAAAAAAAACCGAGAAGGACTAGGAGGAGGGAGCGGGCGAGTGGGAGCGAGGGAGTTTTGAGGTTTGGCGGCTGGCGTGATACGGGAACAACTTGGCTGGGACACTGCAGTTACTATCTGGTGGATTCGCTAGTTGATTTACCTTCTCGCTTCACCGGAGCAGAATTGGGAAAGCCAGAAGGAAAAGAGGAGGCTGCAGTCTGCAAGAACCGGCCCCCCGTGGATATTGGGGGTGGTGCAGCTTGGCTCTGATAGGACTGGATTTAGGCGCCCGGGTTGGAGATGGGGAGGGAGGGGAGGGAGGGGAGGAGACGGGCCACCAATCCCCGAGCAGGGTATGACTTTGTGAGAGGGGGGTGAAAGTGGTTTTGGGGGCGGCGGCTATGTTCGTGTTTCTTGCTGCTGCTCTAGTTACGATGCTGCAATGCAATGCAAAACGAAAAAAAAAGGCTGTGTGAAGCCGGGCTTACACGATGCTTGTCTGCGGGTTTGTTTCCCTCAGCCTTGTGTGGGTTAAGTCGAGGAGGTACTTTTTTCTTCTGTTCAAAAAAGATCGATGGGCATGAATAACTAGAGGCGTCAGAAGAGGAAGGAAAAAACGCCTCACTGACAAGTCACCCGGCATGGAAAGACGGGCAGTGGTTGGTAGCACCAACGCCGTACAAGGCTCTAGCTGGGAGAGGGAGAGGGGGGGAAGGGCTGAAGAGACAATTCGATGGGACCAGGATGGACAAGAGCCGGGCGCGTAGAGAGCAATAATGTGACTCGGGGTGGCTGGCGAGAAAAAAAAAGCGTTTGAATGTGACAAGGTTGTGTCGACGACACGGCCTAGGGTCCCTGTCAGGACTCTGCATGGGGTGTGAGTGGTTCCCCCGTCTCTCTCTCTCTCGCCGCAGTATTCACAAGAGCCGTTAGCATCGAGTTTTGCACTGGCATCCTTCCCCCCCCCTGCGACGCCAGCTTGTCATGTCATTGGCCACGGCAACGCCCACACCGCGGCGCCCACCGGCGGCCAATCGCAGCACCCGGCCGGGGGTGTGTTTCCCCTCCCCTCCGCAAGCCGGGCCGGGTGGGGCTTGCATCTTCGCGGGCGGCTACAGCGGCGCTGTCATTCGCTGCGGCCGCGAGATTTTTGGTCTGAGAGCCAAGGACCAGTGTTGCATCCTGTTTATGCTGATCCTTTTTTTTTTTCTTCGTGCTGATGCAAACGCCACCGCGGATTTCTTGACTTGTGGCCGAGCCATCATCTTTTTCCTTCCCCGAAGGTGGTAATCGAGCCCGTCGCTCACACAGCCAGCAAACATTTTGACTCGCGGCCGATCGAACCATCGCATCGCATCGGCCGCTTCTTGTCTACGATGAGGGACCGCGGCATCGTCTCACGCCCGCCAAGACTTTGTCAAGATCGTTCCATGGAAGGAAGCCGTTTTTTATGCATGCACAACTTCAACATTGGCCCTCACGCCGTGAACAAACCTCCCAGTCACACAAATCGCGCACACGAATTTGTACAACAGTAAACATAAAAATCACCGCCTCCCACTCCTCGGGCGAAAAACCCCTCTATAGACCTTCTTTTTTTTTCAATAGCCCGATTTTTTTTAAAATCTTGTACACGTCCAAATCAGATAAACCCACGATTTGCTCCATCCGGCCCGTCTCACTCCACCTCAGCCCGAGTGCAATGACCAGCCGAGTGTCTTGTCCGCCCTCCATCCATCAACCCGCCTGGACCATAAAGCCTACAGCCACCTTTTTCTTCCTCTTCACCCTTCCGTTGTACACGGCATCATCTTGCCACTTTCTACTTCTTCTTGTTCTTGCGCTTGTTGGGCTTGCCGCCCTGCTGCGCGCCGCTCGTCTTGGCCTTGCTCAGCGACTCGGTGCTCTTGCTAATCACCTCATAGTCCTCGCCTGCCGAGTCCGTGCTGGGCGTGGGCTGGGGCGCGTCCGAATCGTCGTCTGCGAGCTCGCCGCCTTCGTCTTCGGCGCCAGCCTTGCTGCGAAACAGACGACCGACGGAAACTCGGAACAAAAACAGCGGGACCTGTACGACAGCCGTGTCCTTGTACGTAGGCGCAGCCAGCTCCTCGGGCTACACGTTTGATTAGCATCGTGTTTCTTCACCACTTCATTCGTCCAGTGCATTACTTACGTCAAGGAGGAACTCGTGCACGTTGCCCTCGTCATCTTGCTCCTCGAGGAACACATCGCCCATGGAGTCGACAACGAGAACTTTGCCATTCTCCGCAACGACACGTTTCTTGACGCCAGTCGGCGCCACAGAGCCATCGCCCGACAACGGCTTGGAGACAATGCGGGCCTTGCGGTCCTTCTTCTTGATCGGGCGGCCGTCATCCTTGCGCGACTCCTTCTCTAAAAAGCGGCGCTCCTTGCGGTTGCGCGGCAGCAGCATGGCGGGGTCCTCCTCCTCCTCGTCGGCGACCGGGGCTGGGGCCGCCGCCGCCGCGGTGTTGAGACCGGGAATATTGCCACCCCAGGCCGTGTTGCGCGCAAACTTGACGTAGCGACCGATAAACTCCTTCTGGCGCTTCCAGTTCATGTAGAGAATCAGGTAGTGCACGGCACCGCCCGTAAACAGCAAAAGGCCGGCGATGACGGTGCCCAGGCCGGGCCGGTACCGGTTGTAGTAGTAGTCAGTACCCTTCCACAGCGGGAACCCGTTGGAGAGGAAATGGTCGTAGCGGTCGCGCAAGGGGCCTCGGAGGATGCCCACAATCAGCGACAGGCGCGTCTGCTGGTCCGACGCCTTCTTCACGGCCGCCTTGAGCACCGACGCCGAGGGTCCCTTGTTCGACTTGGCGCCGTCCTTGGCCCGCAGCTGCTGCCGCACCTTGTCCGGGTGGAGCTCGCGCGTCCTCTTGCGGTACGCCTGGTTGATGGTGTCCTGCGAGGCATGCTTTTGGACGCCCAGGATGTCGTAGAACGTGGCGTCGGGGTCGACTTCGTGGGCCGAGATTTCGTCACGGATGCGGAAGATTTCGCGGTCTGCGGCATTGAATCTGTTAGCAAACGGTGACCCCAAGTATGATCAAGTGCCGGTGATTCGCGCAACAAATGTTGGCGATGGCACACGTGGCCGATTCGGGAGGATGGTCGGCTCACCTTCCTTGCTCCATGCCGCCGTCAATGGTGTCAGGAGAGCCAGAATTCCTACCGACAGGGTCGAGAACTTCATGATTGCCAAGTGTGGCGAGTCGCGCCGGGCAGATGGATGATTGTTGGAATCTGCGTCGTCGTTGGACCATGCAAAGGGAGAAAACGAACTTGGTCTGATGACTCTATGTAACAGTAGTGGCGCGTCGCCTGGCCTGGTATTCAATCGGCCAGCTTGCAGCTTTGCGACCCCTGGCCAGCCACGACTCGCGACAGCCAAAGTGGGGCAATGCATGAACAGCAAAAATGAAAAATACTTTGTTCATCAGTGCAAGTTCATCACTGCAATTTGAACAAATTATGTACCAGGTATCCGTACCTGCACCAGCATCCCAGAGTCTACGGTAAAACAATTGGCTTCCCGACCAACGTTCTGTACACGACAAGGCCCCAATCGCAGCATGTCGCCATGAGCCCAACCAACCAGCCTGGCTCCGGGGCCCAGGACGACGATGACGACGACGACTACATGAACATGACCTTTGCCGAGCCGCAGCCCGCCAAGGAATCCTCGATCCAGCGCACCCAGCGCCTGAAGAAGGAGGCGCGCGCCCGCGGGCTCGTCAAGTCCAAGGCGCAGCTGGCCGAGGAGGAGGCGGCCGCGCGGGCCAAGGCCCTGGCCACGTCGATGCTCGACGACCCGCGCGCCCGCAAGAGCAAGGGCCTCGCCATGATGGCCAAGATGGGCTTCACCGGCGGCGGCCTCGGCAAGAAGACGCCCGACGGCCAGGCCCAGGGCCGCGTCGAGCCCATCCACCTCAGCCTCAAGGACGACCGCGCCGGCGTCGGCATGGACGCCGAGAAGAAGCGCCGCTTCCGCGAGGCTGCCGAGGAGCGCGGCCTCGCCCCCGACGCCAAGGCGCCCCGCCTCGACCCGGACGAGTACCGCGAGCGCGTCCGCAGGGAGCGCGAGGACGCCAAGCTCGAGAGCCAGTTCTTTGCCGCACAGCGCTTGGCGGAGGGCATGGACGACGAGCAGGCTGCCGGGGCGGACACGGACGGTGACGGTTCCGCATCTGAGCAACTGGAAAAGAAAAGAAAGAGACCCAACTCGTCAAAGCTGTTGAAATCAGTGCCTATACTATACCGTGGACTCGTGCGCCACCGCGAGGAAAAGGAGCGCGAACGTCGGATGCGCTACGACCTGGAGCAGTCACTCTCTCGCCTGCCCACTTATGAAGAGGAGGATGACGATCCGGACTACAAGACAGCCCTCGGAAAGCGCGACACAATTTACACAATGGCCGAGGACTTTGACGAACAAGACCAAGAGCTGGACGAGTTTAATGCCCTGGATGTGCGCGAGCGGCTGGAACGCCTGCTGAAGCATCTCCGGGAGCAGCATCGATACTGCTTTTGGTGCAAAATGGCATATCCGGATGCAGAAATGGATGGCTGCCCAGGGTTGACAGAGGAAGACCATGATTAGGGTACCAACAACGCCATGCATAAAAGCATACCAAATAAATTGTAGATGCCGTCTACGTGTTTAACTATCCCAGAACCTTGCTCGTGTATATCATATATCGTGACCGAATAGAATGCCCGAATGACCTTTTGTATATCGCTTACCTTTCGCCAATTCAATGCCCGTTTTCTGCTACATCTCGGCCGCTGCGTGTCTAAGTCCGCACCGTGGATGAGTATAGTTGTAATCGTAGCCTTTGAGGATGCCAACAAAATGGCTCAGCGAGCCCAAAACTACGAAACAGTGGAAGATTTGATGGGAACATCCCCAAATGTCGAATTTCCCGGGCAGCCAGCGCTCGGGAAATCGTGACTGTTGCGGGTTAGTCGCTGGCCCCCAAGTTGTCCATGGCAAGACACTCACAACAAGAAAAGCAACACCAATGAGCATAAAGACAGCTTCGAGATAGTAATAATTCAGCCCAGACTGTTTCTGCAGCTGGTCGTATGGAAAAAGAAGGACGGCGTGAAAGATGGGAATAAAAGCCGACAGGCTCAGCGCCAGAAACGGCAGCAGGCGGGAGGTGAGCCAGTCTTTAGACTCATTCTTGCCGTAAAACGAAAGATAGGAATTAAAAACCCCCATGACAAAAATCTAAACAACGTCAGTACCAACCACGTGTGGCCCCTTTTGCCATCCTTCTGCCGCTTCACTCACCGCGCCGAGATAGCCGGTCAGCAGCCCCGGCTCGCAGTAGAAGCCCATGTAGAGACCGGGCACGAACGAGGCCATGATGAGGAGCGAGATGCCGACGTAGTCGAGGCGGATCCAGAGGTCGGCGAGCTCGCGCGAGTGGCAGAGCAGGGTGTGGTACGCGGCCGAGAGGCCGAAGCAGGCGGCGCAGGCGGTCAGGTAGACGTGGAAGACGGCGCGGTCGGTGCGCGTGGCGCCGGGATAGTGCGCCGACAGGTACGCGGCGAGCGCGGCGTTGCCGAGCGTGGCCACGACCACCCCCGGCACCAGGTGCGTGTAGATGTTGCCGCTCTGGTTGTGCAGGTACGTCCAGCTGCGGAAGCACGGCCCGGCCGCGGCGAAGACGGGCCGGTAGCCCGTCCGGATGTACGGGTTCTCGCCGTACCACGCCGGCACCTTGTCAAGTGGTAGCAGCCCGACCACGACGCGCTTGACCGTCTCGCTGCCGGCCGAGGACAGCCGGCGCGAGGCGGAAGCGAACGAGGCGAGCGACGAGGACGAGGGCGAGGGATGCACAGAGAGGTGCTGGTGGTGCTCCGTGTCGGATGCGGGGGTGGCCTCGGGGCGCGTGGTTTTACCGCGATACATGGTTTTGGGAGGGGAGGAGAAGAAGGTTAGCACGGTAGACGAAGAGGCCAATGGAGGAGAAAAGTCTATGAAAGGACGGGCATGGGCGGTAGAGGCGATCGGTCCACGGCTTGGGACGGCTAGGGCGCAGAGGACGTGGACGAGTGACGCCGGTGAGGAGGCATGCGAGCAAGAAGAGCAGGTTAAGAGAATGACCCTAGACCGGAAACTAGTTGCGATGCGGCAACTACCGCAAAAGCCGAATGGGGAGGCATGCTGCGTGAGGTCAGTTGACACCCGTGATTGGCTGACGGGCGTAGCGATCTAGTTAGGTATGCAAGCCACGCACATCTCTGCCGCCCGACAAGGAGGGCAGGCATAACCTGTTCCTCCACAGGGTTGACCTGACCGAGTTGAGGTTTCCACCACCAAATAGGTAGTCACGGCGATGGAAACAGACGTGACAGCTGGCAGCTGGATTTCAAACATAAACTGGGAAATTAATAGCATACTTGGCTTCTTCTTCTCTTGCTTTAACTTCCCACCCTATCTTTACTTCGCTTAAATAGAACATAGAAGTTCTTAATCTTCCAAGGCTATTCTTAGCTAATACCTCTAACCACTATCTACTACTACGACTTTCGCCCTATTTTATTAGCATACTAAAGATAGACATAAACACGGGGGATATAGTATTAGTATATATCCTTAGCCCTAATAGGTTTATTACTAGTAATTAAACTCCTTTTTCCTACCTTCTTAGGGAGCTGAGTTTGGCTGGCTAAAATAATTAATAAACTGGCTTAAATAAAGAGTTTTTAGCAAGCTCTCTAGGACACCTTCTCGACGTCTAAGATAAGGCCATTACCTTAAAGGAACAATATCTCGAAAAGCAGTACTGCCTGCAACGATATGAGTCTGTCGAGCAAATGTCCTCATCGGCGATACAATACATCTCTTTGTATGGCTCCTTGGCCCAAAATCAAATATAACTCCAGTGAAATAGCAATTCGTTGTGTCCAGCTAGATAGCAATTCGTCTTGTCTCCCAACGCTCGTGTCCCCAGTCAAATAGCCTCAACTCGTCTCTGTCTCTATGGCCTGTGGCCCCATGATCATGTTCTCCTTGGCTCGTGGCCCCTAAATAACATAGGAAAAATAAAGAAAAATAAGCCGTTTTTATCCTTTTTGATTTTCCTTATTTTTACTATCCCTCTTATTTTACTTATCTTACTTATCTTACTTATCTTACTTATCTTACTTATCTTGCTTATAATTTCTAATTCCCCTTATTCCTATTCCTAGTTTAACCTTCTTAATAATAGAGTATAGACTTATGTATGTGGCCTTTTTTTTATCGCCTATATACCTAAGTTAGCTTCCATCTAGTTCGCGCGACAAGCTTTCCTCCTTCCACCACCACCGTACTATGCCATGATGCCATGGACACCTCATCCCATCGCCCGCCACCGCAGCACATGAACAACCGCCACGCGCGCGCGCCGCCATGGTCAATGTCGCAGGCCGGAGCAAAGGATGCGCGCCCTGCCGGCGGCGCAAAGTAAAGGTCAGTGACATCCCCCCCCCTCAGTACACAACCAGTCCCAACACCACCATCAAAACAGTGCGACTTGGGCGTCCCGCAGTGCCGGCGCTGCATCGACCTCCGCCTCGCGTGTCCCGGCCCGCGGCTCGGGGCCTTTTTCGTGCACGCCCAGGCGCAGCCGCTCCTCCGGGTCCCGCCCGCGCCCGGCGCCGCCCTGCTCGCGTGTCGCGCCTCGGCGCACGACCAGCTCTTCCTCGGGCACTTCATCTCCTCCTTTGGTCTTTCGCCGCACATTGCCAGCGGACCGACATGGCTGGAGCGGCTGCCCTCGTTTCTCGGCGGCCGCGGCGCGGCGACGGCGTCGATCCGCTCCGCCGCCATGCTGAGCTACGGCACGTGGGCGGGCGACGCGGCCGTGCGGGCGGACGCGTACCGGTGGTACGCGCGGGCCCTCGCGCAGCTGGGTCGCGGGCTGCT